GCCTCTTTGATGCACTTCCGCCTCCAGAAACTTGATGAGAGTCTGAATCAATACCAACACATGAAGAGTTATCCTGTTTGAGCTAGCAGCTGGCGGGGAACTTCTATTGCAAGCATAGGATAAGGCGGTAGCAGTCTCTGATTGGAAGCACAACAACCTGTCAAGGTCCAACCCCGGGTTGGGGGGTTCGATGAAGACCAGGACAAGACGCCTCCCTCTGTCCTCGCTCTTGATCGGCCTGCGCTGTGGAGCGCCGCAAAGCCCGAGTTGAGACCAGAAGAGCATGAGGGCTGCTGCAGCTGCAGCTGTAGTCGCTAAATTAGCCAGTTTGATCCTAAAATCACTCGACGGAAAGGGAGGTGCAAGATTTGGGATCGGGGCCTTTCTTGTTATTCGCTTATCGGCCACAATACCCCTGGTTGTTGCCTGCGATCGGTGTCCCAAAATCGTGCAGTTGGAAGAGATCGATAGTCCCGGTTGGCGCTGTATCCCATGATGCATGGTTCCCCCCAGCCTCATCGACCGCTAAGTCGGCTCGTCGGTCACAGAGGTCTAACCTCCACTGTCCAAACCATCATGGTCCATGTCCTGCCTCCCCGATATCCGTCATGGACTCTGTTCGATCGGGACCCCTTCCCTGTCTCTGTGGACTCTCGATCGTGGCAAATAGCTGTCGTCCAAGGTAATGACTGAGGCGACAATGAGTGGATAGATCCCTGTGCCAAGAATGTGAGCTCAGATTTCCGTCGCTGAAGGTGACCGGGTTGACCCCTGGAAGGTCGAATGAAAAGTCTCAGGCCAGATCCACCACAGTCACCGTCGCCCAGAGCTTTTGACAGCTCCTGCTTGAACGCGTGAACCGCCCTAGTGGCCCTTGACTTGCTCGCCTGCGTCAATTGCGGCTTTGTGACGGGGATGCCTTGTCCCGACCCTGTAATGGCTTTTGTCTCCAAAATTAAGCCCCAAGAAAGCAGCAGCCAGTTCTGGTCATGTGCGTTACATTGACACCCATATGTGGTGTAAGTCCAGTATAACATGTTGGAGTATATATATATAGGGCCGATATAGAGGGGGAACTTTCCGTTTCTCACGAAACCCAGCACTTCGTCTTCCTCTGCATCAACCCATGTCTTCATAATTTGGAATCAACCAATGTTCAGATGTCAATTATTGTCGTATTGTGTCAAAAGAGCCCCCCACCCCCCCCGTTCAAAGCACCCAGGATGGAAGAGCCGCAACGCTGGCGAATCATGGATTGGGACGCCACTCCAGGCGGCCCACAGTCCTTGGTCTACTCATCGGCTCTGCCCTCCAAGAGCTTCCTTGATTCGTCCAGTCTTCTCCTGAGGACTTTTGCGGCATGCACTTCGTGTTTCCTTTCAGATCGTAGGATCTCATTGCAGACGCCACCCACAGCCCGCAAGAGATCCAGGACGAGATCCTTGTCGACGTTGGAAAAGGTCACTGACCCAGGTCCATCACCAACTCTAAATTCGGGGTCTGCCAGCTTGATCAGACTCTCCATTAGGATCTCGGTGTTTGCAGGATGATCAACTGGCACCTCGTTTGGCACACTAGTCGGCCCGTATGCTCTTGGAGTGGAAAAAGAAACGCTTGGTGAATGGACAGGAGGCGTCGGTATGCCGTTGGAAACAATGCTCCCTTGCGTCTGAATCTGTCGTGGCGATCTGATTGGTCCTTGTCGGGCTCTGCCGCTCATGGGAGGCGTTGGCCACACACTAGCTGTACCTTCGTGTTTTGGGCTCGTTGGGGTGTGAGAGAAACCCGTTCCGGTTCCCCAAGTTAGTATTTCAGCCGGCATCCCGTCCTCGTCCTCGCCTTCACCATCGCCTGCACCTTCCGTCGCGGTCTCAAAGGTGGCCACGGTCGAAACAGAGTCGACACTGTTGCTTCGAGCTGCCTTCATCCACGGTTTCGAGGGTGCCGCAAGTGGAGTGGGCTGCTTAGGTGGAGTTCTGGGTTTGAGGAATGTCTCTTGGACGGGAGTGCTAGCGGTGTCATCTGTGGTTGTTTCCTCCTCGATCTGAGTTTCTGTGTCGTCGTCGTCGTCGTCGTCGTCGTCGACTGTCGGGGTGTCTTGGTTCATGCGCGTTGTTGTTACACTGCTGCAGTCACTCTCGCTAGGAGTTTCACTTCTAAGACCGGTCCCGGTGTAATTTCCCAACGCACTATGAAGGAACATGTTCTCATAGTCGAAAGCGTCTAACCTGTCTTCGTGACGTTCTGCGGCACCTTCGGTAGGGAGCAGATGTTCGGGGATCTCGGGGACATCGGGCTCAAGATCCTGCAAACTCTCTTCCAGAACTTCATTCAGGTAGATTTGCTCTTCCTCCGAAGCGGCAATCGGCTCGTCATCATCAAATTCCTGTGCTGCATCTTCGTAGAGCGATTCCTGGAGTATGGAATTTGGCTTTTCGAGAGGCTCTGGCTGGAGATGGATCGACTTGTGGAGACTCGGGGTGTTCTTATCTGTCCTAGCCTCACTCACCAAGCCAGAGTCTTTAGTCGCCGGGAGTTCGACATTCAGCAATGTTTGTGCCTGCGGTGTGACCGGTGCAACTGGGAGGTCCACTGGCTTCCTCTGTCGGGACGGACTCCAGCCGAGTCCAGCATTTGTGTTGATTGGGCTGCCTGTCTCTTTGTATTCCGGGGCATTTGCATACCACTGCTCAGGACTCTGCGCACTTGCAAAGGGGCTAGGCGTCCTGGTGGTCTGCATACTTTTCCTCCTAAGGCTGTCAGCCTGTGCTTTATCCTTCAAGTCGGAAATTTTGGCCTGCAGATTCGACATCTGTTCTCGGATCTCTTTGGTGGACCGATTTGACATGGATGAGGAAGAACGAGCAAGAGCTGTAGGGGGGCTGCTTGTGACCACTGAAATATTTTCTCTTGACACGGCGGCTAGAGTGTTGATGCCCAGCCCTCGTGGGGTTGATGTTTCTGGAGTCGTCTTGGTTGTGCTAGCGGGGCTTTCTTCCTCCTTCAACACCAGCAGAGGGGAATTGAAACTCCGATTACTCGCTGGTGAGTACGGGCCGCTCTTTGATGGGGGTGAATGGAGCAATTGTTGGGGAGATTCTTGCCTGCGTCCATATTCCAACGCGCTGGCGGATCTGATTTCCGGAATCATAGAAAGTCGCTTCAATCCAGACGTTCCAGTCGTCGTATCACTACCGCCCCTAGCGTGTGCCACTGAATTGGTTCGGTTGACAAGATGAAGGGGTCTGGGCTTTCGTTGACTCGCACCGGCCAAGGAGATTGACCGATACAGCCCACCCGCAGGTTGGTGAAGTTCGTTCATGTTTGGTGAGGATCTCGATGACAGGATGCTGTGACGTGCCTTACTTAGATTATCCTCCATATGTGTTAGTCGTTTCCTGGCATGTTCAAGAATCCTTTCTGCTCGTTCGTTGAGGAGAGCCATCTCGTCTTCCGCGTTTGTCGTAACTGTGCTATTTCTCTTACTCTCCGGATCTTCAATCTCTTCGTCTGGGACCTTTGCAACATCTGCGGCCAGCCTTTCATTCATGATCTTGGAGGTATCAAAGTCCTCCCAATTTCCCAGATCGGTGCCATTGCTCGAGGACGATTGATTGCTCAGTCGCCGGGCCGCGTGCAGCAGAGGACCCGCGGGGGATGGCGAAGGAGGGTCTGATATGAGCGGGCTCTCGGTGCGCCGACTTTTCTTCGACTTTGGGGTTTCCTCCTCTCCAATATCGCTCAAGGGGGCTCCGTGTTCGTACCCGTAGTAGTTGGTATTGATAGGAGGGACCGCCCTTGAGGGCATCCTAATGGTTGTCGCAATCCCTAACTCAACCGCAGGTTCAAGCTCGACGGGAGAGGAGCCCAGCGACACCGCGGAATCTGGACGTAGAGGCAGTGGAGAAGAGTGTAGAATTGGCGAAGATGCGCGAGGACTGGGACTCGAGTCAAGGTGAGGCTGGTACGGCAAAATCATGTCGGGATTTGTCAAAGTAGGCGACGGAGGGACTTCCTGCGTAAACAGGTCGTGCGGGATGGCGGGAGGTATAGGATGAGCGTGCGCACTCGCCATAATGACGAAGATCGGGGGGACGAGCTGTACAGTTGACTCTGACAGAATGCGACAGCGCGGGAGACGACGAGCTGCTGGCTAGGAAGACAGCACCAAGTCCCAGTGAGAAATTGCTAAAGCATCCCGGCGGCCAAGGGGGATCGAGGGACGTCGTCGTGAGGATTGCGGCGAGAGTAGACTCAGTGCGACTTTTGCAAGAAATGGAAATTGGATATGGGAGAGATGTGCGAACGCAGGAGAGAGAAATCTGGGAAACTGGATCTGCACTCCAAAGCCCTGCCCCCCGGGCTCGTCAGATTGTTGGACAAGGGGGTTTCGCAAGTGGCAGAGCAGTGAGTGCAGTAGTTCACCAGGCTGAGATGGAGAATGAGTGCGGGCTCCGGGATGAGGAGTTTTGATGGCGCACAGCCAGGCCCATCCAAGCCCATACAAGCGAAGATGAAAGGAGTGGAAACAAGGCGAGCTGCAATCGTGACTGGCTACCGCCCCTGCATCAAGCACCCGGCAGCGCCAACGAATGCTGAATCTTCAGGGAACCCGCCCAACCGGGGCAGCCCAGTCGGAGCCACACCAGCCTGTCAGCTGCGCCCAGAGCCACCAGAGCGTTAGCTGCGCAAATCTCCATCAAAGAACAAGACTCGATCGTTGAAAACCTTCGCTCACCTGACACGACTTGCCATCCCTATCCACCATCCCCCAAGTTGCAATTTTGGCCCCGCGTTCCATGGTGCAATCCTGTCATTGTCAAAAGCAGCAGCAGGTAAGGCCAGGACGCCTCTGCGGATGTCGATAATAGCAATTCACTGCTGACGAAAGTGACCGAGAGTAGTCGTAAGTGAAACGAGCTCGAACCTTCGCAGCCCACCTGATCCAGGCAGACCTCCGAAGCGCCAGAAGAGAAGCCTCTCAGTGAACGTTCTGAAGAATGCCAGCCTTTGTCCTTGTCCCTGCATTACCCTCCGATCTCGAGGAGATAGTCCGCGTCCAGTTCGCAGCCTGCGCCTCCGATCATGGTTTTCCTGTCATCTTTCCCAAGGGACCCACGTTGACTTCTATCACGTATTTCGTGCGTTTGTTCGAAAATGAAATGGAGAATGACCCCAGCTGTCATGTCATGGTGGTCAAAGATGCCATGTCCGGCGAGATCGCGAGCTATGCTTTCTGGCATTTTTACCCACCCAGAAGCCAAGAGGAGGTCGAGCGAGAAATGCTGATTCGTGAATTTCCACTCCCTGATGACGCCAATAAGGAACTGGGAAGTCGGTTGATTCACCATAGCGTTAGGAAACGGCATGAAGTCGTTGCATCAGCGATAGGGACTGAAAAGGCCTATGTGTGTAAGCAATTCCCCGTCCCCGTCTTTGACCTGGTCAGTTGTTCAAACTGACCCCATGACAAGTTCTTGCCGCTATAGGCACCAGCCCGAAATACCAGAAGCAAGGTGCTGCTTCTCTCCTACTCCAATGGGGTCTGGAACGGGCCGATGACCGAGGGCTGTCAATCTATGTCGAGAGTGCTCCAGCCGCATTACGACTCTACGAGAGGCATGGCTTCAAGGAAATTTCGAAATTTCCCCTCGAGATGTCACCATGGAAGGAGGGAGAATATTTGAATGTATGCATGGTCCGGCAGCCTCCAAGCTGAATATTTCTTAACCATAACGCCATTCTGATGCCTCATCGATGTTTTCCTGGACTTTACTCGGCCCGTACTTTAGCCCTGACCATCAAGGGTCCGTGCTTTTCTCCTATTCCAACGCTGTCCACGATCAATTCCTCCGCGGGATCTAGTACTTCGAGATCGAATCGACGCCAGACAGCCGTCAATACTTTGACGATGCTCATCGTCGCCACGTTCCTGCCTATACAGGCTCTATGACCAGCGCCAAACGGGGCGAGATCGTTGGGAGACAGTGGCTTCGATGGATCGAGCCATCGCTCGGGACGGAAGATGTTGTGGTCAGCGCCCCAAACAGAAGGGTTGTGATGAATGACCTGGTTGATCATCGAGACGTTGGTCTGTGAGAGGGCAGATTAGCATGATGCTACAATCTTTCACATTGTCAAAACCTACCCCAGGGGGAACATAGACACCATCAATCACTGCACCTTCGGGATCACACACTTTGCGCGGTAGCGGCATGGTAAACACTGGTGTCATGCGGAAATTCTCACGGATGCAGGCCGTTGCGTACGGCAGCTGCGCTTCCAATCCCGCATAAGCTGGTAAGGAGTCTCCGGCAGTATTTTGTAAGGGGATACATTCCGTGATCTCTTTGGTCAGCTTCTCTGTCGCAGTCTTATTGTGCAGCAGATGGTAGAATAATAGAGTCAAGGTGCCGGAGGTCGTATGTGCCCCTGCCACCAGAAAGGCAAATGCTTCCGAACTGACAGCCATCTCTGACAAACGCTCACCAGTTTCGGGGTCTGTGGCGCGGATCAGCCTGGTCAGGATGCTGTGCTTCTCGCTCATCTTTTCTCTGGCCATCTCGCGGGCGACGCATGCTGATGTCCTGTCTCTCAGCGATTTCCTGCTCTTGAGGAGATACTGCAGCCACGGGAGCGGAACATAGTTTGCAAATTTCATGCTATACGGGAGCAATGACGGGAGCAGGCCAAACAAGCAGCCCAGGAAGATATGCTCGTTGATGGGTGGCAGCAACGCCGGGTCCTGGGCATCTTGAGATCCGAATTCGGTGTGGAAGGCCAACTCCCCCATGACATCGTAGGCGTAGAAGCCGACGATATTCTTCAGATCAAAGGGTTCCGAACCCTTTGCGGCGATGGCGTTGAGGAGGTTGTTGAGATGGCGGTTGAAGATGGACTCCATCTGCGCGAGGGAGGCGACGGAGAAGCTGTGCGCCATCTGACGACGCCTCTTTGCGTGTAGCTATTTGTATCATTAGCCTTTCCCTCCTAATCAAAGACAGCGAAAAAGAACTGGCAAACTCACGTCTTCGTCACGGGTCCCAAACGAGTTTGGGTGGAAAGTCGTAAACCCTTCGTACATGTCGCTCTTGATGAATCGCCGGCCGCCCTTGTAGACCTCCTCGAGGATCTCGACGCTCTGGAAGCTCAGCTCGTTCGGGGCCACGCGCACGACGGGCCCGTACTTTTCGTGCACCTTAATCATGGTGTCCGGCATGCGTCGGGTGCACAGGTGATAGACGCGCCACAGATCCGTGTGGCGGGCCCAGAAGGGGCCCGGGTGCTTGCTCAGCGGGTGGAAGAACTGGTTGCGCACAAAGGACGCGAGGACGAAGAGGACGGGCAGTCCCAAGAACAAGAGGTAGGGTGATAACATGGCGGCGAGAAGATCGATTTATTTCCCTTCTGTTTTTTCTCGTGATGGATGAGGCGAGATGTCGGTTTTGTGGCGGTATTTAAGTGACACGGCCAAAGTAAAGAGCAAAGACAAGAGAAGAAGAATATCAAGGGACGAAAGAAAAGTCCAAAGGTCCTTCAATAGTGTTTCTGGTATTACTCACAAGGACAGACACTCTTTCTTTTGAATCCCTGGATGGGCTTTGCTTGATATAGGACTCTGGACTCGGGCCTCGGGACTTGAGAAGCAAGCACGCACACAAGATATACGTGTTTTTCCTGAAACCGGGGGGAGCCTATCCCACCCACCTACGCCTGTGATTGCCGGCTGACGTACATGGTGGGAATCTATGCCTCGTACACCTCCAATCCGAGTTTCCTTGTTTATCGACGATGGAATGGAAAGGAGGGGATTCCCTTGGTTCTGCCCATTGCCCGAGACGGAAGAAACATGGGCGTTCCGTGGGTGGACGAACAGATGGGGAGGAGTCGGAATGGTCCGCCCTGGATCATCGTGGAGATAAAGCCAGGAATCAAAACAGGTTGTGGTGGTTTGCAGGAGAGTACCAGAGAGGAGAGTGTGTGTGTTTGAGAGTCAGACAGGGCCGTATACTTTGAGTTCTGATGCTCGGAACATCATCAACTCTCCACTGCTGTGATTCCGAGCTCTTTTTTGTGGGCAATTGTGGGGATTCCCCATCCCTTTTGGAGTCTCCGACTTTGTTTTCAGCCTAAAGCACGGGGACTAGTAGCCCAGCGAGGATCGCGACTTGGAATCGAAAACGCTAACCCCAACTTCTGCAGGTGATTGTAGCCTCGTCGTGCGAAACGGCCGAGATACCTCCTACAGCGACTTGCTTTTGTTCCATGACCCGATATCCATTCAAGCCGAGTTCATTGCCGTGTTGTGTTCCATCTCCCGCCGGCTTAAGCGACACATCCCTAACGAACGAGTGAGACGATTGGGTGTCCACAACCAGATGTACCCGGTCAATGTACCCAGTCGTGGTTCTTGAATATCGTCGCTCTCTCGTAAGCCCGAGGAAAGTAGTGACCCTCAGATCGAGCGAGAGATCCCTAACAACGGAGTTGGGGGTGGGCAAAACCCGGGAGAAGAGGTCGAAAGGCTTGAATCTGACAAGACCCGTTGTGTATTGCTTGTACGTACCTATTTGTAGGTACTGAGGCTTCCCATTCTCGGCCCGCAGACGTGTTTGGGAGAGTTGCTCTGCCGGATATATCGACCACCAGTCTTCAGGTTCTTCTGCAAAGGATTCGATTGCCTCCCTTCTCTCCTGCCCATTACTGTCTCTGGGAAGTTTGTGTCCTGAGTGTAGCAGTCTCTTCCCTGGGCCCTTGTAAACAAGGGTTGCAGAATGGCTATAAATGCCGTTTGCCTCGACTTCCATTGCCCTTCTGCATCGAGTGAATGTGCGACGTCGCCAGTGCTGATGCAGACGTGGGTGCCAGCTCGGGCACAGCCTCTTCCTCCTCCGAGAACTGGCCGAGACCTCCCATTGAGGTCCAGCTTTGGATTGTCTTCATACCGGGAAGATCATACCGGGAAGAATGGAAGCTCGAGGGGAGTTCACCAATGAAATTCTTCAGCTTGTCGAACAGTCTGAGTAGTGTCAGTCCTCAGCTCTAGGTAGGGCACTAGATAGTACTCCCACTCCAGACGTCGCCGATCATGAGATTGGGGTACCTGGTCTGCTGGTGCATGGTACGAGAATATGTTTGATATGAGGATAGAAGGCCGAGTGTTTGCCGGGTTCAAAACGACGAACGCGCTCACTTGGTTGTACGGGGTTGCGTGAAGGACATTCGCCTAGAAGGTGCTATACTTGATAGATGTACAAAAGCTCAGGGTGGAGCAGCATTCGCTTTCTCTCAAAGACCGAATGGAAGAAGAGTATGTAATTAAGTTTTTTGGTTCGCGAGCACTCGTGATAGCTAAGCCTAGGAGCACCGGGGAGACTCGGGGCACCCAGTGGCTCCCAAGGGCACCCGGGGAATTGGTTTAGAGGTCGGCACCAGCGCCCAGCTTCCGCACCCCGCCCACCCGCACCCCAGAGAAAACACTCGCTGGCGTCGTCGCCGGGTTGGCACGGGTCACAGATTGGTACCAACTACCTTTGTAGTTAGTTATTCTTTCTATATTCTTACTTGACTCAGCTCAAAATCATCTCAACTCCGATCTACCCATCGACACGTCGCTCTAATTGCTCTCTATAAGCACCAGAGGAGCTCCTAATTCCACGAACTACTGCGCCTGAGATGGTACATCTGGTCTCATGGAACCACCAAAGAAAAAGGCAAGGCAGAGTGTTGCCCGACGCGCTCCCTACGCTGCTGCGGCCTGTGACTACTGTCATGGCCGGAAACTGAAATGCTCGGGGGATCGTCCCTGTCTTCGCTGCAAGAAACATGCCATCTCATGCAGTTATCCCGCAGCAAAGCCGGACTCAACCTCTACAGTTCAGCCTCGGGACGCTCAGACGTAAGTCTCGTCAAATCCCCCGCCCAGGAACTCGTGATAGACGAGGGTCCTGACATAGACAGGTTGCCCGACGCCTTGTTCGCCAGCATCGAAGATTTACAGCGTAATCTGGACGACTTCAAAACCCAACTTCGAGGAACCACAGCTCCCGAGCAGCCAGGACCAGGACCTGCGAACCCAACTCCGCCAGAAATACTTCCACTGTCTCGAAGTCCACCTAGAGACGAGCAGGACGATGTCGCCCCTTCGAAACGACAACTAGATCCGGACGTCCTCGATGTATATGCTGGCCCGACCAGTTACGCGTTTGGAATGGTTACAGCAGATGCAAGGCTTTCCAACCTCACCCCATCCAGTAGGGAATTTGCGACAACTGATAGCCCATCGCCCCCGGAAATTGTGGTTCCTGCACCCTCACAATCAACTGCTCGACCCGCTGAAGCTTGGGAAGGCCACGGCGAAACTTCGCTGGAGAAATTCACCCTCGACGACGCCGTACATTGCCTGGACACCTTCCAAGCTGTGTTCGGCGTCCTCCATCCTCAGCCGCATCTTGAGAAGATACGGCTAAGCTTGCCTAGCCTGTTAAGATCTGCTAAAAGGTCACTTTGGAGTCGGCCAACCACTCCAGGGCACTGTGGGCTCTTGGAAATGTTTAAACTCATCCTGGGAATCGCCTTGGTTGCCCAGACCGGAGGTAGAACAACGTTGTCAGACACTCTTTACCAGAGTGTAGAGCCTACCATCGCTGCTGCTGTCTTCCAACGCTCCATCAGTCATGACTTTCGGGCTTTGTTACTGCTCGCGGTATGGGAAACATTGTCGCAGGAAAGCCCATTACTGATCAAGAATTAGGCTATATTCCACTTCTCCAATGAAGATCTAGTCCTTGGATCCAGAGCCATCATGTATGCGGCACGCACCGCTGTTGAAGAAGGGCTCTATCGAATTGAAAAGCTCTCGGTCCTTGTCCCCGATGAAAAGGAACGCCAGGTGATCATCCGGCAGCTATGGAGCTTGTTTGTACTGGACCGTCAGCTCAACTTCGCCGCGGGGCTACCATATCATCTCGGTGACAGTGACGTCGACCTACCCCCTCCTGTAAGTCGTTCCCACTGACTCCGCTGAGTATGTCTGCTGATGAGTTACACTGTAGGTCGGCGACGGCTACCTCGCTGCAATGGTCAGCTACGTGACATTCGGGGCGCAAGCATGGAACTCGCTGGTGAATCGAAACCTGTTGGCCAGTGGACAAGCTCCATCTAAAGATGCAATGAACTTTTTCCACTACCAGGTCCATCAATGGCATCAGGATTTGGACCCTTCGGTATGCTTTGACCCCGCGGCGATAGAATCGGACGACCATAGCTTCTTCACCTCCACATCTGATGAAATGGAGGTGTATCGCAAGACTCTCCTGTATCTTCGCGCAAATCAGATCCAAATCCTCGTCCTCCGTCCCATACTCATCTATCCTCAGACCGCTCGCAACAATACCGCCCTGGTAATGGAAGCTATCAGCTTGGCCAGAAAGTCTATCCGGACGTTGAGAGTTTTGGCCACCGACGTCTATTTCTATAGAACAAGGCAAGCACTCTTCAACCATTTTCTATCCTCTTCGTTGGCGGTTCTCTTTCTGGCAGCAGCATACGATGCAGAAACCCGGGCAAATAAAGCCGGATCTATGGACAGTGCAGCCACACTACTGGAGAATTCGACGATTGAGCTTCAGCAGGGCCTCGATTTGATCGATTTCCATCGCTCTCATTCGCACTCGGCTGCGCGGTTGTGGACACGCTTCTACCGGCCAAGACAGCAGCTGATTCGACTGGGTATCTTACCAAGCACTGCTGAGACAAGATATCAACAAGATCAGCATCCCCACCAAGGCTCAACAAGCGCAGGTCGAACCGACACGCCGGAACAGGAAGAGCGCCACGTAGCCGGTATAGTTACCGACGGACACACTGGACCAAGCGGAGCAGGGGATCTTGATTCCCAGCTGGATGTGTCGGTTCCTGTCGGCTTCGATCCTGCGACTTTTGATCCTGAGAATAATCTATTGTGGGTAGACTGGTTTGACGGGGCATTCATGGATACCTCCGTCCCATTTGGCATGCCGGCATGGATGTGATGGGTCGGGTATAGACACGACCACCGAGTGTGTCATTCGAACCAGTAACGTACGTAAATATCCAAGTACCTAAACTCTGACTCGATCACGCATTCGCAGTCCTAGCCGGCTTCATGGAGATCCAGGTGGCGAAAGCACGGCATACCTCACACCACAGGACTCGAGGAAGGGTGCCACAGCCATGTGAGGCACCATGTGGCAAAACCAGACGCCGGCACGTATCGTACTAAACTCATTAGTCCAAAGTACAGGCCGGAAGTAGCTATCTTAAGGCCATCACATTCATGTTGTCCACCGGGTCACCTGTTCCATACTCCACCGGGTCTGGGGTTGGGGTGGTTTTTGTCAATCCAAGCTCTCTGATAGAGAGATACTCCGGCTGTATCGAAGAGTAATATACCTCCATCCGTATAGATCCAGCGCAGCATGCCGAAGAACAATGTAATAAGTCTGTGCTTGCAGCCACGGTGCCTGTAGAGGCAGTGACACAACGAGGGAATTGAGTCGCTGCCTTAATTGTCACGACGGTAGGGCCCGCACCGCAAGCTTAAAGCAGCATTTATGCGGAGATAGAAAGAGACGGCTCGACGCTAAGTCCTGGTGCTAAAGCAGCGTGGGGCCCTCACTATCAGGATTCCCCCTGTTACTGCGCCCCTTCGACTCTGCAACTTCGCTTCTCATCCATCTGGCAGCAGTCCATCTCGCAGCTCACAACTTGCTGGGTGAACAGCGCTTCTCTCAACGACTCGAGATCTTGGTCAGAGCTAACCCCTGAAGAGCTCCTGCATGTCGCTTCTCAGGTGGAATGGAGCATTCGCCAACCTTGTACCCTGGTTCACCGCAGGTCACAGCGTCCCGGATTCGGTGCCATCGCTGGCAATTTAGGCCGAAATGTTCCAGGCTTCTAAGCCAATCTCACCGCCAATGACCTGCCGTCCCTACCTCCTTCCGACGGAGTCAGGATCAGTTGAACCGCCTTTTCTCCAATTCTGATAACGACTGATCCATCAGAAACAGATGGGAAAGCACGGTACTTCGCAGTCCGTCGTGAGTTGTCAGAGCGAACGGAGCCGTACCCTGCCGTTCCCGACGCCTCACAGGCCGACAAGGTGATCAACAAGGTCAACACTGGCCGCTGTCCCCGCCATCAACCCGCATTTCCCCAAGTTCTTCCCCTGATTGATCCGCCCCGCGCAAAACATTCCACCGGGACCCGCAAGGCATCCACAAATCATGGTGCTGTCTGCGGTATGGTTCGGTGTTGATATGGGCGAACAGCCTGATGACCACGCATAGGCGATGATCCGGCAGTTGGAGAACACATGGCAACAAGAGCATTCCTTGCGACCTTGACGAGTCCTTGACCGACCATTTAAAGAGGTGTAACCCTCCCTTCCCCAGCTGCCGGGGTCTCTCGGAGCTTCTGCAAAGTGGTCCACCACAGCCATACCTCTGTGCTTATCAGCAAAGCTCTCTCCGAGCTTTGAACGCCCCGGATTGCAGTGCTCCTGTCATCTCACTTCTTACCAACCTTTCCCTGCTCAAAATGGACGAAAAGGTAGCGAGAGCGGATCAAAAGGACGTTGCGTACGACAGCGACCCGAAGAGAGAAGTCCTCGAAGAGATCGAAGGTGTTAATGGCCTAAAGACGGTCGAGGTCGGCTTCGCAGCTGATCAGGTGATTGTCGAAGTTGACCACAAAGAGCGAACCCGGATTCTGAGAAAGGTCGACTACCGCTTGATCCCGATCCTTGCCGTCTTATACCTGTGAGTGGAGACTGCGTCGAAACGAGCTTGTGTCTGCTAACCCTGCCGCCAGGTTGGCATTCATCGATCGCGGGAACATTGGCAATGCCAAAATCGCCGGTCTCTACGACGACCTCCATCTCCATGGAATGCAATACAACACCGCCTTGACATTGTTCTTTGTGCCTTATGGCTTCTTTGAAGTACCATCCAACATCGTGCTCAAGATCCTGCGGCCGTCGATCTGGATATCTGTCTTGATGTTCTGTTGGGGTAAGATATTTGGCTTTGATATGCAAAGCCTGCAGTGACTAATATGTCGTAGGAACCGTGATGACTCTTATGGGTGTGGTTTCTACCTATGAGGGCCTTTTGGTAACAAGATTCTTCTTGGGCGTGGCTGAGTCGGGCTTCTTCCCTGCGGCGACATACCTACTCACGATCTGGTGAGCACCTCCTGGAGGATTACAGCATGAAGATCTTCTAACGTGTACAGGTACATGCGATACGAGGTGCAACGCCGGATGGCTCTCTTCTACGCTTCTGCCTCGCTTTCCGGTGCGTTCTCCGGGCTGTTGGCGTATGGGATTCAGCACATGGACGGCGTAGCAGGACTGGCAGGCTGGAAATGGATCTTCATTATTGAAGGTCTTGTTCCTGTGGCTGGCTCCTTGGTGGTCTGGTTCGTGCTTCCGGACAACCCGGAGACAGCCAAATTCCTCACAAAGGAGGAGAAAGAATTCATCATAAACCGGCTGGCTCTCGAGACGGGTTCTGGCCATGGTCGGGTGACAAACACTGACCGAATTCGAATGCGCCACATCATTGCGGCGTTTAAGGAGTGGAAGATCTGGGGTGGTGTGATTATATTCTGGGCCAACACTGTATGTGCTTGCCTTTCCTGCCAATCCATAATGTACTGACCAGGGATCTTGCAGATTGGTGTCTACGGCTTTACGGCTACGGTGCCATCTGTGATTGAGGGCCTCGGATACACCTCGGCCAATGCACAGCTGATGACGATCCCGGTAGGTTCTTCGCGTGGCGCCTTAGCAGAGAGGCAGTTGCTAGAGGGAGGCTTGAAACTAATTGGTGTTGTACAGATTTACGTTTTTGCCATGATCTTGACGCTTATATTCGCCTTCTGGTCGGACAAAGTCCAGCAACGAACGCCGTTCATTATGGCCGGGTTCAGCATTGCGGCGATCGGCTTCATCGGCGAGCTTGCAATTCCCCATCCCAGATTACCAGGCGTGACGTATTTCTTCCTCTTCCCGCTTGCAGCAGGTCTTTATTGCCCGTTTATCTGTCTCGTGTGCTTGATCGGGAACAATCTGGCTCCCAGCTCCAAACGGGCCGTGGGCATGGCTCTGCTCATCTCTATGGTGAGTGTTTCTGACCAGTTCTGGATGACGCTGACAACATCAGGGCAATTTCGGTGGCATCGCTGGGAGTAACATCTATATTGCATCTCAAGCACCGAAATACCCGACTGGATTCGGGACTGGCTTGGGCATCTGCGTGGCTGCGGTCATCATGGCATACGTGCTGCGAGTCGCATATCGACGGGAAAATGCCAAGCGCGATGCATTCATGGTTGGCAAGACGGACGAGGAGATCAAGGCACAATACACGGAGCAGGAACTTCTGGATCTGGGAGACAAGAGTCCCTTCTATCGGTATACAGTGTGAGTGATGCAGTGGAGTATAATGATGCTGTAGCAGGGATTGTAAAAGGGGCGGAAGAGCAAGGGGGTGTGAGAGTGCCAGACATGGTTCTGCCATAGTACCTGACAGATATCTGCATAGGTGGTCAGTAGGCCATGTCGACAAAGGGAGTACGTACGAAAGGACATGGATATAGCCTTGGGCATTCCATCTTGTGTGTTGTGTCTCCAATATTTCTCTGGTACGTTGGAGAACCAAGGCTGTTGAGAAATGTAGTATTGTAGCTGTGCCCGAGTACTTACATGTAGGTAAGTTGGGTCGGCACCTACTAGGTAGTCTCTGGGTAGTGGAGCGTACTTGTACGAGTACAATTGCCACCGGCCCTGATGCACCATATCGCACTTAGTTTCCTGGGTATACCGGGTATACTGGGTACATGTCCCAACCATCAGGCATTCAATAGATTTTGTGCAAGTACAAAGTATCTTGTGCTTGTCTTGGTACCTTGGTACCTTGGCGTGCTTGGACATGACAACGTGCCAAGACTCTCTCTTTGACCAGTGAAATCACGAAATTGCACCACGTGTAGAAACTATGAGTTTTCATTGGATCCCTTACGAGGTATTTGATTGGACAGGACGGATTCGTACCCTCTCTGCCCTTCTCCTTGGGTCCAACAAACCGTATCGAGACGTATTGTGTACTCGGTATGTATGCATGCATTACCTTGGCTGACTAGCTACCTAGCTAGACGAGGCTCAAGAAATCTCGGCGTACAGAGAAGGAGAGAGGGAATGTTTCTTGTCTTTGTTTTTCAGGGCGGAAGAAAGATTGAAGAGTTGGAGGGACGTCGAGACAGAGTTTTTCAAGGGTGCAGGGGTCTGAGCGCTCGAGTTAAAGCGGCGATACTCGTCCAGTTCTGCTTTGGCGACGTACATAGCTACAGTAGGGAGCCAGCAAGGCCAGGTAGCTAGGAGTTGGTGAGGTCGGACGAGGCTTTTGCGGAACAGAGGTGTCAACTTTCACATTCTACGTCTACACCTACCTAAAAATGCGTTCGTCACTCGCCCTCGCCTCCCGTCTGGCAAATATCCAACTCACACTCTTCACCCGCGCCAACTGCGGTTTGTGCGACGTGGCGAAAGCGCGCATTGGCGAGTTTCTCACCAAGAACGACGACAACAACAAAGGTACCATCAAGAACGAGAATGAGGATGAGAACAACAGCAAAAGCAAAAGCAGCCGCATCGTCCACTACGCCGAAATCGACATCATGGACCCCGCCCATACCAAGTGGAGGGACGTCTACGAGTTCGATGTGCCCGTGTTACACGTCGATCGTTCTGGGACTGGAAAACTAGGAGAACCAAGTCAGGACTTTGTACCGACACTCGACGCGGCGAGGAAGCTCATGCACAGGTTCACGGCGCAGGAAGTGGAGAATGCGGTTGTCGAGGTGGAGCAGCAGCAGCGAGGATCAGGCTCAGAGTCAGCCTCGGCCTCATCCTTATGATTTTCGCACCCTTTGTCTTTACAGAGCATCAGTTCCTGTCTACTTCTTCTCCTGCGTCACTAGGTTCGCCGCCCCATATGCCGCGCCCTTGACGGCCTGGGCAGCCGCGTGCCCAAACGACCCCTTGGCCTTGGAGAGTGACTCTGCCATGAATACCGGCACCGCCGTCATGTCGTTCACCACCGAGATCTGCGCCACAAAAGTCAGTCACTGGACACCACATTCGATGGGAAACGGAGAGACGAACCATCTGGAATCCCATGTCGGCATACTGTCGCGCCACCTCGCCCGAAGGGCAGTATATGCCGGACTTTTTCCCGGCGTCTTGTGCCGCCTTTAATATTCTCGCAATCGCCGCTTTCAGTTCGGGGCTGAAGTCGCCTTTGACGGGGTATCCGATGTTGTTTCCCAAATCCCAGGGTCCGATGAAGAGCACGTCAATGCCGTCCACTTTTGCGATTTCTTCGACCTAAAAAGGGCCAAACCAGAAAGTAAAAAAAGTCAGTCTCTTTCTTCTCGCTTCTATCCACACAGGGACCGACAGCGCGGGAGGGTGGAAACAACGCACACAGTCCAAAGCCTCCTTGGTCTCGATCTGCACAATGGTCAAGAGATTCTCGTTGGCGTTGTTCATGTAGTCAAATCCAGAAAGGTCGCCTGTGCCATCGAACGCGCCCATGGAGAAGGGACTGCCGAAACCGCGTTTGCCGTACGGCGGGAACTTTGCCGTCTGCACCAGCCTCTTGGCGTCGTCGGCACTGTACAGCAGGGGCACGATGATGCCGTGGGCGCCGGCGTCGAGGGCGCGCTTGACCATCCAGCCCTCGTTGGCGGGGATGCGCACAATGGGGCTGACGTTGCATGCGGCGACGGCGTGGACCGACTCGTGCATCTCATTGTCTATACATCCCAAGAGTATACACTGTTAGCCCCGCCGGTCTGTCTATCTATGAGTGTTCAAATTGCCCGCCCAGGCAGAGAAGGCGACGACAAACTAACTCACCCGCAATATTGCCATGTTCGCAATCAATGCAGATCCAGTCAAAACCCGACCGCGCAATGGTCCGCGACAGGTGCGAGCCGGGGAGCATCTGCCACGCGCCGAACGAGAGGCCAGACCCGGTATTCAGCGCCTTGCGCAGGGTATTTGCTTTTTGCATAATGGTGGCCATACTGTGCTGGCGAGACTCTCGAGAGGGAGAGACGACAGTGGAAAAACTGTACGGGTGACGGGGTATGTATGTATGTGTTGACTTAAAAACTCGCTCGGTATTTGTAGAGCGAGAGGGAGAGAGCCCGAGAGATGGGAGTTGGAGTATGTGTTTTTTTTTCCTCTCCTCTTTTCTTTTGAAGGACCAAGTCAACACGAATAATACTATCCGAGTATAAGAAAACCTGTGAAATAACACGAGAGAACAAACACAAGACCACGAGACAAATACACACTCTTTTTTTGGATGAGTCCTGTCCTCAATTGATCGATTATAATCCGTCGCGCCCTTTTACTACCAAGGCAGTTGTCGGCGAGCGACCCTTTCCCCCTCCCCCCACTTTCGCTTTGTCTTTGTCTTTGCATATGACGCTTGTCGCCGTGAGGGGGGTATTTTTGAGGTGTGAGGTGTGAGGTGTGGGGGGACAGAGAGGGGACTTGGACGGGTAGGTGGTAGGATACGAGCATTTTCACAGAGACAGAAGAGAGGGCGCGCGGGGGTGTGTATGTCCTCTTGGTACCTACCTCGCTACATGGCCTTGATGGTAACCCCTAGTACCTACCTAGAAAGACGAGAGGCTCGGTGGGTGTTGTACCGAGAACGATGGACAGACGGAGCTCTACGACTAGGTACTCGTGACCTGTACCGAGTACAAGGAAGGCTTACTTACCAGCTACCTACCTACCAAGGAGCTATCGAGGTGGCGTGGGTGGCTACCCAGGTATGTAGGTAGGTACATAGCTCGATAGGCAGTGGCACTGTACCTCGTACGGAGTAGGTATGTAGGTACCGAGTAATTACCTCGTACAAACACAACAACCTCCCCAAACCAACATGCCTAGAACGAAGCCCCCCCTCAGCTCCCTCACTCTGCAGGTCCGACGGTACGGAAGCCGGAAATACCATCCCATCCCACCACATCCCACCACATCACATCCCGTCCCATAACCTCCTCGCGGGTAGCGTGGTGGCTTCACCGTCTAATTTGTATGTACTTGTCCCTTTTACTCGTATGCCATATACATACTCCGCACATCTCAAAGGACATCTCACAGACAAACTCTACCGTACTTCACTTGCACTTTTGTATTTATATTTGCACAGCAACTTATTTAGATCCTCCCAATCCTCGGTAATATTGTTTGGTTCAATCTACAAAAAATGGCTAGAGTATCCTATCCTATCCTACCCTACCCTACCCGGCCAGACACCTACAGCTTACTGCTGCCGCTCGGCCGCTCCAACGCATTGATCGCGTTGCGGTAGTTCTTGACCAGCTGCCGAATGGCCAGGTCGAGCATGACGTCCTCGCTGCCACCCGGGATCCGGGCGCCGGGGACCTCGCGGTAGATGCGCTCGGCGATCTCGCCCTGTCCCGTGCGCGTGTAGCCGTTGCCGCCGAACAGCAGCACGGCCGTCTGGGCGCACTCGTTGAAGACGATGCCGGCTTTGGCCTTGGCCAGCGCCGTCAGGCCGCCGAGCTTCAAGTCCGCCTCGGCCTTGGGGAGCTGTGTCATCTGGTACAGGAACTGCTCGACCCAGGCCTGCATCGACTCGAGCTCCGCGGCCGCCTTGGCCAGCCGGTGCCGCACCACGGGCTGCTCGATCAGGGCCTTGCCAAACGCTTCGCGTTTCATGACGTACTCAAACGCCGCCGCCAGGGCCACACGCGACTGTCTCGTCACGCCCACCGCGATGGTCAGCCGCTCGTGGTTGAAGTTGGTCATGACGTAGCGCATGCCCATGCCTTCCTCGCCGATGAGGTTCTCCACGGGCACCTTGACGTCGTCCAGCTCGATAAAGGTCGTGCCGGCGCTGATTTGCCCGGCCACTTTGAGCCGACGCATCGTCACGCCCGGGTACCCTTTCAACGGGCACACGATCATGCTCAGACCCGAGGCGCCGGGACCGCCCGTCCGAACGGCCATGGCGGCGAGGTCTGACCAGTATCCGTTGGTGATCCATTTCTAGATATCATCTTCAATTAGCCCTCTCCTCTTTCCCCCCAAACACATTTTCTTTCTTTCTTTTTTTTTTGTTGGTTGGCGGGTGGGATTGTAAATAAATACCTTTTGTCCATTGATAATGTAGTGTTTCCCATCTGCCGTCTTCTTCGCCGTTGTCTGGATGTTGGCCACGTCACTTCCGGCACTGGGCTCGGTGATGGCGATGCATGCTCGCTTCTTGCCGGGGAGGAGGTCGTAGAGGAATTTCTCGTGCAGGGCCCTGTCGCCGAACTTGAGGATGGCGGGTATACCTGGCGGCAAAGGTCAGTCGACAGACAGTCTCAAATCGCAGCACACCCCCAGGATCATGCGGATTCTCCCCCCGGGATTCGAATTTCTTGGGGGAAAAGGGGGGGGGGGGGGGGAAAAAAAAGGTCACCCACCAAAAGCATGACCGGCAGTCATGGAGGCGCCTGGGCCGCCGACACCAGCTCGCGCCATCTCGTCCAGGTAGATGCCCGTGTGCAGGTAATCCCACTCCTCGATCGGGGTGCCCAGAATGTCGTGGATGCCCACTTTGTGGAGCCACTCGACGGGCAGCGGCGCCGGCAGGTTGGGGATCAGCATGTTGGCGTCGCGGAAGGTCTCGAAGAGGTGGTCCGGCACCGTCTCCTCGCGCTCCCACTCCATGGCGTAGGGGATGAGGTGCTCCTCCAGGAACGCCCGACATGCCTTTTGGAACCGCTTGTGCTTCTCCTGGTAGTATGGCGAGGGCATGCCCGCGAGCCAGGGCGGTTCGGAGAGGGGGGTGATGACGTTCGACGACGACATGGTGTTTGTTGTGGAATTGGGTTTGGACGGAGGAGGAGGAGGAATCGAGGGTGGTGATGCTAAGGAATAAGCACGTTCGGGCCCCTACAAGACGAACGAACGAATATACGTACAATCAGTCAATCACTAATTAAAAGGTCAAAATACCTTTGGAGGTCCAGAGACTTCCAAGGGAACATTATGTAGTTCTGACAGCTGCCCCAGATTTTTTCTGACTCTCGTCTGCCCAGGCCCAGTTGCAGCTTGTGGTTGTCGGCATCGAGGTAAATTCGAACTCGGGATGCCGAAAACGCATCCAGCCGACAGTTGCCTCGGGAATTTGAAACGAGGCTGGCCAAAGGACCCCGCGAGGGCACGTGACGAGGCTCTGCAGCCGCCAATGCCGAACGAACCACGAGGATCATCAATCACGAATGGATAATTCTCCAAGAAAATGAACGCCTCAATACATCGCTATCTCAAAACGCCTTGATAATCGTACAGCATGAACCACATATCACATATTCCCGATCCCATCCCATCGCCAGCACCAACAAGAACATTCCGAGTCGCAGTTGGACCAACTAATACGGTGGAGATGGAGAAGCATCAACACCCACAACCTTCCTGTTCATCCTCCTGGCCGTCGTCCTCATGGTGAAGGAGAATTGGATGGCCTTCAAAATCTCTCTGAGGTCGACCACCGTTGCCCACGCCTTGACACCGAATCTCCCGCCGTAGTACTGGCCACCAGTCTCATGGGCCATGTGCCGGTGTTGGTTGAAGGACTCTTGACTGCCGTTCCTGCCCGTCAAGCCTTCCTGGGAAGACCTGGAATCGTCGATGTACTCTGGTGGGATCTCCGACAGTGGGAGCATCCGTGGCTTCGTGATGTCGTACGGAGAAACATCGTACGAGTAGTGGAAATAGACGGAAAACGGCACCATCAGGATACAGGTGGTCATGGTTTCGATGCCAAAGTTGACGTCTGCGTAAGTCATGGTGGAACTCTCTTTCAGCACGCTGGTTGAGCGGAGAATGGTGAAAATGATCTAAGAGACGAGAGAGGCTGTTAGACAAATGATGACAAGGAGAAGGCACAGGACAACCATCCACACATACCTCTTGGATGACGGACAAGCCGATGATGAGCTTGAAAGACAAGAACTTGGCCAGCGGCTTGTGGTGCTTCATGTCCTTTTTCAGCGCATTGTAGAACTTGATGCACGATGCAACGGCAATGAAGACGGAGATGTTGTGGATTATGGTAAGCTGCCCAGGAAATGGTTAGGCTGATCGACTTTGTGAGGCGGATTGCTCGCCGGATGACAAGTACTTACCCAGATATGGGAGAAGTGGATGTTGCTGCTCTCCAGACAATATTTGTTGAAGGCTTGAGTGATGTCTGTGGCGACAGCAATCCCTAGGGATATAACCACGTATTGGAACACGACGACCCATCGTTTCTGTCCAAAGGTCCATCAGCGTCCGGCCTTTCCTGCATATACTCCTCGGGTATATCAACGACGACTTACCCTGTACCATTCTAACCCACTGCCGTGGGCATTGCGCCCCTTCTCGGCAGCTCTGCGAGACCGCGGAACCTCAAGGGCGGCAAAGAAGACGTCGCGAAAATCCGGACTCGGTGAGACAAACTCGCAGAGCAAGAGGAAGAAACTCCCCAAAGCGATTGCTTCCCACACGTCCGTCCACGGGTCGAGGTATGGGTATGCATTCGGGAACGCGATCCCGAGAAGCGACAACAGGCTGTTGAATGGAAGGAGGAGGCAAATTTTCAAGATCCTGTGATGGAAAAGTCTCAGTTTCTGTGTTGTTGGTCGCAGAAAACCCCGATGGGCATCAGACTCACTTGCTCTGCTCGTTGGGTTTACTGAAATGTGTGGCGTGTCTTGCCATGAGAATGGCCATAGACAGGGAAACAAATGCTGTACAGCCGCCCGAGAGACACAGATTGAATTCTCTAAAGGAGAGGTTCCCAATAAATGGGTCTGGAGCATCTGAATTGCACCGTCAATAGAGGTAACTTCCTCGGTCTGCTCGTCTTCAACGTACCGGCTGTTAGGGGGTTGGGCATGCCGCACACGTTCGAGTCCCCATCGTCGTTGCTGGATAGGCCCATCTTTGCAATGTACCTTGTGGAGGTTGTTGTCCTTTGTACAAAAAGTTCTGATAGTCAATGGCACAGATGTTTCTTCGTGATGCTGGCTCAGAGTGCTGGAGGGACCAAGCCCGGACTCTCGAGCAATCTTTATACCATCCATTGAAGTCGATCGTCCTGCCAAAGTACTTCAGAAGCCTCAAGTTGGTCTTTAGAATTTCAGGCCCTCCGTAACCTCTTTCGGGCAAGTGTACGAGGTCCCCAATGCACTCGGTCGATCTGCGCTGTGACAGGGGCAAGTCGCTACTGGCGATCTCCATTGCGAAGGTCGAATGGCATTGCTTCCAAGTATGCACGATGTCATATTTCGCGGCAGTAGACGTCTCAAGCCTTCGAGCAGGCAATTATCGCGAGAGGTTTCATTCTTGCAATGCCCCTTCAGCCCCCAGAGCTTCAGCCTTGTGGCGCAGCTCGAAAAGATTACCGCATATGGACTAGCGCTGCACGAATGCTTCATCTCGCTCAAATCGGTGGCTCCGGACTTCCCACCTTCGGAAATCAGGCGGGCGACTTCAACTGGCTCAAAATGCTGTTCTGTCTGACCAGCCTGCTTTCTGCTTTGCGCGAACCACAGGTGGTTCCGCTCATTCAATCGTTGAACCTCGTCTGACAGATGCCTACCATTTCCACCTTACAAGCTTTTCGCCTAATCGGCTCCGTGCCACCGAAACTCCAATATTGCCCTAAGTGGGTTAAGGGCTTTGACCCTATTAACTGCTGTTCTTTTGTTGCTGCCTGCCAAAAGGGCCACTTCCACAGGCACGATTCATTGACCTTCGAGCAATAATGGACTCCGCTGAGCATGCGAGTAAAGTCTACGCTTTGAGTGCATTTCGCGATGTGGCAATGGATAAAACCGTGTTCCTGGTCAGGTCGGGTGAAGTTGGCTGTGGTCAGAAGTCTTTTCGAGGCGTGAATGAGAAAAGTTGTCTCTACGTTGTTTCCTTCTCCTCATCCTCGACATGCCGAACGTGGGGAGACCAAGTCGGGATTGCCATCTGTGCCGACAGAGGCGGGTGAAAGTGAGTATTGATTCGAATATGCTTTCCTGGACCTGCATTAATAAATCACCCACAGTGTGATTTGGCCCAACCGGAATGCAACAGGTGCACACGTTTGGGGAGAAGCTGTCCAGGATATCGGGACGAGTTTGACCTTGTGTTCCGCGTCCAAAGCCCTACTTCATTCGCTCAGTCTGCGAACCGAGACCGCCGACGCAAGAGGATCAGTCCGCCCTGCAGTTCCGGTCCCAAGAAGTCATCCTCGCAGCGCCCAAACCACGAGGGGCCTGGGGATCGGTGTGAAAAGGACAATATGCCGCATATGGAGATACTCGACCCAGGTGATATCAGCAACCTGTACAACTTTAGTTGAAAGCTAACATGTGTAGATGTCGTGGTTTTCTCTGGTTGGTATCTCTTTCCGACGCGCCAGTTGGCAGAATGCTGGGACAGTCATGCCTATACGCTAGCGTTCAGCAATATCATCGGTCCTCAGAGACATAGCGCCCCATCGGAGTTGGTCGACATCAATTTCCTGTCCGGCATGGTGTCTGAAGCAGGGCAAGACTCTTCCATCGTACTGGCCTGTCGTGCCATTGGCCATGCTTTCCTCACCCGCAACATAGACACGCCTGAAACACGATCCAAGCGAGCGGCGACATATGGACAGGCCTTGAAAGCGACGAATATGGCTCTCGAGCATCCAGTACTACAGACGCAAGACGAGACGCTGGCGTCTGTGTGGCTGCTGAGTCTTTATGAGGTAAGAACCGCCTCCTGTTCGTAGCTCTTGGGAATCCCCGCCAGCAGGTGTAAAGATTCAAGTGATTGTTGAAGCAATAGAAAAGACCGGCACTGACCATATCGCATCAGCTCATTGTATCACCAGGTCAAGGCCGTCAACCTCTTGACAAGTCTCCACAGAGCCACGGCATCGGTTCCTGGATTGTCCATACCCAAGGAATGATGAGTTTGCTGCGGTTGCGAGGCACTTCGCATTTTAATACGCCCCTGGCACGGGATTTGTTCTGGCTGATTTACTATGCAATCGTGAGTGCTCGGTCCGGTTGACTATCTCATGGTCGCAGGTTGCTGATAAAAACATTAGCAAGTCAGATGCTTCATCACCGACATGGCCAGCCCTTCTGAGTCCTCGAGCTGGTTTCGGGAGCTGGAAAAGTGGCTGAATGAAGACGAACTGCACACCTATCGTCTCTGTGTATATGGCCATCATGCATCCACTCTCTGTGCGACCATCCAACAAACCATCACTCAATGGACAGCAAGTTCGCGCGGTGCAGCAATGGCAGTAGTCGCGGAGGTCGAGGGCTTTGAGAGGGAAACGCAGCATTTGTGGCAGGCCCCTTATGACAGTCCGGGATCTGAAACTGTTGCTGACTCTGGACTGAACATTGGGCTACTATGGTGGCGCACGTATCTCCATGCCTTTCGGTTGCAGCTCCAACTGACTCTGTTGGAGCTCTGGGACAAGATGCGAACCGAGAAGCTCGGCGAAGACGCAAGGACCTTGCAGGATGAATTTCAGCGTAGGGTTAAGGTTGTCCAAGGTGCAGCAGATGGAATCCTCGCGTGTGTCCCCCTACTGCTTTCGACGGATGGTCCTTCAGGCGCCTCTCCAAGACTAACAACAAGATTTTGGAGGGACGGAGTCCGCCTCCTTTGGCCCTTGAGGCTCGTGGCACTGGGCGACGCGACCAGGGATGACCAGAAGAGGGTAGCCTGGGCAACACTTCAACAGATCAGACACGAGGTGGGAATCAACCCGCCAGGAGCATTTCCTCTGCCGTCTTAGCCGAGTTGGCCACAAGAGAGACCCAAGTGCAGTAGCATACCCAAGATATTCGAAAGAAAGCAGTGATGTTCCTTACCATTCCTACGCGGTGGTTGAAACCTCGAGATCTTCGTTGGTGTGTAGCATCAAGGCATGTCATGGTACGCAGAGCACCGGTTTAAGGCGTGCCAGGCCATGACTGTGGCTGATGCTAGTGACGATCGTTTGGCGAATCTCGAGAATAGTTCCGGAAAAGGGAATCAGCACGAACCAATGACCTCCCGCCTCCTTAACGGAGATCAGTTGTCGTTCTCGGGTCCGAGTATCATGCACATCGCTGGACAATCGGTTGCTGTACTTGTCGGCCTCCTCGTAGTTATCGGCCGCCTACTTTGGTCTTCAGTGCCAGATTTCTGCTTCAAAGGGCCAGGAGCGTGGGTTGCTCTCAAACTCCAATTTCCATTATCAGTATATCGTACAAATCAGGCTGTCCGCATCCTCATATATTCATTACTGCAGCTGGTGCAGTATTCGTTATACCAGCCTTTGAGGTCCTTCTCGGCGTCCGTGTAGTTCTGCTCCAGGTCGTTCAATACCAGTCCCTCCACGACCTGGCATCGTCGATGCTCATCCACAACCCACTGTTCCCAGGCCGCCTGCACGATTTGTTTCTCAATGCTGTTGACGACACGCACGGCAACAAGAAGATCGTGCCGTTGAGTGCCCAGTCGTTGACGTGTATGCTGCACTGTCGTGGCTGGAGTCTGGCTCAGCCCTGCTTGAAAGTACTCCGGGTCATTTTCATCATAGAAGACACGGTAGCAAGCGCTGGAGTCCCGTGCTGGCAGATTCGCTTCTCGGCTTAGAATGTCGTCCAAGTCACTGATGTACACCGCCCTGCTCATAACAGTGTTCGGCGAGATACCAAGGCGAGCCATGAAGTTTCCAGCTCTGCGTTCATGCCACCAGTCAAGCGAGTCCCGATAGGCATGCCAACCATTGTACAGTGCCGAAAGAACAAGGGCCACCAATACGAGTTTGTTAGTAGAGATCATCTTCATGGACCATCTCAGGATACTCAGCAACGACTGCAGTAGAGTTCCCAAGGCGCTCTCCAGCGTAGAGGCAGTGCTTTGGGCCAATAGTCCAGTCATGGTCCGGGAAACAGGCTGTCTCCTCAGTTCAATGTTGAGCGTCGACGCCTCCACTAGAAGCTGAGTGGTTTCGGTCGAATGGCCAACTTGGCCGAAGATCTGAATTGCCTTTTTGGTGCGACTGTGGAGGCCGAGCTTGCGAACTTGATCCGCCACCAAATCCGCGAGATCCTGAGAATCGAGTTCAAGATCATACAGCGCCTGTCGCTCAACCAATCCTCCCAGCATCCAGGCGGTACGCAGCCACTCTATCTTGACAAAAACTGCGAGTTTACATCTGGCCTTTGCAACGTGAGTGATGACAATCTTGCTAATGAGGCGATGGTTGTGTTGGTAGGGGAGATGCCATGGGGTTCGCTTGTCTGTAATGACATAGCACAAGTGGTCACTATTGACATCGATCGTCTGGTAGTCATTAACTCGTGTAAAAGATTCTTGGCCCAGCATGTTTTTGGTGGGAATGTCGAAAGTGAACTCTCGTCGAAGCCGTCCTTCTCCAACGTTCAACCACGGCCCTTGGGTCACATTTTTTGCGCGCCTCTCATGTTGAAGCAATTGCCACAAAGCGCTTTTATCTCCAAACATGACATGGAATAATGCCTTTGCGCTGATGTCAAACTCCTTCTCAACCGCTAGTCGCAGATTTCCTGGGGGCGTATAAATCACTGGTTGAGCGGGCAATTTGAACTTCGATTCCCTCCGGCCTAGTTGAGTGTGATGTAAAGCACGGTCAACTCGCAGTGGGCCTCGTATTTCAGTTCCGATAGTTGACGCTCTACCACGATATCGGGGCCCACCCGTATCAACAGGGGTGTTTGGGGACACATCCTCCCAGCTTTCCAGACTGGGGCTCCTGTCAGGGCTCTCAGTCTCCATTTTGATCAGAGCCTTCATTAGCCTCTCCAAGTCGAGAGGCTCGTCGGAAGCACTGTTTCTTATCAAAAAGTTCAAGCGCCTTTGCAGAAGTCTCAACGGCTCGAGAAATGTTTTGATTGTGATGCGTCGGTTAGCGGCGTCGCTGGCGGCATCCTTGAGATGCAGGAAGATAAAGTCACAGTCTCGTCCGGGAGCAGCAGTGGCCTCGTCAATGGATCCAAGAGGCACACACGACGTCAGGACCAAGCCTAGGTGGTTGCTGTAGAAGTAGATGTCCCTGGAAGTCACGTAGACTCGGCCGGGGAATTCTTGTTGCTCACCTGGGTTCCAGGTCGCCCTAAACACCATGACTAGTCTGTCGTCGCATTTCACATTTGGAAACAGAAGGCGGAACTGTGCGTCCTGAGACTTGAGCTGCAAAGGATAACTGTTAGGGAAGTCAGGCACGAGTAGGTCGGTATTGAAGTGTCTCGCAGTATCTCGATCCACACTTATAGTGCTCCTGTGCTGTTTCTTACTTGGCGAGGGAGTTCTGCTTCGAGTGCCTCCCGTTTGTGGCACACTTAAGTCAAGGTGTGGAATACTATTTTGGAGGGCAACAGCCGGCCGAGTAGGCGTAGCGGATGCTTTTGGAAGAGAAAATGATGGTTGAAGCGTCGGGGTCCGCTGCGCTAGGAGTTTGACTTCGGCCTTATCATTTGGACCAGTCCGTTCAAGTCGGTTCAAAAAGGCTGTACAGGACGTCCCCCAGGTGTTGACCACAAGCCCCGTAGGAAGTCCAGTCTTGTCCGGGGCAGGACTCAAACCACGCTCTCCGGTAATGATCACTGCCGACTTGCTCAGATTGGTAGGAGATGGTACCGCAGCCAACGTCGAAGGTGCAAGACTGCTGGCAGGCATGTCTCGAAGGGCCAAAGTAAATGCACTTCGTGGCCTAGAGAACTCGCCGTCGGCATTTTGGAGCAACGGAGTACTTCCACCGATAGGCATGGGACCATGAGTGGCGGCAATTAAGCCTGCAATTCCAACGGGGAGATTTGGTGTCGATGGGCTGGCGGAGACCTGGGTTGGAGCTGGACTCTTTCTGTGCAAATCGAGCTTAGAAATGATGCGAGAGGCAGTATCACGATGGCCGCCTTCATCAAAGGCTGTTGACCTCCTCGGTAAGTCCATACTGCTCTCACGCCCGTGGTCGGTCCCTGGAATCGGCAAGGTGTGGGTCTTTTCCAGCGCGGCGACATCCTCTCCAACAGCACCCGGCTCCGTCGACCCAAGGATGAAAGTACCAAATTCGGGAATTGGTGGCGCGCTTATTGCAAATGCGGCACCAGCTTGAATATTCCCAGTACCAGAAGTGAAGCCGCGGATTCCATCACCATCATCCACCGCCCTCGATTTGGCAATGTGAAAGGCGTCAATCCACTCCACAAGCTCTGACTGGGTTTCTGCTTGAAGGAGGATCGTATTCTTGTTGGTCTTAAGCTCGAAACAGAAGCGACGTTCTTCTGCCGGGGCGGGGCGCACATTGCACAGTAGAACACCAATTCGCTCACTCTCCTCAACACCTCCTGCTCTCGCGCCTTGCAGCAGCCAGCCGAAGACTCCATTTCGAACGAATGCCCACCTCTTTACCCAGACAGTTCGCGTTGGTTTCCCACTGTAGGTTCGGAGGAACAGCCAGCCTTGCTTCTCACCGGTTTTGGAGGTGGGCTTTTTGGGTGAGCGTTGAAGGGTCGAAGTGCTGGCGCTATGGCCATGTCCGGCAAATGGAGGGACAGTTGATAAAGTGTAATCCTCCAACTCTCGTGAAGGCCGGGTTTCAAGCTCGGCCGCATCCTCCAGCTGTTTCTTCGCGGTCATGAGCTCCCTGCGGAATGTTTTTTCATTGGCCTCCAATTCCGAGAGCCAGCCCTTAATCCTCTGCATCTCCTCAGCGCTCCGTTGGAATGTCGCGGCTGTATTGTCACGCGAGAGCCGCATCTCACGCCATTGCTCAAAGAAGACCTTGACCAGGAGCTTATCCAGAGCAAATCGAAACTGTGGTGCCATACTGGAGAAGTCCATGATCGCCTTGATGTAGAGCTTGCGGGATTCATGCAATTGAAAGGCTTCCTCTCTGAGCGATGAAGGTTCTTTCGATTTGCCCAACCCAGCATATTTTCCTTGCAGATGTTCAAAGGTTTTCTGAGTAGCCTCTACCGTTCGGCGCGCATCTTTGAAAGCCCGCAGGTCATTCTGGAGGAATTGTCTTATGGGATCAATAACCATGGTAGATAATCTCTTGACCACTGCTATCATGCTCATCCAATAGTCTTTGGCACCGTCGGCGAACTTTTTCATAGCCAGGATGCTGTAGTCATGATCCAGCATTGACTCGGAGATGTTCACGGGCAGAACGGCGTGGGCTATGAAGTTGTTGAGGACATTTTCTAGCGTCAGGGCTTCGGAAACGAGTCTCGTGGAGGCTTTGGCATAGTCGTCGAGCCATTTCTCAAGGAGATCGACTTGTTCTCCATAGTGAACAACGGTGGCGCGGGCGGTGGGCGAATCGATCGCAGCTTCCTTCAAACCGACAGGAATCAGATTGATCAGTCTTCCCACATCATCGACGGGCGGCGGTGCCTGCGCCATTTCGGACGTGCAGAGGCGCGGAACTTAGGGTGGAAGAATCAGGAGTTGGATTGAATCATGTATGGGCCTTCATTTCTGCAGAAGCGATCGTGACGGAGACCGGCCTCGAGGATAGCGACCCAACGAAGAGGGAGGCGAGTACCGAGTAAGGCAGAGTAAGTTGATTCAGGAAGATTGTGCGGTGAATAATGTTGCTAGAGAAGTGGTAGCAGTAGGGTACGAAGGTAATCGATACAATCGCGTCTCCAAGAAACCAAAGTCGCGAACCCTGCGTATAATACTCACTCGTACACGATGTGGAGGTCGAGGTACATACTCCGGATCTTACTATCTCGCAGGCGGCCTGCGTAAGCATCCGCCACACCAATTACTACAGATGTAGGTACCCGATGGGTACCAACGCTGCAACGGTCCCCAAGCCACTCGGTGTACCTGCCTAATACCCGTCTCTTTCTCCTCCATCGAGGCTTATCTGGGTCTGGGCATGCGGAGAAATTTTTGAGAATTGAAATGCCAATCCGACAAAATTCACCCAGGACAGAAGAACAGTTTCCGCCTTTCTAAGCATATGTGTCTTACAAACCATGGCTCGTGAATTGCTTAGTAGCGACTCCTCGTCCGACAGCGAGGATGGTGGTGCCGATGTCCCACCAAGCGGCGAACTCAAGGTCAACGAGGCGTATGCGCGCCGATTTGAGCACAACAAGAAACGAGAGGAACTACAGCGATGTATGGCCCTTTCTCCCTCCTAGTAATGAGAACATGCTGAGACTGATCTTTTGTATAGTAGAGGAGAAGCTGGGCAAATCTTCTAGCTCGCGAAAGCGTAAGCGAGGCGAAGTCGAATCTCCCTCCGGCGACGACGAAAGTTCTGCCTCGGACGATGACTCGACCAGCGAGTCCGAAGATGAAGGGGAGCTGGCCACAGAAGCCCTCGATTCGGAGATCATGGCTACCCTCAACGCAATTCGTTCGAAAGATCCCCGTGTTTATGACAAAACCGTCACGTTTTATACCGAGAATAACGACGAGGGCGATGCAACTACAAAGACCAGAAAGGAGAAGCCGATGCACCTTCAAGATTACCACAGGCAGACTTTACTGAATGGTGGTGTCCAGCCGGAAGAAGAAGATCCTGTCCCTCTGACATACAACCAAGAGCAAGAGCAACTAAAGAAGTCCATCATCGGAGAGATCAACGCTGCCGCAGAGCACGAGGATGACGAGGACGAAGAAGACGAACATCAGTTTCTCAGCGCGAAGAGAAGGGAAAAGCTACCTAGATCTGAGGTTGTTTTGGACGTGGAAAGCGCGGAAAAAGATCCTGAAACTTTCTTGTCAAACTTCATGGTCTCTCGGGCTTGGGCGGCTCCGGACCCTTCTAATCTGCACCCTTTCGAGTCGGACGACGATGAAGAAGACAAGAGAGCAGATGAGTTTGAAGAGGCATACAATCTGCGATTCGAGGACCCTGAGAAGTCAAATGAGACTCTGCGCTCTCATGCGAGAGACTTGGCTGCCAAATACTCTGTTCGGAGACAAGAGGCGAATCCGCGACAAAAGAAGCGAGAAGCCGAGAAGGCGAAGAAAGAAGCTGAAAAGCAGCAGCGAAAGGAAGAAAAAGCCCGTCTTCGCAAGTTAAAAATCGAAGAGCTTGAAGAGAAGGTGCGCAGAATCAAGCGAGCTGCCGGTATCAAGACTCAGGACTTGCGGCCAGAGGATTGGGCGCACTTGGTTGACGACGACTGGGATGACACCAAATGGGAGGAGATGATGCAGAAACGGTTTGGCGATGAATATTACGCAGAGGAAGATCTCCCGAGCGACGACAACACGGGTGGAAAAAAGCGGAAACCTCGAAAGCCCAAATTTGACGACGACCTGGACATCAAGGATATAGTGCCTGATTTCGAAGAAAACGATAAAGCGGACTTCAGTCTGACTGATGAAGAACCTCTTCCAAAGAAGGCGAAGAAAGTCAAGCAGTCTGTGGAAGAGAGCAAGCGGGACACAAAGAAAGAACGACGGATCATTGAACAACTAGTGGCTGATCAACTTCAATTGGAGCTCGACGCATCCTTGCCCAACAAGAAGACTGGTGGATTCACATACCGTGAGACATCTCCCAAGAGCTTTGGTCTTACTGCAAGAGATATATTGCTAGCCGATGACAAGAAATTGAACGAGTTTGTCGGGCTCAAGAAACTGGCATCATTCCGCGATCCAGAGAAGAAGCGCAAGGACCTGAAGAATCTGGGGAAGAAAGCACGGTTGAGGAAGTGGCGGTTGGAAACCTTTGGCAATAAGGAAGGATTGCAGGCAAGCAATTTGATTCCTGCGCAACCTGAGGCCGGTCAAGATAGGGATGAAGGAGATGAAGCTGCAGTAGACATCAGGACGGAGGGAGCAAAGAAAAAGAAGAGAAGGAGGAACAAAAAGTCGAAGACAGAAGTCGATGCTGTTGCTTGATTATTGTGGAGGTGTATACCAAGTATGGAGCCTTTCGAACGCCTGGACCTCGGAAGGAAAAGGGGAAGCAAACTTAGGTCAGGGTGAGCGACGCCCCCTCAGCCTTGCCACCATTTCTTGTGATGGATGTACTCGGTAGATCGGGTTCACATGCCTTTAGTGGGACCCCTCATGTTTCGGTATTCGATGTCCTCTTGTTTCCCATGACCGACATAGGTGTGTTCAGTACCTCCTGTTTCAGGCAGAGAGCGTGCTCAAAAAGATTACAAAACCCTCAACTCGTATTCGTACCTTGTAAAGAGCCTCATGCGGCCCGGTTAAGGTTCTCTGGAGATCTCTGGAGAAGCTGTGGATCGATGAGGGAGCAAGACTGCTTTCCGGAAAAATGGGCGGAAGAATGGGCGATATTTTGAGAAAATAACTACTCTGGTTGAGTGCAATGGTCTTGTAGGCAACCGAAGGAGCCGCCCAGTGGCTGACCAGAGCCTGACACCATCCCCCGGGCAAGCGCGATAGGGGCCACGGGCGAACCGGTTGCTGTGCAGAGAGTGATCTTTTTTTCCCTCAGCGGAGACAAAATTTTGATTGCGGACGATAATTGCCCGGGGCGGACAGTGCTGAGATTTCGCTGGTCGCTCGGGAAAAGTGCACACAAGCACCTCGCATTGACGGTTGTGCTGAGGGAGATCCGGGCCTTACCACATTAGGTTTAGCACGAGTCGAGCTCCCAATCCCTTTGAAAAATACCTGTCCGCTTCTAAACTTCCTCCATCTTTCTTTTTCGCATCTTCGCATCTTTTTCTTGCGTCCACCCATCACTGCCCTTCCTTCTCTCCTCTCAATCATAGTCCTTAGTTCTTCATAACCACCGTCAAGATGGCCAAAGGGTTAGTTCACACTCTATCCGCTGTCGATTCGTGCTCTTCTACAGCAGTTATCGTTACCGAGCGGCCTCCTTGAGCTGCACGGACTGCCTCCGAGCACACTTCCAGCCGAACTTGTGCATACTGATGCTGACTTCTGCCATCTAGAGAAGTGGACCAAGGGTCCAAGACGATATGGGGCATGCCCGGTAAGACCTCACTGTCGTTGATGTCGAACGTCCAGGACTCGAGGAGCTCCGGGCTTCCCACTACGACGATTCGATCATCAGAAGCCGCGGTCAATCGGAACTAACTCTGGACCCTAGGTTTCGTCGTCGACTTTTTGATGGGTGGTGTTTCTGCCGCTGTCTCGGTGAGTAACTCTCCAGTTCCGGTAGACAGTGAATGTGAACCGTGAAGCTGACAAATTTTGCTAGAAAACTGCCGCTGCTCCCATTGAGCGTGTCAAGCTCTTGATCCAGAATCAGGTATGTGTACCTGCTCCACCCCATCGAATATATCTGCACGAGGCATACGAAACCCTCTCCCATGCCCAATAGGTCCCCCGGACAATATACCCAGAAAAATTCTCTTATCAATAACTGTTGATATGATGACCACACTCAAGTTGACTATACCGAGCATAACCACTTACACCATGACGTATAGGATGAAATGCTCAAAGCCGGTCGTCTTGACCGCAAATACACCGGTATCGTCGACTGCTTCAGCAGAACCATGAAGAGCGAGGGTGTTATGGCTCTGTGGAGAGGTAACACTGCCAACGTTATCCGATACTTCCCTACCCAGGCGCTCAACTTCGCCTTCCGTGATACCTACAAGTCCATGTTCGCCTTCAAGAAGGAGCGCGATGGATACTGGAAGTGGATGGCCGGTAACTTGGCCTCGGGTGGTGCTGCTGGTGCCACTTCCCTCCTCTTCGTCTACTCCCTCGATTATGCTCGGTATGTCTCACACCCCATATAAACACCCTTCCAGTATGCTGATACAGATATTCACAGTACCCGTCTTGCCAACGATGCCAAGTCTGCTTCCAAGGGTGGTGAGCGTCAATTCAACGGTCTCGTCGATGTCTACCGCAAGACCCTGGCTTCCGATGGTATTGCCGGTCTCTACCGTGGTTTCGGTCCTTCCGTCCTTGGTATAATCGTCTACCGCGGTCTGTACTTCGGCATGTACGACTCCATCAAGCCTGTTCTCTTGGTCGGTCCTCTTGAGGGTAACTTCTTGGCCTCTTTCTTGCTCGGCTGGGGTGTCACCACTGGTGCCGGTATCGCTTCCTACCCTCTTGATACCATCCGTCGTCGCATGATGATGACGTCCGGCGAGGTAAGTTTACCACCGACTACAACTGCAGGATGCGAACTTGTCTAACCACATAACACAGGCTGTCAAATACAAGAGCTCTTTCGACGCTGCCCAGAAGATCATGGCTGCTGAGGGTGTCCGGTCCTTCTTCAAGGGTGCTGGTGCCAACATTCTCCGTGGTGTCGCTGGTGCCGGTGTGCTCTCCATCTACGACCGTATGTTTCAACCCGCTCTCATCGATGCATCTCGTGCTAACAAATTTTACAGAGGTCCAACTTCTCATGTTCGGCAAGAAGTTCAAGGGTGGTTCTGGTTAAGCGCCTCGTCACTTTACTGCGACGATCCGACAAGCGACTGTTCCAATCGCACAAAATGGTGTAGTTGAGGTGCAATGGGGGTAATGGCGCGCCTTCAGTTGGAAGGTTCAAAAGGCGGTGCGAGACTGTACGATGATATGGTGAGGTTGGTTGCAGGTGCTGGGGTGCGGCGACCAAGTCGAGGAAGATGAAACACATTTTGCAAATAGAGACGACACAAACGGGGATTGACGAGGGGAAATGGCCACGTTGAAACTCGTTGGGGGTTTTGTTCACAATATGCAATGGGGTTTCTTGCTTTACAAACATCCTTTCGTTTCTTTCACTCCGGTCTGCAATTGTACTTTACTGCCTTGACTTGTGCTGTCAAGCATCTCACTTTGCTCCCTCCTGCAGTCTTTGAACCCTTTAGTTTTCGCTGTAGCCCTCCCTTGTCTGAGTACACTCACTCGCCTAGTAGGATTTTTGTGGCTGCCCGTAACTGCGTTCGTTGGTCCGCTTACAAGCGACATCCACGAACTGCCATTGAAGTACTAAGTCGCATCCATCTATCTCGTACCCGCCACCCAATGACTAGGGAATCCCCTGCAGGAAGATCTGAAAGTAGTCTTTACCCTTTTTTCAACCCTTTTAGTCCCATACCGCATTTTTGCTCAGTAAATATTCATATTGATATTGGCTAGATAGATAGGTACGTCTACTCGGTACATTAGCCCTCCGCCAATCCTTATCCTTATTCTACGGAGTAGCGGACGAACGGCTTCGCCAACCCAAGTCCCAAGCATTCCCAACAAACAGCAAGATATTGTTGCCCTTTCGACGATCCCAGTACCACCAAGCCCATGCATTTTGTTCGTAAGAGAGTGAAAGAAGTGTCTTTCATTGGATAAATCGTCCAGGTTACATGTCCCTGTGCCATTGACCGATTCGATAACCTTTTCCCTGCTTTCTTGCCTTGCCCTTCCAGGAACCGTTTACCCCTTCATCGTTAATACACAACTCTTGTCTCGAACCAAAAAGAAAGAATTGCTCCCGCCTCCGCCAGTGTATGTATCACTAGGATCTGAATCTCAAATATCATCTTCGCCATTGATATGCTTCCATATCTGCCTTTCCGTCGCACTCAGTCTTTTGCCCGCGGCCCTCGCCCACAACATGGCCGTCTTCACGACCGTCCCGTTCGAGTCGCTGTCTTCCGAGCCATAACCGCCCCATTCTCCGTCCAATATGCCACCTCTTTTCGAGTATGATAGTGGGGAAAGGGTGGCGCGGTAGTCGTTCTCTTGGCACGATTCGACGGGTTTGTCGTCAAAGGAGCTATGATGGTCTTGTTGATACCCTGGCGGGTGGGAGAGGTCCTGAGGCTGCGAGGAGTTGTAGCTGGGACTTGTGGTGGTGGAAGTTACGCCTGCAGGTGGGATGGAACGGGTCGCCGTGTATGGCATGTAGGCGGTGGACGACGTGGATTGAATGGGCAGTGGGCGGGAGTGTGTGGGAGTTTGTGCTTGTACCGGGACAACCATCTGACGCTGTGGGGATGCGTGTGGCGACAACCCTGGTTGGTACCGTGGGATTTCGAGGGGCTGTGGAGGAAGGGGTACGGTGGAGTGTGGTGAACGACTGGTAAAAGGTGAGGGCACTGCACCTGGCTGTGGTGGTGGAGGGCTGACTTCGGATGTGGTTGTCGTGTTGGTTGAAGTGGGCGTCGCTTCATATCTATTGTTGTAACCGCTGGCTAACGTGTTGGTTGGTTGCGGGACTGCCGGCGCTCCAGGTTGCGCAGGCTGCTGTGAGAATAAGGGACCGCTGGAACGGCTTGTGGATGTTGGCTGGCAATCATCGTCTAAAGGCGTATACCGAGCGGCGGCAGTGCTGGGCGTCAGTACACCGAGAGGATGCGATGGGAGGTTGGTGTTTATGGGCGAGGCAGAATGGACTGGTATGGGGGCCATGGTCAATGGGGCAGCACGCGAGCTGCTGGGATGTACTCTTCTGTTCCTAAGGTTGAGGGGGTCAAGCGTGTCTTGTCTTTCGAAGCAAGAGAATGAATGAGAAGTGGCAGAAAGAAATAGTAAAGAAGTGACAAAGTAAACTAGTATACTCTTTCTCGTCTTTTTGTGGGTGAGACGGTTGACAGACTGCGCGTTTGTGCTCGACTGTTCAAGGGATAAATTCGCAAAGGGCTGGCGTCATCGAAGGCACGAACGAGCGGGTTGGAACGGTCAACGGCCACTCCCTTGGATCTCAAATACCAACATCACCAATGCGAAGAAGAGTCCGCCACGTAGAGAGATAGAGACAGCCTTGATGAGACGGAATCGAATAAAAGGTCTTTATCGAGTGCATGCGCATACGGCTAGTTGATACCTGCCTGGTGACAAAGTGCAGACAGTCCTTTGATGCCAACTGGAAAGACGGGTATCTTCAGCTTTCCGCGACAACAACGCCTCTGTTTGCGGCAATTGTACACAGAGACATGACCCTTAATAAGTCCAAATGCAGAACTGTGGTGACACAAAGAATGCGCCATGGGGGCGAGCGAGCGACGCGGCGAGCGGGAAGCGCGCCAAGCCGGTATGATCTATGCCAAGCCCTCGCTGTGAGGCCCGCTCTGATTGGCTGTCGGCACACTGCACGAAATGATGCATCCCGGAAAAACTTCTATACTAGTGCAATCATTTGATCCATCATGATGGTCGGGCACATGCAAAGCGTTCAGCATAATTTCCTGAGCAAGAGCTGATTACTCTGCGCGCATCTCTACGACGGCTCTCTAATTTCAGTCCAATTTGTGACTGTGATCTATTCCGAAGATCCCTTTCAACAAGGCACCAAGCATCTCCTCCAACCATCTGACAGTGTCACAACTGCTCTCCGAAGCACCGCGTGCTTGATTCGTGTCTCTTGATTCGCTCATTCGGCCAGGCGCATCTCAACCCGGTTGTTGCACCCTCTTCCCCAACTGGTCCCTCTGCTATTTCACGAACACACGGTCTTGTGAGCCCTAAACCATCGTTGGACCCGAGCCTGACGTCGGGGCCACCTTGGTACCGAAAATTTCAACATTGGGAGCAAAGCTCGCATCAAACACACATCCTGCTCACAGAAAGAACTTTCCACCATTCAAGCCTCGCCTTGAACGGCATTCTCCCACCGCTTCTCGCTCGGCCAATGTCACATATACCGCTTCTTCGACCATCGCAGAGTGGTCATTCTGTCCGCTAACACACCTGGAAAAGTGTCGCCCATCGCGGGGCCCCCCAAAAGAGCCTTGTCAGGGCCGACTCTATTCGTTATAGTGGCATTTGAGTCAATCTCTTTTATATTCTCGCACCACCAAACATGTAACGTTCTCTTTGATTCCTCTCATACCCTGGCACTAATCCAATCAGGAAATTCGGCAAGCAGATCCAACGCCAGCAGTTGGATCTTCCTGAATATGCGGCCAGTTTCCTCAACTACAAGGCCCTCAAAAGGGTGTGACAAGACTTTATGTATTCGTTAAGAGAAGACTCTGCTCACCATGTCATTCAGCTCATCAAACAACTCAGTGCTACTCCTACCATTAGCGCCCAAGGAGGTCCCACCACCCTCGACGCACAGGCCGCACTTAGAGCGAATAAAGAGGTTTTCTTCTTCCGACTGGTGGGCGCCTCATCATCTTCCGCACTTCCCGCCATTCTCTGATACAAGTTGTAGGAACGTGAGATAGAAAAGGTCAACGTCTTTTATCTCCAGAAAGAGGCAGAGGTATAGAAATTCACATGTTGACGAAGTTGGCCTCTAACCCCGGTCCAGTTTTCTCTTCGTCTGAAAACGTTGCTTGACAAGAAAAGGGTCATCCAAGCAAGAATAGCAGCCAGCTCCAGACTCTCTGCTAGTTTCGCAACGTTGGTCGAGGGATTTCAACAGTTCGACAATGATCTCAACAAACTTCAAGTAGGAAGGGTGCGTTCTAGACAAGGACCCTAGTAGCTGACACGTCGCAGCAATTTGTCGAAGTCAACGAAACCGCAATTTCAAAGATTCTGAAAAAGGTCTGGTTGACCTACCACTTATTTTGAATTAGGGACTGATCTTTTGTAGTGGGACAAAACGTCGAAGGTGGACCACTGTCTATACCCGCGCCTCTGGGGTGAGCTGACACCAGTGACAGTCAAGAACGAAAGAGATCTATCTCCAACGTGCCGTCGAAATCCAACCTTGTTTCAATCGCGATGTACTTCGGGACCTCGCAGACCGAGCGACAACGGCGAGACTTGATTTGGAGGCATGGGCAGAGGGTGAAAATATTCAGTACGAAGTATCGAGACAACAAGATCGCATGATAGGACAACGTGTGGGTACGGAAGAGAGTGATATCGACATTCAGATTCTTCAAGCCTCTGCCGCCAGTAATATTGGTGCCCTTCGAGAATGGTTTGCCAGACTGGGCAACTCCCCGGACGCACGCGATCGTTTCACCAGAATATTCCTTGCGACAATCTCCGAAGCACCTGACGATTCTTTGAACCTATTCCTGAACTCGGGCCTGGTCGATATCCACGCCGAAGATGACATCAACGAACGAAACTGTTTACACGAAGCTGCAATTTATGGCAAAGATGTTGTGTTGGATTATGCTCTTAGTCATGGAATTGACCTCACCCGTCTGGATGTGTATGGGAGGGTACCACTGCACTATGCATGCTTAAGAGGACGCCTTGCTATGGTTGAAAAATTGCTGGCAGCAGGACCAAACACCATCGACATGAAAGACCACGACAACTTTACACCGTTGATCCATAGCATTGTGCGACACCGGGTCGAGTGTGTTCGCCTTCTCCTCGCGAACAACGCAAGGATCGATCCGCAGTCTGACGCAGATCACATTCCCCTGAACTTGGCCTGTCAACATGGATCAATTGAAGTTGCCGCCTTACTGTTGGAAAGAAACGCAAAACTTCTTCCCGATGCAGAGGGTCTTTTCCCCCAACATCTTGTGGCTCGCTCCAGTCAAAAAGCCGATCTTCTCTTGCTCCTCCGTCAGCACGGGGCGGACTTGAATCAGCGCGATAAGTTGTACCAGTGGACGCCACTATTCCATGCCGCAAGCGAGGGTCGAGTTGAATGCCTGCGAGCACTGCTCGAAAACGGTGCTGACCCTGAGGCTCTGGACGAAAAGGGCCTTACAGCCATGTATTACGCCACATGGGAAGGCCACCTGGAATGTATGGAACTTCTTTGGCGGCAAAGCAGTCACCATCGCGCCGAACGCAGATCTTCCACCCTGTTAGGACCTGTTGTCCCACCCCATAGCCAGATGCTAGCAATGGAGATCACGCCCGAGGAACCCACAGGAGCTGAGGGCGACGGAATTCCTGACTTATCCCTGCCGCCACCGATCATACCGTTGCGGCGCTACGGACACAACTTCCTCGATACGAAAACATTCATTGCCCTCAACTTCGACCGGACGTCGAAAGCCATACAATTTTTCAATGAAGCGAGGTATCCTGCGGCCCGCCTAACCATTTCCTCGAAAACCTCTGACCTCATTCCTCGCAATTTAATGCTGCCGATACAAGAGGACGCCAGGTCCGTGTACTTTCAAGTGGATAATCTCAGCACCTTCTCTGTGGATTTCGAGATTTACCCGACGTTTGGATCGAAAGTGATAGCCAAGTCGGTCGCCCTTCCGGATGTGTTTCGCGCCATCGCAAGCAGCGCTGGCACGTGCTGTCTTCCACTGTTTGACCCAAGGCTCCGGTCGGTGGGACAGATACAGTTCGATTTCCAGGTCATCAAACCGTACCAGGGTACGCCGTTGGAGATTACACAATTTGCACCGTATTGGAAGGCCACAAGCGCTTTAGACGATCACAGCGGGTTAGTTACGGGATCGAGTCTTTCTGGGGACTACCTCAGACTAACGATACAGCTCACCCGGGACGGTGTTCCTGTGAGCTACCCGTCTTATTTTGTGACCTACAACAACCTCGACGTCTCACTCTGTCAGCTCCAATATGAGACACTCGTGAAACTTGGCATGAAAGGCCGTCTTTTCAACAATGATGGAACACCGACCCTGGACAGCATTGATATCATCGAGTGGCGAGACCGACTGTCTGGCTCCGTCTTTGGGCTTCGAGAGATCCTGATGGCGGTACCCTCACACATCAACCTCAATCTGCATATTCTGTATCCGACAAGCCATGAAGATTTCTCGCTGGGAGTGTATTCGAATATTGACATCAACACCTTCGCTGACGCGATTCTGACCGAAGTGTTCGATCACGCAAGGGCTTTACGCGCACAGGCTCCCGACCTGACTCGTTCCATTGTGTTCTCCTCTTTCAACAGCAACATCTGCACTGCCCTGAACTGGAAGCAGCCCAACTTCCCCGTCCTACTGTGCAACGATTTGGGCAATTCGCCAAACGCCTACCACTCATCTTCAAATCTCATCGAAACTGCTTCGCAACGAGGGACGTCGATCAAAGAGTCGGCACGCTTGGCACAACTGAACAACTTTATGGGATTGACTTGCTCGGCACGGATTTTGCAGATGGTGCCTGCTTTGACGGAAACTCTCAAGCAAGCAGGACTGGTGCTTGTTTCGGATGCGTCGGCGGACACTGACAGTGGAGGCCATCAGCAATCGCACTCACACGAGCAAGCGCAGAGCTCGACCTTTTCGATGTTACCGGATGGCGTCAACGGTATTATGAAGGCGAACGGCATTTTACGATTCAACGAGACAGTCGACATGTAGAAGCAACATCTTCCCCCCAGAGCGGGGCTTGAGGAAGATGCTTGGCATATGTCCAGCGATTGATGACCTGTCAACGAAATCCACACAGGGGACCACACTGGGGACACGGACCCTGATTCAACGGGGTGAGGGAAAAGACCACAGAAACTTTTTGAGGGAGTGGGCGGACTTTTGAAGTGGTTTGCATTTTCCAGCCGGAGCGTAAACTAACTCGTAGGGATGATTCATTCATGGTCGTCGTCATGTAGGCCGAACGGGAACAGCAACAGCATATAGACAATTGTACCACACAGACTGCAGAGTGCAGAAGGAGGAGAGAAGTTCATCTGCAGGTCTGCAAACGCGCGTAAAGGTTGTACAATGTAACCCAGCCAGCTAGCCAGCCAGCAGTGCAGTGCCGTCACCTCGGTGGCAACACCTCTGCTGGCAGATGTTATGGGTAATTGTTCAATATCCGCCCAAGGACAAAGCTGGCCACCAACCCAAGTATACACTTAGACAGAGCTTTAGTCACGAATGTGATCATCACACCTCGGATATATGAACATCGCGGTCTCTGTAAGCATCATCAAGCCCTCCCAATTTTCCTGTCGCAGAGTACATCGAATGCGATGATGGAAGTGGAAGAAAGGGAAGTTATCGAGTTATGTACCGGGCTCGTTGGAGGAAAGGGAATGACTGGGAGGGAGTAGAGATGTTTACTTTTTGGCTGCTCGAACCACTATAGACGTACAATAACTAGAGACTACTAGGTTTGAAAGGAATTGGGGTGAACTGACCACCTGTCGCCACATCTCCTCTTTTTGGCTCTCTCGTTTCCATGTGATACTGAGTCACGATAGATCTTTGTGGTCTCCCTAGCTCTCCAGCCGCCCAGTAGTCCCAGATAGACAGATACCTGGCCAAGGGACCGACTATAACTGCACCAACCCGACACCAATGCCGGCCCAAATGCCCGCGCCGGCAGCGAACGCGGCGCCCCATCCGGGCCCACGGAGGCGCCAGATCTGGTAGACGTCGACGACGCAGAGGACCATGCCCGCGAGGATCACGGTGCCCATCTCGGGCAGCTTGGCGTCGGCGCCGAGCTTAGCCAGCGCGAGGCCGATGCTCAGGTCGCGCGCGCCCAGCAGGGCCATGGACGTGGCCACCGCGGCGGCGTGGTTGGCCACGTCGGCGTTGGCGTGCTCGGCCGGCGAAGTGCGGCTCTTGGTCGGGTTGGCGTTGGTGCCCGGCGGGGCGGTCGAGGGTGATCCGCTCAGTGACGACGACGACGATGAGTGCGGATACAGCCCGAACGTCTTGCCCGCGACCACGGGAAGGGTGATGGCGAAGCTGCCCAGGCCGATGTACGTCGCCGCCACGGACAGGCCGAGCACGCGCCACGTCGAGGGGGAGAAGTCCATTATTGTTCGTTGGCTAGGTGACAATCAAGTCGAGGGGGTTCAGATGTGTTGAGCTAAGGGGTTGGCGGGATGCTGGATGCTCGGACTTGTGGGTTCAACGGCCGAGTCGAATATGTAGCAGTACGGGCGGTGCGTAGGGAATGGTGCAAGGGTTGTATCACACAGATGGCTGCCACCTGCGAATGTCGGGCCTGATCTGATCTGACCTAGTCTGGATGGAAAGAATAGATCGGTGTCGACGTCCTTGATCGATTGCGAGAGAAACCCTGTGGACGACTTCTTCAGTAGTGTTTGATGATGGAAGGAGGAGGATGAGGGAGCTGCGAATTGGCTTTCTGGATAATTCTTCCGCGGACCATTGTCTACGTCAGTGAATGGGAGGTCATCTTGTACAAACGTGGTAGGTGCATAATTAATTCTTTGGAACTCTGTCCAATACGAATACGGAGTCGGAGACGGAGGCGGAGGATATACATTCCGCTCATACTGCACCATATTACTACCTAGGTAGTTACTTGGTATACGTCGTACTAGTGACCCCGAGCTTAGACCATTACCGAACATTTGTCAAGTTTCAGCCCGAACTTGTTTCCTTTGTCAGACTCTCCGTGCCCTGTGCCCTGTGTTCTCTTTTCCCGCTCTATCTTCATGACCGTGGAGCATCGCAGTCGCCAATTGGCCATGTACGCATCGCGATACTCCTTTGTACCTGTAAGGAGCATTTCGCTTCTCTTTCACGACGTGCGGTTTATCGTGACGGACTTGGGCGACAAGGGCATCGGAGATTGGGCCGAGTCCACCAAGTGGGATAGCTAGTTTGAAGGCTTCAGGGATAACACCATATCGATTGGCGAGACCAGAGGGAGTGCAACGAGCAGCGACGAGATCGCGATGCGCAACAAAAAGTTCCGTGAAGGTACCACTGTCTGCAAACCAACAAACCATGGCTGCATGGTACATCTCACCTGACCCCTCATGAGATCAGTCTCTCCAAGGATTGCTGGATCTTTTCCAGCCGACTCCGCACCCTCGACTTCAAGCCGGAGAGATTTTGATATATATATATACCACCGTTCCGCCGAGGCGCAGAATGCATCTGCTGCGTCATCATCATCATTATCATCTTCTTCTTCGATGCCCGAAACATGTATATGTGTGATTTCGCGGCACAAACGTCCAGCCTTAACCAGGCAGTCGTGGTGCGGTGTTGTGTCGAGTGTATCTGTTCTGAGCCTCAAGAAGTCAGAGGTATCCGCGTCGGGTTCAAGGTCTTTCTGCAGAAATGTGTCCTTTTGGGACCGTGGACCCAGCGCCTGGGACTTTAACTCGGTCTCTGGAAGTGATGTTTCGTGAGTGCAGAAGGTTTCGTGGTGTTAACGTTGGGATGCATGAAAACCCGGGACTGGTCCAGGGTAAAGCCGAGTCTCTGAGCGATAACGAGGCTGTTGCAATATGGTCAAGAGTGATCGTTGGTGGTGAGCCTTGTGCCATGAAGGCAATCTCAGCTGGTGGTGTGTCGTGGCGCAGGCCCAACGAGCGCGGGATATGGCTGAGAGGGGAAGAAGGGGGTACTTATAGCCTGAGGGAGAAGCCACCAGGAAACCTTGAATAGGATGGTTATTCACTGAGGATCGAAACAGGCAGTGGATCAGTGTGTCATTCTGTTTCATCAAACAATGGACGTGTTTGACAGACAGTGCTGGAATATCGTGGATGAATGGCAGTCATAAATGGCATGGTGGTGAACAAGGCCAGAGACAGATTGACACAAGTTAATACATTACCTCCACATGAATAGGAACTGCCTTTAACTGCGCGCGGGAACATTCATTGAATAAAACCCAGTTTCCCGCGCTATTGTCGAACTTACAAGACCCTTCAGGGCGCGGGCATTTGAATGCTCATTCCTGTTTCAGCTCTCATGGACCACGCTGACAATGTACTTCTCGCCATCGTCTCCAGCCGCAGTCACGATAACCTGGTGCCCTTCGATGTCTTCTGCCCTGTCACCTACTCCGACTTCCTCTTTGTAGTCCTTGTACCAATCCTGTTTGTGCTCACCACTAACCAGGTCGTATCGGGCGGCAGTTACAGCCGCCTGTCGAGACAAATGTATCCCTTTGATCTCAGTATATGTGAATCCGGTGGTGGGTGACTGGGTTGTGCGGAGAACATAGAAGAGATCATCCTCTACTCTCCCATCACCTGGCTTGGAGCGAACGCCCAGAGAGTTCGGCGTGCTTTCGATCCCGACCTCATGAATTTCACCGTCCGTCTCGGCATGGACAACGACGTTGTTCGCATATTGCCAAGTTGATGAAGGTTGGGTAATGTCATTCGTCACATAGATGTTCATCGAGTCGTGAGATAAGCCCTCATCCTCAAGGCGGCGGAGTGCAACCTTTTGGGCTGAATCAAGGTCTGTGCAAGTCCCGCAGATTTCAGTATGGGTTGTTGGGGGTGATCCAGCTCTCGTAGTGATCCGTTTGATGTGGAACAGGTCGGGGACGAGGGAAGGGCGTCGCTGCATTTTGAGTCTCAGAGCTTTTCACTAAGGGTTTCTGGATCCAATTCCTTTGAAGCCACGATTGTAATGGAGAGGGTGAGAAACGAAGAACCAAACCATTTGCCCCTCTTCTTCAACTCTTTGTCCTACCTATTGATCCTTGTGAAGGAGGGAGGGGTAACGAGCTCAATGTGTGCGCATGCCCGAGCATGGATGGGCACTGGGCATGGACAGATTCGTCTTGTGACGGTAAAAGGTCCCAGCCATGAAACGAGGAGTTCTGGGCTCTAACCCCGCAAACAACAAAGGGAAACTGTTGGATGATGCAGGGCCATGAACACGAGGTTCGCAATGGCCAGTCGGGTGCAATAAGGGCTCCGACGCAAAAGTCTGCTCATAGGTGACTGGGCACCTTTGCAATGACTGACACTGCTGGATTCGACCATACCTTGGATGTGCCTTGAGGTTGTTAAGGACGTTCACGATGTTCCACCAAGCGAAAAGGAGAGCAGGGGGTGGGTCTATAGCTACACCGCCTATTGGTTAAACTTCCAACCAATAATATTCGTGTGCTCGATCCGCACTTGAAATCGAGCTTGAAAGTTGAAAGTTGAATGCACAATTGAACCGTCACCGTCAATCATTTGGCTTCAGAACAACACCATCTTCCTCCGGTACCGACGTTGTGCGCGTCCTATCCTCCAACATGCCACCAACCATCCCCAGACTTGTGGCCGTCCCACTCCCGCCTCCTTTCCTCCTCCCTCGATCACTCCTACGAAAATCCTTGAGCGGCTCTCAGAGAAGATGTATGGGCATTCGCTCACTAGACCGACAGCCGAAACACAACCCCTACAATGTCGTCCCAGGCATTCAACCACTTCTCTCCACGCCTGCCGCGGCCTTTGAGCGAAAGTTGAAATCAGATACCCTTCCTCTACGGTCAGGAGCTCTGGCAATCAAGAAGGGCATGACCGCAGTATACGATGTTGAATCTGGAAAGAGAATACCCTGCACGGTGTTACAGCTGGACAGAAATCAGGTCGTCAGCCACAAGACGCGGAGGAGACACGGTTACTACGCGGTGTGTGTTGGCAGCGGCACCATCAACCCCAAGAATGTGGTAAAGCCCATGCTCGGCCATTACTCCGTGCAGGGCGTGAGTCCCAAAAGATTTCAGCGCGAATTCCGAGTCCGAGGCCCAGAGGGCTTGCTACCAGTAGGCCAAGAGATCCGCGCCGATTGGTTTCTAGCCGGGCAGTTTGTGGACACTCGGTCAAATTGCAAAGGAAAGGGTTTCGCAGGTCCGATGAAGAGATGGGGTTTCAAAGGTCAGCCACGAAGTCACGGTCACTCTCTCAGCCACAGATCGCATGGTTCCGTGGGTCCCAGTCAAGGAGGTGGTAGTCGTGTATATCCCGGCAAGAAGATGGCCGGAAATATGGGTGGCCAGAGGAATACAGTGCAGAACTTGAAGGTTCTGCAGGCGGATGCGGAGAATGGGATTGTCGTTGTGCATGGTAAGTCCTTGTTCTAATGCCGCTCTGGGATGACTCGTCAATGCTAATAAACGCTGGGCAGGAGCTGTGAGCGGTCCTAAAGGGTGTTTGGTCATGATTCAAGACGCGTTAAAGAAACCTTGGCCGGAAGTTCCTCAACTACCGAAACCATCCAAGGTTGAGGCGCCAGTGGCGGAAGCAGAGCCTGCGAAAATTCCTGCATGATAGAGCTATAAAGGGCTTTGGACCATTTGTATCATTACAGCGAGGCGACCGGGCCTGTCGATATATCAACCTTTGGTTATGAAGCATCCAGCCTGTTTCATTAGGTGCTCGTTCCCATGCAACTATGAAAACAACGTACTCCGTCCTTGAGCAAAACTAATCCCGGACATCATTCGTAGCAAGGTCGCTTGGAGCCCAACCATCTACCAGACGGTGATCAGGCACCCCTATAGTCGTACCTCAGGCCCTCCAACTCGGCCAATCCCGCATTAACCTCGGACATACTCTTCCTCGTGAGAAAGACCATTCCAAAGATGAGGCCGGGGAGCAACAAAAACAGCCACAGACCTTCCGGCACGTCACTCCGGGAGCGGTAGCCCATGGACGCGATGAACAGGAGCACGTCGATGAAGGCGTTGAGGTAGGGCAGGTACTGGTTGATGGGGCTGTCGGCGGCCGAGAGGAGGAAGCCCGTCTGGGGGATCCCGGTGCCGTGCACGTGTCTCTGTCGCGTGGCGGTCGGGGATGAGCGTGACGAGGCCGAGAGGGATCCCAGCGGCGTCGACGTCGGGACCATGTACATGATGTAGGCGCTGGAGGCGAGCGAGGTGATGCTCAACAGGCACAGAAACGCCATGGCTCGCGAGGTCGACATGGTGAGGTACATCATGAACGGGAGGGTGACGACGAGCGGCAGGGCCGTGAACATGACGGTGTAGATGGCATTGGTCGAGGTCTCGGAGGCCTGCAGGTTCTGGAGGAGGTGTTCTTGTTCTGTTTTCGAGTTTATACAACGACACGTCAGGCTTGTTATTCGTTGCAAGACTTTCTGGTATCTCCCCCCTATTTTTACTGCAGGATCATGACGTGAACCACCAGAGCGTGGGATGATTTGACTCCCGCGCTCCGAATCCCCAGTAGAGAGCACCGCATTGATATCTCATGACCTTCTCCGTACAAAGATACACGTACCTTCTTCGTCCATCTCTTCGTGAGACATGTCTGCATCATCTTCGGAGGGATACTTGAATGTTTTCCGAAGCCGCGCCGTGCTCATTATGCTCGTGTAGCACGCTGCCAATAAAGGAGGCTGAAGACCCGACTCTGTCTTGGTCTCCTGTTCAGGCTACCCCGACAGCAACTCCACAGGCTTGAAAATGCGAAGGAAAATGCGAAGGAAAAGTCAGAGGTGGTTCACCATGGTGGTCGAGGGGGTCCGTGTCATATGATCTCATTAACACCAAGTTGTCCAGATGGAGGAAGCCTTAGGATGAAAGCATCTGGCGGAGAAACTTGGCTCCGGTTCCGGCAGCCATGGCCGCTAACCTCCAAGCCTCCTCTTGTGGGTTCTTGATACACCTCATCTGCCTAACATCACAGCCTGCTTTGTTTTCACCCTATGCAGGTTGCCTGGTCTTTCTTGCGAACCACCATTCTGCGAACCACCAGTTCTGCGAACCACCAGTTCTGCGAACCACCAGTTTTCGCGCGGCTGCTATCACTAGCCCCATGTCAAGCATGAAGCCAAATATCGACATTCCACCTGTTTTCTTGAGTTTCGACGTGAGACCGGGTAAGGCTGAAATCCCGTTCTTCCGTGGTCTACAATTTGAAGAGCACTTGCATCTTCAAAAGTCCAAGGAAACTGGTGCTACAGGTTTCTTCTTACAAATAGGCACATTCGGCGTTCACATGTCACTACTACCACTCATCTTTGGCCGACCTCAACTACGGAGCGAGAGTGATATGTGTCGGGCTAGTTGATGACCTGGTCGCTTTCGGCTGTTCGTTCTCTCTAGCACGAGCTCTTCGTCATCTGGACTTTGTCGGAGATACACTCCAATACGAAGCTAAGAACTTAAGAAGGGCTTGAGTAGGGGGATGCTCCTGCAGTTGACCCAGCTAACACAGGGCGCCAGCCTTACAGTTATGGACCCAGCTAAAACAGGGCGCCAGCCTTCTTTGGTGGAGACGCGCCGTCTCCACCAATCATGAAAATCGAAGGATGAAGGGCGAGCCAAGTCGGACACATGGTTGTAGCGGCTAACGACGTTGGTGACACAGCCCTCGCTCAATGTAGGCAGAGAAGTAGGACAATCGACTACCTAAAGAGTAAGCCGACAGGGTGTGCCTCGGCTGAGTTAGTCCAATACAAAGAGAATATGAGAGGTTCGCCATGCCCAATCGTGGAATCATTATGGCAGTCGCTTTTACCCAGTCAAAACCGATTTAAGGTCCATTGGCGTCATGCACTAACGTATTGCGGTGGAACACTCGAACGGTTGGTCCCGTCAGCATCACAATTCTGATGATAATAGTGATACCTCCCCAACATTTCCTCTCTTCTCTGAACCAGTTCCCTACTCTCTCGAGGCTCAAGTCGGGTTCTCGTCCAAGTCAAGAACTATACCATCGAGAGAACCCGTCGACCGGATCCACTAACATGGGCATCACGGCCGAAACCATCGTCGCCATCGTCGCGTTATTGGTCATGTGTGTCCCAACCTTACCCTTCCTCTGGCGATTCCTGCGCAACAAGCGACTGTCCTCGACCGGCGGACAAGCAGCACAGTACCGCCATCGCAACCGCAACCGGAGCAGCAGTCCTCTGGCTGAGCAACAACTTCAACGTCCTCCGTCTCTCTTCTTCACCCACGTGCCATACGCATACACCAGCGGAGCACACACACCGTCAACACGACTTCAATATGCCAGCACTGAGTGGGTCCACCACCACCACCAAGCCCACCTGTCGTTGCTAGAGAGTGGAATGATGTACACTACCGTGAGTGCAAGGCTGTTTGTCCACAGTAGAGTGGGCGCGGGTGGTGCTAACTTGAAACTGCATTGAACAGACCAGCGCCCGCTTCGAGGAGAACATCGTCCTTCGCTCGGGCTCTTGACCCGGTCTTGCAGAGTTGTCATTGCATGAATGCATTCACAGGTATAGAAGAGACTGCACCTCTGACTTGGCCAACCTTGACACGCCGGGCCGGGATCATTGTCGCTGCTCCCCTTCCTTGCCTTGCCGGTCGTGAGAGAAGACCCCATTGGAGAGTCACAGGTGGAACACACAGTCGAGATGCCACCCCGAAAGGGAAGAGACTTCCTCTTCATGGCAAGGGCACCATCAACTGTACTTTGCATTGGTGGAAGATGGTTTGGGATAACGGGCTGGTCTGGTCAGAACACCATCGCCAATCACTAGCTCTTCCTAGGGCCCGTTAAACTCCATGCGGAAACGGCTGGCGGATCCAGATCCGGGATGTGGGGAAGGGGGGGTGGTGCATGAAAAGTACAAAGCTCGAGTCAAACCTTCTCGGGTCTATTGATCCTGCCGCATTTCACTCAAAACTGCTCGATTCAGTGTGCATGTCGTCCTCTCATTACCCATTTGCCAAACATGTCATGCCATGCGATGAGAGTTAACATGTCAGCAATCAACACTCGTCAGTCTCCTGTAAGCCTTGACCTTGATGCCATGATGGTTTGGTAAAACGTATGTATTTTGGAGCTCTTGTCGGCGGACGTATGCCTTTGAAGAGGCTTTGAATAGAGCATTTTCTTTTCTTGCCTTGTGTTGTTACATTTTCACCTGGGGCTGCTTTTCGCATCCGTCATTTTGGTTTGGGTTCTCACTGAATCACCCACTTGGAGTGGCACCCGCCCTCGTCTCGCATTTTGCAGGTATCGAGTAGTCTCAGACCAAAACCCCGTCCAACTCCTCCGAGAACCACTGGAAGTTCTTGTCGGATGAGCCCAGAGCAAGCACCGCAAAGACCACGTCCTCCCACCAGCCGCCCGCGAACTCTGCTTCCTGAAGCACCTCTGACCAGAGCCGAGCGACCTCTTTGGGTGGATTGTGGAACGCACCACAGCCGAAAGCGCCGAGTACGATCTTACGGTGTCTGTTCTTGATGGCGGTCCGGAGGATGACACGCATTTTATCTCTCATCATTTCGCGGTCTTCGCGCCGGGCGTAGAACTCGTTTGCATCCTGGTTAGGCTGAGCCGCGTTGTACCCGAGAGTAGGTCGAAAGACGGCCGCCGCGCTGACGACGCTGATGACAGGCAACTTCTCAGGGTCCCGGCTGTCGAGAAGCTGGTGGCCGTTGGCAAGGCTGTCTCTGATCACCAGGACGGTCGGGGAATAGATGGCGGCTTTGTCGGGAATCGGGTAGAGGCGCAGTTTGAGAGTGAAGATTAGAGAGGTGCGGAAGCAAAGGGCTTCTTCTTGGGCCAGGGAACCGTGCTTGAACCCACCGCCTGCGTGGATCGCATTTGCCATGTTCAGGACGCAGACGGGCTTTTGAGACGGACCGCCGCTGCTGAGTTGGAGGGCCGCGTCGATCGTGTCGCTGCTGATGACTCGGATTTTTGTCTTTGGCAGCTTTGGACAGAAGCTCTGATCAAGCGGTGTCGTGGCGTCTTTGTCATAGAGGTATCCATCTGGTTTTGCATCCGGCCGGGTGTGGAGGAGACCAGGCAGGACCGAGACTGTCTCTCTGGCCACTCTGACGAGTTCGTCTCTGTCTCGGGTCTTTGGGGTCGACGGCGGACGTGTCTGAAGCTTTCCGCCCGAGGAAAAGCTCAGGACACCCTGACGGAGGCGCTCAGCCGGTTCCTTGGCGACAGATTTGTGAGGATCGTCCATTGTGGTGACCTTGCACAGGTTATTGTCGTGAGTGGGTGAGTGGGTGAGTGACAAGTGGGGGTGAAGGCACGGAGACGGCGAAGTGAACATGGAAATAAACTTATTAACCTTAAATAATTTCCTAGGACGGAGCAAGTCGTAAATGCTTGGCTGGTTTTATGCGTTACTTGCCCGAATTAACGCCTCCATCCTTCACTATTGCCAACGCTCTTAACCCTGCATAATGTTCTCTGTGACATATTCACGAATTCCAGTACAAGTACACTTTATCATTATCATGAACATCATTTCTAGATGTAATTAAACATCAGTCGCAATTTTAAAAACCGCCCTGTCTTGACTTTCATCAAAAGCTTCCCAATGCACTTTTTCTCTTGCCGTAGGGATACACGACCAACGCGCTCAGGTACAACCCCACGCTGATACCAATGGCAACCTGAACCATGCTGTACCCAACGGTGAAGATTGTCCCGTCGGATCCATTACTCGAATTCTGAGCACTCGCGGTGCTGTTGCCAGAAATCTCATTGGCAGAGACGACGCCCGCGACCAGTGATCCCGAGGAGGCTAGACCACCGGGAACTTGACAGTAGATGGCCGGGAGCATGGCGGTTGCTGCTTGGCCATGGAAAAGCCGCGAGTACAAGTTGGAGATGCAGCCGATGGCGAAGGCGCCGATGGCGTTTGCGACTTGCGGGTTGCTGGAAAGCTGGGTGGAGATCCAGAAGTTGGCTTGATGGCCACAGACGGCAATCAAAGCCATGACAGGCAACTGCCGCCACAAGGCTTGGTAGATGAGTCCCACGCAACAAGCGAACAGTGGAGCCCAGATAAAGCGCGTATGTATCAACTTCCAATTCATATCTGCGGCGAACCAGGGCGGGATGTCGCAGGTAGTGGAGGAGACGGCGTCACGCTTGATCAGCCCGAAGACGGTGGTGCCAATGAGTAGGCCGAATGCGAGAAAGAGAACATAAACAATCACGTAAACCATACGTACCGAACCAGAAATCAGATTTCGACTCTGCAGTTCGAGGGCGGAATTCAGCATCATGAATCCTGGGAGGATCATGGCGATGCTACTCTGCGCTATGCCCGAGAAGCAGAAGATGTACTGCCCATTAGAGTATTGGATCGACCCCAGCGCCCGGGCAATGAACGCGGCAAACACGCACGCAAAGACCTCGAACACATTGCTGAAGTGTTCGGACCGCGGGACGATCTTGACCTGCATGAACCCAATTGCGCAACCGAGAAGGAAAATAGGTCCAAAATCAATAGGGCGACTCTGGAAGGAAAAGGGCCCGACCACAACTGACGCCACACCGAACATCAAGATGCGAAATAGTTCCGAGTAGGTATCGGGTCGTCTGCGAATATTGTCGATCTCTCGAATGCCTTCCTCCGCGGTGAGTTTGTCATGAATGACACACTTGTAAACGTTGAACACATCCCTCAGGCGTGCAAAATCAAGCCCGGAGCGTTTTCGGACAATGTCGACATTGTTGGCGTGGATGGTTCGGTCGGCAAAAGTGCAGAACATGGCACCTGGGATGTGCAGAAAGTCGGCGTCGATGAGCAACGCACGAGCCGAGGCACTGAGGTATTCTTCCATGCGATGAGTGGGGGCGCCGTATTCCATAAAGGCGCCGCACAGCTTGATCAAATAGTCCCTCCGGGCGATGATATCGGCGACCTCAGTGATGAGGCCCACGTGATTGTCAAGCGTGCTTGTGCTGTACGCGCCGCTACGCCGGTTATGATGGTGTTTTCCGTGTGTGATGATGTCGACGGCCGTGGAGATCATATCGGCGGATTTAGGGCGCATCGTCCGAGGGCGAGGGAGGGCGCCCATTCCTGCCACGCTCGGCCCTGTGGATGTGAGAGCTGCTTGCATCAAGGCCGTGGCAGTTGGGTTGCTCTGTTCAGGCTTCTCGTACCATTTGACCCTTTTGGAGGGTGTCGCTGTGCCAGAACTGGGAAGTGACGTTGTGAGTGACTGAGAGTGATGGTGACCTTTCGGATCATGCTGCGTCTGTCCTCCTGGGCGGCTGTGTGGTTGCTTTTGGTTGTTAGGCCAGCCTTGCTGCATGTGGTTGAGTTTATAAGCAAGGAGGGCCCCAAAGAGACCAGGCTTGTATTGCTCAGGTGTAGGTACGTAATCCACGTCATATACGTGTTGGTCAACCTGTCGTTCTTCATGATCGAGGCTGTAGCAATTAGCTTCGAGATGGTGCGAGGAAAGGAAATGAACGTACTTTGTCGCCCCCTGATATGTTGAATCCTGACGCAAGAAGGTATGTACTGTTTCCGTCGCAGCCTGGGTATAGACGTGCGATGGAGCTTCTGCATCCTCACTGCCTTCGTGTGGGTGTTCAGGCACATGATCGGCACCGGACGGCTTCTCCTGACTGGCCACCGAACCCTCCTCGAATTTGTTGTAGAAAGATGTCGAAGGCCTGAGGTTGGACAATCGAAAAGGTCGAACTTTCTCCTTCTGCTTTACCCAATTAATGACCTTCGACCAAGCAGGCTTTGGTCGCTGCTCTTGATACGCATCGTCCGCGGCATTGTTATCTGAGGGAGGTCCTGAGGTTGGATGGCTGCCACCTTCGCCTCCAAGATCTCCCGCATTCGTGCTGCTCAGACTGTGATTGCTGTTTGCCCATGAGTTAGAAGTGTTGTAACTGTCGTTTAGTCCTGCTTCCAGCCGACTTAGGTCAGGATTGACATGCTGTCCTTTATCCAAGTTGCTATCCCCACTTGCCATAGATCGGTTGGTGCGATGTTAACATGGGAGAGAACGCAGACAGAGCATCAAGGGTACCGTTTGTGCGGTATATAATATTCAGAACTCTTGCCACAGGGCTGAGGGTCGCCCGGGTAGTACCGAATCTGGCAGAAGGTACTTTACTTGGTGAGGTGACTCGTCTAAGCGATAGGACAGTGGCTGTTGCCCAGATTTTAAATAGAGTCTTGAAGATCCGTCTGTGGAGCTTGACATCCATGGTTGATGCGACGGAGTCTCCAGATCGAACACAGTTTGGAACATTACTGAAAGAAGCTTGGGGTTGACGTGGTCAGCGAAGGAAATTTGAGCGTCAGTAGCATCGATGGAGTTTTGATGTGGTAATAACAAACGCATTTTTGGGTCTTTTGTTTCATTTGAAAATTCTGATTCCGCCCTGTGTCGTCCCGTTTAGGGAATCCCTTACGTTTGGTGCCTTCCAAAAGCAGACAAAAAGTCCATTAAATTCTCCACATCACATGACTCGCTTCATCCAAAAGCGCGCTGGCGTGACTGTCAGGGTCGCCAAGGCGATGTAATGACTGTCATTACTCGTAGATATATACCTACACGAGTCAGGTAGTCTTCGGCCACCAGCACCCTGTAGGTTTCATCATATTCCTCCATGGAGTCACAGAAGAAGAACATATCCGCCCATATGACCGTCTTTCCCGTCTCTACAGCCGTGTGCGTCTTCCAGAAAAACGACTTATCAGGGGGCTGAAGCCTAGTATCAACGGCTTCCTGGGGCGCACCTGTTACATCTGGCACCTTACTCAGGGTATCGAAAGTTCTAGGTGAAGGAATTCACCTGCATAGTGATCACATCTTGAGACTGTTTGTCGCAAAGGACAGACATATAATCGATGGCAGAACTTGATGCACGTAAGAACACTGTAGCGATTATGAGACAGCAACTATATTTGACTCACTGATAATATTTGTCGCATTCATATACATATCTATCCAATCTTAGGACGCAGTTTCCCATGATGGCTGCTTATTCTTTTCTGATTTGGATCAGCGCTCACTCCCAGCACTCCCAGCACATTTCAACCATAGCCCAGCCATTCATTGAGCCTACACTCAGAAATGCCAAAAGAGGCTGTTCGCGGTTGAAGGACCCTTGAGGTATGGCAATTTGGCAAAGACCAAATCTATTCCGACGACATCCAGACCTGTTGGCTTCGCTAGATTGCCGCGCTAATTCTCAACTTGGAAAATCACAGGGGAATAATTAATGACTAGGGTTCCACTTCTATAGCCCAACAACTAAGTATATTCGGCGTATCAATGTTGTGGGCGTGTGGCTGCAGCCAGACAGGCAGACAATAGGGGTAGTTTCAAAATCAGGCCCTCCTCCAAACACGGTAGGTGTCCCGAAGGCCCCATCCCCGCTAGCACTTGGGGATCTTCTCCGCATACACGAACTTCACTAACGAGAAAGGATCGTCATTCCAAGTCACAGTCACGAAACCGGAGCTGCAGATACAACGCCAAGTCAAGTCGACGGTGAAAAAGGTTTCATCAGCATCACTCGTGCCCAGTGAAGCTGTGGACTGTGCCTAAGTGATGGATCTGGATGAAACAATGACCACATCCACTTCCTCCACACCATCTGCCCTCCAGGATACCATCGACGCCGACGAAGGGTTCGAAGACGACAGCCTCTTCCCAGAAGACACAAACAACGATAACGACCAAGACCCGGCACACTCTCTGAGCGAACGCCCTCACACTCCTGCAAACGACCACCTCAACGCAGCCGCACCGGGTGAACTGTCCCCGCCACGGTCGCAGAGGCAGAGCCAAACTGAAACCCTCCAGCAACCCATATCACAAGCAATGTCAAACGGCACGGCTAATCGCAGCTCGGCGAGGGTCGCAGCGATGCAGACAAAAGCTGAAGCAGAAGGAGAAGGCCAAGGGCCGGCGACAGCCTCCGCAGCGGATGACCGAGAAGGCCGGGGCAAACCTGGTTGGACATGGCGCAACAAGAAGGCACAGGAAGAGAGGCAGCGTGCATGGGACAACATTGTCGATCGGGATTTCAGTCTCAAGGAGTTTGGAGACGTCATGTTACAGGGCAAGCCACAAGCATCTGGATTGCGGTGAGGCGGGAAGATATGCGAGAAATGCATGACGAGCATGGAAATATGGAGTTACTATTTACTTTTTATCTGCATGGCGAGGGCGCAAGCTGCTGGAGGTCATGATACACACAGAGGAACGGCGTTTCAAAGACTTTCACTAGTGGGCGGACAAGCATTTGCAACATGAGGCTCCCAAGACAGACAAGGCTACCATACATCTTTATTACAACGACACTTCATGCCTGGCTGGGCTGGAATACTCGTATCCCATATTGTATCTTTGACTTTATACCTGGCTGGCCATCTCACCGGGTTTCAACGGCGTCACAGTCGAGTACAGGCCGAGGAGATGTAGGGCAACCCTTTACTCTGACGTCAGGCCTCTCCTGTGTTGAAAGCACTGTCACAGCCTTGATATACCAACTCCTAGGTTCGGTAGCCCAGGACACCCCATATCTCGACATCTCATTTACGCACTTGTCGATTTTGACCTAGAGAGTCTCGACAACGTACCCAACCGCCTACGGTTACGACTCTCTGGCACTGCCTCGATGGTTCTACCATTGATCTCAGACGAGGTCAAGGGAACGACAGGATACCATGCGACTCGACCTGTAAAGCGACATACTGCACACGACATGGCGACTTACTGCACGTCCTAGGCTTACACGAGGCTAGCGCACCTAGTAGCCGGTGATAGAAGCGGAGATCTAGCGACGGCGAGGAGCGAAGTATTTGCGGGATTTGGTCACGGGTGGCTAGGGGTTGAGGGAGTCTATCTGCCTCAAGATGACTAGGAAAGATACGGTCTGGCCCGCGTACTTTAACGCGACCTTGCTTGTGACGGTTATTCGTTTGGGGAACTCAAGAATCGTATCGAAGCGTCAATCATTCTGCTAGCAAAGGTAAGACAGTCATAGAATCATAAGTAACTTTGTGCCATGAAATGAATCGTTTCCCAAACACACGAGGAGGTTGCTCGCGCGTGCGTCTGCACCTCTCTTATCCAACACCTCCGAGAAAGTGTCCAACAACCGCAAATCCCCTTTGACCCTCGTAAAACAGTCGTTAAGACTGGCGACAGCGCCGAAAGAAGGCAGCCAGGTTCTTCATCTTCTCCTTCGATACCACTTGCCTGGGGAATTTGAAAGCCTTCCGGAGAAGGCTGTCCTCGGGATATTCAGGGGCGTCAAACCACTGATCTTCGGGGATGGCGGCGGCGATAGTGTCAAAACAATGACCACTTGACTCACCAGACGCCCACGCCAGCTCATGAGGAGAACATCTCTTGCCTCGAATGCTCTCTGGCATGTCACTGTCGTAGACCGGTCCAGTGAGGGCTTTTCGGTTAGCGCCCCTTTCCAACAGGACCCGGACAAGCTCAAAATGACCATTGGCTGCGGCCATATGCAAAGGCGTCCAGCCCCTGGAATCTCGGAGTTCAAGGGCAGCACGCGAGCCGAATTCCCTTTCGTATGCGTGGAACAGGACGGGGAAATTGTCACTGATTCCGTACTCCACCACGAAATGCAGTGGCATCCAGTCAAGGTAAGCATGGGGTGTGAAAGCATTCACGCCGTAGTCCAGCAGCAGTTGCAAGTCGGCTGGGTCGGCGAAGATTGCGGCACGGTGCATCACGCTCCATCCAACGTTGTCCAAATGGTCTTCGTGTAATGTGTGAAATTTTTCACCGGTGGCGTGTAACATTCTGATGAACTCGGCGGCTGGAGGGTGCCGGAATCCATCTTCCATGTCCCACGGCCACAGATAGTATAGAGGGGTCCAATCAAGAGCCGTGAAATGATCGAGAGAAGCCCCGTAAGACAACAGCGTCCTGCATATCTCCAATCGTCGATGCTGGAGTGCCCAGCATAGCGGAGATGTCTCCTTTAAGCCGAAAGCTCTGTTCACGAGGGCCCCCTGAGCAAGCAGCAGTTTAACAGCCTCGTGGTGACCATGTTCGATTGCGAGAGTCAGAGCTGTGACCCCATCCGTCGTGGTGGCGTAAAATGGAGAGACCTGTTCTAGAACAAGGAGTTGCTGCATTCGAACAACATCGCCCGCCTTAGAAGCTAGCAAAAACTCTTGCTCTGGTGAGACTCTGTGAAATTCCAGAAGGCGATCTTGGCCAGGTGAAGCCTTCAGCCAGTGTCGCCAGACGAGACGACGTATGACGATTGCCGCATACAGAAGTATCCGAGGCAAATTATGTATACTAGCATAGTGTGCGGGTGTTTCCTGAAGAGTCGACATTGAATCGAAATTCCGCGACAGATTGTTGTTTGGCTCGAAAACACGACTTATCTCTCGGAAGACCCAGCCTCCAAAAGACACCCAACATCGTGCAGCAAAAGCAGTAAAAGTGCCCGTCTCCTTTGTAGTAACCCATTGCTCTGCGTCGCGGGTGGTCATTTCCATTCCTTGCGGCACTTGGGCTGCTTCGTTAAGGGATGAGTGATCGTGGTCTCGGTCGTCCGCTGCCCGTTGAGCAAGCCTGTATAGCGCTATAAGCTCCTCCCGTATTAACCCCAAAAGTCTCTTACCTTTGTAGACCCAAAGTTAGCCCAGCCAGCAACATAACTTGCTGCGTTTCAGCCGCCACTCTTTCGTGCACATCTCTGTCTCCTGTCAGCCAACGCAAGTAGCTTATCTTGGAGCGCTTCGTGGGTGTCTTGGGCAGCGATTCTAACGCCAGGGCGATCGCCTTAGGGAGGTCTGGAACTAGTTGTCTTTGCTCTTCTGGGAGGTTGCTGTGGAGGAGTGACAGCGCGTCACACATAGTTTGCAGGTTTTGGACACGCGCTGCAGCTCGATCGAGGTCAGTGGGAACGCGGTTCCATTCGCGGCAGAACCGGATCATCTTGGGACCACCTCCCAGTAAAGGAGCAACTGTAAATGCAAGACCTAAAGCCTCCATCTTAGCAGATGGGAAGCTTTCAAGGCTGGTGAATGCTCAAAGAGTCGATGTAATTTAGAGGTGGACCAAAGTCAATCCAGGTCAACTGTCCACGGGCGCCTCTCGCTTTAAAACACAGCGTAGTGAGGCTGTAGATTTCATGGCCTACATCAGTTGACCGATGGTGGCATCTAGAGGCGGTATGGCCGGAGTCTCGATAATGAGGCTGTAGCATTGAGGTGGTGTCATCCCTGCTGTTCCCAACCAATCCAGGATGTTCAGGCACTGCAGGTCGAACGCCTCGTAGAGACAACACCACTGCAAACATAGCCCACACACACCGGGCCCAAGTGTGGCCTTGTGGGTGCAGAGCGCACGAATGAGCCTGGCAGGTATCTTGCGTGCATGAACCAGCATTCATGGCAAGGCATCGACGTCAAGGAGGGTTCGGGCGATATAACACGGCCACGTTGAGGCGCAGGCCACGCTTTATGGATTGGCATTGAAAAAAATCCAATGATGTTCGAAGGGCAAGGGACAAGTAGTCTTCAGAGAGGGTGTCAGCGATGAAAATCAAACCAATTACTGTTTGTAGGTGAAATGGAGGTCTGTGTGAAGTGAAGAAAGTCCTCGCCCGAATTCATCAGCAAAACCACACCGCAACAATGCGTGACGTAGAGAGAGTCGCATACCACAGCATGTCTCTCTAGCCAGTCTTGAAGACGACCAAAGAAAAGGCTGGTGGTCCGGGCAAAGACCAGGAAAGCAGATGGGATGCGCACAAGAGAAGCACTGAGGGTATGAGTGACATGTGGTCATACAGCCCACCGTAGTATCTGGTGTCACGTGCCGATATTTCTCTGCGGCGGATCACTGGACCTCCAGATGTAATCATATGGCGCCATTGCTTTGGCGATCCGCACATAGGGCTTCGAAGCTGGGATCGGATGTTCGGTAATTCTATAAAGAATGTTGATCCAATCTTTGGTGCGATGTAACCGCTTTCGGAATGTGCCTCTTATTCTGTGGAGCCTCAGGGTACTCCGTACACTTGACTCTTCATCGTCTGAGGCTCGGGCGCCATTCAGTCAAATTTTCTTCAGAATGCGACAGTGGACTCACATTATCGCTGCATATCCCGAGACCGCGCTAGTGGTTCTAGGAAGATCTCCTAGCATGATATGAGTGGGTAGGAATCAAGCAATCAGTGAGCAATTGACGAGAAAGTGTATTCTTCTCAAGGCAACCGACCTTTGGGAACAGAAGGTACAATCGGCAGCTCCCTTGAATCGAGAGAGAAAGAAAGAATAAAGCAACACAAAGAGTGTACGAGGTATGATGCGAAGTGACACGTCAACCCGACCTAGGAATGTCGGCAAGCGCTCCTGTTTAGCATGCATGCTTGACGCAGCGCCGACGCGCCGTCTACACCTGGAGCCACATCGGGTCCTCCTAACGCCTGTGATATCACAATGATCCGTGGGCCCCGCGCCACTCACCGGGACCGGCTGGGCGATTGAGTGGCCTTTAACGGATTTTAAACAGCGAAATTGCGTACAGCTTGAGGCTAGACCGGCTGGGCCTCGTCAGCAATGCTTCGTATCCTATTAAATCTGGTTGAGCCGCTCGACGAGGGAAAGTATCCCCAACCAGTTTCACAACTTTTAGGTTCAGCCCCTACCTACTCTGGACGTGGGCTATCTTCTAGTCTCGCGAAAGTTGTGGAAAGAATGAAGCCATCCAACAGTCCAGTCATCACAAAAGTCTTCTGGGAATCCAGGCGATCTTGGTCCAAACCCACCATAACGCGAACAGCCTGCAAAGACTTGAAGAAGCTTGAGAGTATGAGCTCGGAACAACACCCCATGGGCACCTGACAGATTTCTTCCTGATAGTTTCTTTTCCCGCACAATTCGACTGCTCCTGTCTGTCCGCATTGGCTGGTGAAGGACTCACCAAACCGCATCTCTTTCGAGCCTATCACTATATTTACTAGGCGAAAACCTGAGACCAAAACAACCCGCATCCTTCGAAGTCGTAGAAACCATTGCTATGAAAAGTTTGTTTCCTGGTTTCATGCGCCCTCCTGTTCAATTTTGTCGAGTTGCAGAAGCACTGGCGCGATCCTCTAGGAGCCCGTTCACCGGGGCGATGTGGCTCATCCATGTGCTGATCCACAAGTGAGGAAACTACTTCTCATCTGACTCGTCTTTCTTCCACAATCTATTTGCTTCCCCCAGGCGGCCTTGACCTTTGCACTAGCTTCGTTTCCACCCCACAAAGTTTTGACCGGTTTCGCCATTCAGCAGCTTCGACTTAAAAATATAGTGCATTCACCACTGGCACAGGCTTCCACCCCCTTATATTACCTTCCTCGACAGGCGCTTACAACAGACACTCTTCACCGCACCCGTGAGTATTTCACCTCTGAAGTTGGCCATTCGCTTTCCAGCGGGCGCTCTTAACCCACAAGGTGAGAATATGCACATCTCTTTACGCGGCCTAAATCTAACTGCACTCAGTGGCTGGAGAGCGTGTCGAGCATTTCGACGACCTGTTGGTCTTACCGACCAGACGAACACGCGTTGGCTTCCCCCGTGACCCCAAAACTTCTTGAACGCGACCCGTGCGCTTCAAATTTCGACTGCAGCAATATACAGCCACCCCAGAAGATCCAAGTTTCTCATCCACACTTCCAGAGACCTTCGATTTAGAACTTTATCACTGAATTGAAGACCCTGAGCAACAGAATCGGACAGAAACAGGCGCGGGTGATCCGGCTTTTGCTCCCAGCGCACAGAGCACGAGTTCTTTTGACAGTCGAGCAGCAACAAATCTGATGATGGCAACAGGGGCGCAAGGGGAAACTTCAAAACCGACCGCGGCTGACCTTGGAGCGAAAAAGACCCAAGAAGTCAAAAAGCCGCCACACCCAATCAAGGCTGGATCCGCGAGGCACGGGAAATAGTCAAGCAAGGGCTCGAGCACAAGCACAAGAGTTGCTCTTGTCATCAGTGCGGCTGGAAAGAAGTAAGAGTTGGTGCCACTGAGAACACTCAACCCAGCATGGGCACTGACTTGCCAATCCGAAGCTTACTCCTCCATCCAGCAGCATTCATCGCCTTTCCAATTCCATTCGATGAAACCCACAAAGGCTGTCGACTGCGAGTTTCCCCCACCGGTTATTGTATTTTTTAGTGTCGATCCTTCTTTCTGGGCATCAGAATTCCAAGCGAGAGCCTCACCAAAAGCACCGTAATGTCAGGGTCATATGCTGCCATATTCACAACCCAAGGCTGCTTGTTGTATCGTGGATGGGGTCAAGCTTGGTGACGCTCGTGTCGACAAACAATGCAGAGAGGCGAAGTCCAGCAGGTCGGTCGGTCGTCTGGCGTCTTGGTCGTTACCCCATTACATAAGGCAGCATCATTCTGAAGCCGTGGGTACGCTGGGGCACTGTGCGGATTGGAGAAGGACAAAAGTTATATGCGAGGATATAAGGGGGAGGGGAAGAAAGAGGACGAGGGAACAAACCTTTCCATTCGATTATCCCGTTCTTGTTGCCCAGCGACGGTTGGCTGGCAGCCAATGAGGTTGCGAAGACAAGTTGTGTGTAGGGTCACGTGGAGGTCAAACCCCAGAAAATACAACTTCGGAGATTTGATAATCCGCTCCTCTCCCTCTATCGCACAAGACACACAGAGACAATAGAGTCTGAAATAATAGGTTTCGTCTTTCGACAGTTATTTCAGCATTATAAGTCTAAAGTAGAGGAATACCCGATAACCAAATACTTGGGGGCCTTGCACATCATCAACGGAGCTTGAATGTTTGTGATTGATAGGTTGCAGAAAAGAAAAGAGAGTAGAAAATGTAAAACTAGCAATATCTTAGGATCGCTGATGTTGAATCGTATTGCGAATGCGACCGTTGTCGCACAGATCAAAAACTCCGAGTCCGAGTTTGATCTGATCTGTTCCGCATGGCAGCACGAGCACGGGACACTCGGAAATATAGAGTCAGGCGGGCCATTCGGGTATTTTTGTGCAATCACAATGACTTTCTTTTGATTCGACAGGGTATCATAGCCTCTGGTGTCCTGTATAGGTAAAAGAACCTCACTGCTCCGTCTAGCACCCATGAATCCCATTGAGCAAAACCATTCCCATTAAATAACCGCCACCGGTCCAAAATTTCCCAATAACGTTCCCCGTACAGCCTGAACCATTTTCACTTCTTGCCCGCCGCCGGTGCCAGGCCCGGTACATTCGAGTACCGCTCGTCTCTCTCCGTCTTGAAGAGCACCTGGCACCAAAACTCCTTGGCGTCGGCGTCCCACCAGGTCCAATACCTGCCTTCTCTCCTGTCGACCTCCCGACTCTGTAGCTTGAAGCCACACGTCTCGTACGGCTCGGCCGCCACCAGGAGGTACTGGTAGTCCCTGTCCGGGTCCTCGACCTTCTGTTCAAACGCGCTCATGAACCGCACGCGCGGCTGCACGTTGGGCGTGATCTCCGGGTACAGGAGCTGGAACAGCAGGCCCACCTGCCGGGTGAGGGGATCCCTGATCTTTGTGATTTTGTAACCCGGGCGGCCGATCTTGACCATGTTCTTGCGCACCTGCACGCCCATCATCCCCGCGCCCGCCAGGTTGCCGTCCTTCTGCATCTCCTTCTGCTCCCGCGCCGCGCGTCGCGCGAGGTTGGTCTGGTGTTTCCGCCCCTGCGTGTGGGCGAGGTAGGAGCCATCGTTCTGGTGCACCGTGAGACACAGTCTGCATTCGAAGGAGCCGACGTGGTTCTTGAAGAAGTAGGGGTCCTTGTCCAGGTCGATGGTCTCGAGGGCGAGCTTTCGCAGCCGTTCACGCCGGTCGGCGTTTGTCGCCGAGTGCGAGGCTACACCACCACCCCCAAACTTGGAGCCCGCGCGATTCTGGTAGTCCATGTCTGAAGTATCGTGGTGGAGACTGAGAGGTCGGACAAATGTGGTTGATCTGCCGGCGAAAGCTCTGCGCCAAAGAGGCCGTCGCAAATGAATGTCGCTGCGCTTCGTCGACGGATGGGGCGATTCGGTGGCGGTGATATCGCAGAGACGAGAACCAAAGTTGTGGAAGCACACGATGGAAAATCGGCTGGGAGGTGTTCTGCGGAATGTGTAGTCGAGAGCAATCCAATGGAAGGGTCAAAAGATGAGCGAGAGCATGATGTGAAGTTGCGGAGTTTTGGTGGCAGGCTAAGAATTTAATTTCTCAGCCTCGTCCGCCTCCGCAGATCTGCCACAAGGCTGAACCATTGACTACCATCCCACGCCCCACTGAGCCCGCTACGACTTCACTCCCACATACTGCCCACACGTGTAGACGCGTTCAGCAGCTCTCCCGGCCTGAAAGGGGAAGTCATCTGATTGCAACAATGTCAGAGTCGTTCTATACATCCCCCCCAGCTGGAACAGCGCCTCCTGGCGCGCCAATTTCGCCGCCACCTCCGACGTCACCAACAAGCGCAGTTGGTGCACCACCTCCGCCTCCGCCAAAACCGATATCTCATCTCTCTCAAAGTGCTGACCCCAGCCGGTCTGGGACACCAACTGTTCCCTCTGCCCCAGCAGTACCCAGCAAAGTAGACTCTCCCCGCCCACCTCCACCACTCCGAGCAGAGCAGCACGCGACAAGCTCTCCCGTGCCTGGGCTTCGGCCGATACCACCCCAAGATCCCTACCAACCCATCCCTCCACCGTCCATTTCCGAACGATGGCTTCCATCGAACGTCTCTAACAAGCCTCTCAATGAACTCCAACCGCTGCTCGGTAACCCCTCCTTGGTCGCCAGCCTAGCCTCGCAGCACCCCTCTTACGCCTCCTCGCTGATTCCTCTCGAAAGAGCCATCCAACAAAACGTTCAGCTCGCTCAGCAAGTTGCTCAACTTGAGAGTCAAATTCGTGCCCTCCGCGACGACACTGCTCAACTGCTTCTGAACCATACGAGCCTGCACACGCAGTGGCGCAGGAAGCAGACTGAGATGGACGATGCCCTGGCGCCTTGGGGCCCGAGACAGATGTATCAGCGGCTAGCCTCGAGTATAAATGAGCAAGAAGCGCTCTTGAAAGCTATGCAAGAGAGTTTCCTTGAGGGTGGAACTGATAGCGATGCTTATTACGGTGGCCCCAACAATGGCAAGGCAAGCGAGAAGGAAGTTAGTGAGTGGGTAAGGAGGATAAGAGAAGGTGCAACGGTCTTGGAAAAGAGAAGAGAGATGCGAGCACGGTGGGATGAAGGAAGAGTGGGCGGCTGGAGGTGACAACCACTTCTGATTCCTTAATAATACCTGAAGACTCTTTCTAGCGAATACTCCTGCCTGGATTTCCATTCACCACCTCACTTGGCGACAACGTATTGGGACCGAGTTGCCTACAGCCCAAACGCCAAACCAAGGCACACCACTGCCCCAACGATGCTCGATCCTAGTGCCAGTCTCGCGTCCCCGATGTATGCACCGTTCCCTTCTCCATCTTCGGCCTTTCTATCGTAAACAGTGCGAGAAGCCGAGGCGGCATAGCTGGATTCAACCGCAGCATGACTCGACATTGACAAAGCCAGCCTTGATTGCTCCCACGCGCTGGTTTGCAACAGCCCATCCCTCTCTTCGCTTGCCCACTTGGACTTTTCCGACGCTGCCTTTGACAATCTTCTAGCCGAGTCTGATTCTGACGAAGCCGCCCGAGAGACTGAAGCGATGAGTTCCTTGTAACTCTGGATAGATGCTATCCAGTTCTCAACTCTTTGTCTTTCTGGATCAATTGTTGCGTCCCGCAGAGCATAGGCGATCATGGTGGGCGGAGGCGTAATTGTTACATAGTAATTGGTGACGCTGGCAGGGAGTCGGGCGAACCACTGCGGCACAGACCCGCCAGTGAATTCATTGGCTAGCGACTCGGCAGCATTGGCATCGTTGAGCATAGCGTCCTTGACTTCAGCTGGCACTGCAGCCTGGATCTCGTCGCTAATCCTTACGTCTTCTCGAGCCTCGAGATGATTTTTATCAACAGCATTTGAGCGGATCTCGCCACGCTCTACCGGCTCAGGTTTAACGGAAGAATCGGTCTCGTCTGAAGATCGGAGATTGAGCTCGGGATCAAAGGGTGAACCGCCACCATCCTGGCGAGACTGCAGTGAGGCTTCCTCAGACAGGCAATCTTCAAAGTTGATCGTGCACCGTGCGCTAAGGATACACTCCCCAGAATTTGCATCCGCAGCGCAGGCAAAGAAGCCGAATGGGTCTTCGCAAGTGTCACCCATGACGGTGAAGCACCCTTTGTCCGTATTTGTTGCCCTCTTCCGGAGCTCAGCGGGCAGGTTTGGAAAGGCTAGGATGTTTTGCATGGGAAGAGGGCTTCGAATCTGGCTGCTGGACTCTGGAACCCCAAGAATCACCTTCACGGCGTTGTCGACAGGCTGGTTCCTCTGGTCGGAAAGCAATGCTGCGGAGCCACAGGCCACAATGGCAGAGAGAAGAACAACTTTGGACGGCATCTTGAAAGCAGGGTTGACGAGCAGCTCGTTGTTTGGAAGATGTAGGACTGGAGTGGTGCGAAAGGAACGAACAGAGGACAGAATGAATGGATACAGCTGCTAAGAGTTGAGGCAACGAGCCCAGCTCAACAGTTGATGCTTGCAAAGTGAATGATTCTATAATGGAAGTGATGTGAGGAAGAGGAAGAGAGAGACCGCAGAGACAAATCACAGGCTTAAAAAAGAGAGCGAGAGAGCGGACCAAGTGGGAGGCACCTTCCTGTCGATTGCATTCCTTCCATGCCTCGAATGTTGGGACGTCATGATGGGCAACGACAACCATGAAAGTTCAACCACGAAGGTCGAGCCGCGTATGAAGGTACAGAGGCCGAGAAGTCGAGTAGCACGTTGACATGTATTGACAGAACTACTGAAAGATATGTTACGTAGTAGCACGCCTCATTAAATCGCCTTACATGCGCTTTCCACCGAGATTGAGTGGCGATGTCATACTTATCCTTCTCGGTCCTTCGGTCGAATCGGTTTACAAGGCTGTTAGTCTGCGCGAGTCTCTCCCGACTTGCATGTCCATCCGCCCGCAACGACCGACGACCGAACAGCGAAGGCGCACTCCATCAATAACGAAAGATCAGCACCTGATCCAAGGGATATGTATAAGACGTTCATGTTTCTACCATATGTAAGGTGCAGTCTCTTCACTTCGACCTGCACCACTCGGTGACATAATTTTATCGCTGACCTTTGCGCGCCTTCTGATTGGCTGAAAATGGTTATTGTGGCCTTCGCCGCAACCTTCAGGAGTATTACCACACACCGCATCACTTCAGATCCTCACAAGCATATAAGACAGAGAGAACAGCAATAGGCACTTTTTCAGACTGCATCAGAGATTCGTTCCAGAGATCTTGTCCGGTTTGACCGTCTTGACCAAGAGCCGAACCTTTGTTGTCACGTCGCCCGAAACAGCTTAAAGAAAAAGAGGGTCCAGATTAACAGGACCTCACAACAACATGGGTCGGGAGAAGTGGTGCCATGGGATGATCCCAAATACAAACCCATCAAGCCAGGAAAGAGAAACACTCCCCACAGCACCCGATCTCGAGGCGAACCAGCCGCTTCTTTTGTCGCGGACGTCAACTCTCCAAGAAACTTCACGCAGACAGTCAGTATCCGACTTCCCGTCAGACAAAAGATCACAGCAACGTCGGAGATGTTTTTGGCTGGATTGGGATCGTCGTGTCAACGCGCGAGTTGTATCTGATGCCATCCTGGGACTTTCAGATGGACTCACGGTCCCATTTGCTCTCACTGCCGGTTTGACAGCCCTGGGGGATACCAGAGTTGTTATCTTAGGAGGGCTCGCAGAGCTGATAGCTGGGGCAATATCAATGGGACTTGGGGGATATGTTGGTGCTAAAAGTGAAATGTATGTCCAAGTGCACGAATCCGCAGCACCGATATGACCAACGCTGACATGAGACAGTGAATCATTTAACGCCACAGATCGCAACTGTAACGAACTTATCCTGCACGAACCGCAGGCCGCAAGGGATTTTATCCAGGAGTATTTCGGACAATTTGGACTGTCGGCAGAGGAGACGAAACGAGTGGCAGATCACATGGAAGCATCAACTCCGGTGCTCAAAGACTTTCTCATGCGCAATCAATTTCAAGCCTCGAAGCCAGACACGGGTCGACCGTATCTGTCGGCACTCACACTGGGCATCAGTTATTTCATCGGCGGCTTCATTCCCCTGATACCATATTTCATCGTTGCCCGTGAGAATGTTCTGGCCGGATTGTGGTGGAGTATTGGACTTATGGCAGTTGTGCTACTGATTTTTGGATATGTCAAGACAGGAGTCGTTCGGGGATGGACTGGCAAGGAAAATTACCAGGCTTGCACCGGAGGAGCGTTCCAAATGCTGGTTGTGGGTGTTATTGCCGCTGGCGCTGCAGTGTGTTTGGTGCGATTGATCAGTGGCAATTGAGCAGTTAACCTAGAACGGGCACAACGGATTGCACGGTGCTAGGAGTTTTCCCATACTGCGTAAACATGGTCCCGTCTGGCTATTCGTCGGGATGCAAAAGTCAGATTGACCCCATGAACGTGTGGCCCGTGCATATAGAGAGTGGTGGTCGAATGATGCGAATGCTGCTGGGGCTCGGTCGGTATCCGCGGACTGACTCGATCGATAGGCACGGCAGAGGCTATGGATTAAACCTGGGAAGGGTTAACAGGTCAACAGGGTCAATGGGAACAGAGTGGACCTTGTATGATAGAGTTTTTTTCCCTCGTTAACGGGCGAGTTGGACCGTTGGGTTATCTGGGAGTCTGGGCGTCTGGAAGTCTGTGTGCCTGGGTATACTTGGTACCCACGAGTTGTGTACCGAGTCGCTAGTACCGACAAGGAGTTGGCTTCCAGCGGCCTCGTAATCGGCCCTCGGCAAGAAAAGACTACTTTGGTGTCAGGAACAATCACCTGCAATGACACCTTGGGATGATGTGAGGAAATGGTGTGGGAGATGTCGGTGGCGGAAGCGTCGCAGTCAGAAAAAGTTGCTGAACGAAGGGCGAAGGAGAGCGAGAATTCGGATCCTGTGATCCACTCATCCACTCATTCACTCAATTCATTCCCTTCCAAGTCTCTTTCCATCGCTGCCACTCGCCCACTTTTTCTTTTCCTTCCTTGCATATTCCTTTTTTCCCTGGCCTTCACAGGTCCATTCTCGCTATTCCTTTTTCCACCCATTCTCCTTCGCCCAACTAACTTTTTCGCTATCCTCGAACCGAGCTTTCAAGGCTGTATCCCCATTCGCTGTACCAAACATCATTGACTTGGGCATGCGAGAGCTCGGACCTCGCATGCGGCAATCACACAATCGGCCAAGACACTCAATTCACACACTCTCACTGATCGGGAAACCAATCCTGACCAGAAAACATACCTCCGTTGACTGACGCAACTCGAATCCCAACCGTAACTCCAGTCAATCCTCCTGCGTTCGCGGTTCCTTGACTGCTAGCCATCCGTCCATCGGACTGTCATGCTCACGGCTGCAAGCCCTGGTCTGCAGGAAAACTCATCCATCTGTCCGTGACAAGGGATACGCTGCCGGAATATTAGATACTGGACATGGGTGACATGTTGGGAATACGAAGTGCCTGGCTATCTACTTGACCCATCTTACCGGAAGAGGTTGCGACTATTGATTTCCAAGATGCAAGACTACGGTACTCGCGTAAGTCCTCGCTTTTCTGCTCGTACACCCCCAGCCTCCTCTTTTCATATCGGTCCTTTTCGTATGTGGATTGCGCGCTGTCCTCTATCTCACTGCCTCGTCCAATGCACATGGCATCAATGGTTTGACTCATTCACTGGTCCATCGAATCGGCTTTTTTTGAACCTTTCGTCTATTCATGCCCTCACCGCCGGCAGTCCGACTCGTAAGTCCCTGCGTCTCAACCTTGATGGCTCTGAGCATCCTTGCATGAGAATATGCTTTTTGCCATTCCCGCCTCGTTGTGCCCAGCGGTTTCCCTTGAGATACAAGACCACTTGCTGTTCTGAGAGTTGCTCAACGACTGTGTACTTGGTGGCCAAAGTGAAAGTTTTTCGGTCCAGGCAATGCGGGACAGCGTTGCGAATCATGCTCTGGACGGTGGTCCTGCTCCAGAATTGTCTGCGCCAGACGGCGCATCCCGTCGTGAACTTTCTGAGAAACAGCACAGATTCGTTTTCACTGTCGTGACGCTTGTGATCAGCACGACCATTGCGATAAGCGTCTCGCAGGTTTGAACAAAACCCAAGGTCCGCAGCAACTATCCGATAATGACAGACTGTCAATGCCCGTGTTACACAGATCCCTCTCCACAGACCGTTGATCCCAACAACCACGGGATGGGTCAACAATCGGGCAGACAGCACTCGATCGCCTTCAATCTTGATTTTTTGTTCCCCTTCCTTCTTGCCCTTTGGTCCTCCACGGTCCCTGTGCCCCGCTCAAAAGATGATGGGTGGTCGACTGTGAACAGTTCGGCCCTGCCTAGTATAGTCCGGAGGTCTAGCCAATGTAGGCTATCGGCATTCGCAAACACCATGATGTATCCTACGCGCAGTTGAAGTACAAGAAATCCAGGATCGCATATACTTTAGCGTCTGTAACCAAAGAGCAAGCAATCCAGGCTTTTGACCGACTGGACGGGAGGACAACGGGAACAACGGACAGCATGCAGGTCGAAGAAGCCATTCGACCTAGCAGGTTCAACACATGGCAACCTGGGTGCCTGGCCAGCATCTTAGCCTAATGGGGAACTTTTCAATCGAGCAGGCGATATTGTTCCTGCACCACCCAGTGCCACCTCTGTATGCACGGCTGACGTCTTGGGGATCATGTCTGCACTGATATGCGCGAACCTGTCATACTGGGAACTACTGGCAGCACGCAAAATTTTTTTGTGGGACACCCAGAGGTCTCGTCTCCCTTGCAGGCGGATGCATCTTTTGCGCATCCAGTGGCATCCCCTGCAAAGAGCTGGCAGCAGTTGACCCCAGGCACCCAGGGAAAAGGTGACACGTCTGCTCTGAGGTCTGTCATATCCTCGTGGCACGGCGATACAGCAGACAACATTAGGATTCAGTCGCCATGGCCCGGACACCAACCTTGTTTGCCTGAATCGCTAGCACGCCCATTATCCGTCCCCGCTTACACGTGGGCAATTCCAAGCGAGGGAAAACGAACCGGCACGGTGGGAAGAGGGTGTGTTGGGAGATTTCCTCTCCCGTGCCTGAAGCCAACCTCTGTTTTGCTTAGCTTTACCGGCCCCTCCTGCGGAATTTTTCGGCGACCCTTTCTGACAGCTCCCAATCGCCGCCCTTTGGTACCTGACAAGGGTCGGCTGGGTCTGGAATGGGTATCAAGGCTCCGTACCGGAGCGGGTCTTCCAACCAGCATTTGCCAAGTTGGGGGCGCTTTGTGGCTTGCATTAGACCAGGTACCACCCACGCTCAGGGTTTGCGCTCGGTCTCCCATTTGACGGTGATATTCAGGAACCAGCAAAAATCCAACAATCCCATCCACTTCACCGCCAGGGGGATAACCCTTGACCCCGGCCATCACTGTTTCAAAGCACATCCGGCCTAGGCTGGTTATGCTTTTGCACTCCCCTTCTTACCTTGTTCTGAAAAATACCAGGATCTTGACAGTCTCCCTAGGGGCTCCATCGTGGTCTTGTCCGTGGCGGCCGGCACCAACGCACCTGCGAAAATCTCTGAACGATGGAGGAAGGGGGTCCCATGTCCTGTGGAGGCTTGGGGGGCTCGAAGGCGCTCAAGGCCAACTCACCTCAAGCCTCCTCGAGGTTTGTTGTTGATGTGAACGTGGAGGTTGATGTGGAAAGATCATCTACTTAAACCGCGTCGTCCCCCTCTGTTGTGTGATTTCCTGTTTCTGCCAACATCGTGTCAATCTTTACAACGTCTCCTTCTGTGACAGCCTCGAGCAGGTCTCCAATCAGCATCATTCCTTAGCTGAAAAGACCTTTTGTCGACAAGCACACCCTTCAAGGACCACTCCTTTTCCGTCCAAACACCACAGTCCCAGTGATTCACCTGTTCCAAGGTTCATACCATCAAAATGCAATTCAAGAACTTCGTTGCTGGCGCAGCCGTGCTGCTTGCCTCTGCCCCTGCCGTCCTGGCCCTGGGAACCGCCACCGTCGTCAACAACTGCGGCTATCCCGTCTACTATGCATCGGTCGGAGGCAGCTCCAACCCGAACATGCAACAGCTCCAGGGAAGCTACAGTGAAGGCTACGGTCAGGAAGGTGTTGGCGTTTCTATCAAGCTTGCACCCAATGCCACCACCTCTGGACCCATCTCTCAGTTCGAGTTCACCTGGGCCAATGGCAAGATCTCGTACGATCTCTCCAACATCAACGGTTACCCCTTCTCTGCGGGTGGCATGCAGATTGTTCCTTCGATGCAGAACGACCCAAGCAACCCAACCTGCGTCGTCGTCGACTGCCCTGCCGGCGAGGCTGTGTGCACCGCGGCCTACAATGCTCCCGATGACACTCGCACCATGGTGTGCAACGAGGAGGCCAACCTCGTCCTGACCATTTGCCCCGGTGGATCGAGCAAGCGAAGCGTCGCCGTCAACGAAGGCCAAATCCATTACCGCGTCCATGCTCGTCACTTGCCAAAGATGGCATAGATGACCGCGGCCCAGCAACTTCGGACCAGGAACAGTCACCAGCATTAGATGTCATCTAAGTTTTCCAATACTGTTTGCGCAGCTAGCTCTGCCGCCTCTCTACCGCCTTAACGCTGCCTGCATATACGCTCCTTTACGGTATCTTCCATGAGTCGACACATGGATATATCAATGCCCCTGCAGGTTTAGTACCCGATCTCGACGATCATGAACCATCTTTCTACACTCTTCAGTCCCGGCGACAGGTCTCCCGTGGAATATTGGAAAACAACATCTGGACAACAATGCGTGGCTCCACAGCAACAAATTAACAGAAATCTCACGAAACATGCAGCGAATCAAGTCATGACATGACTGATGATCAGCAGCGGCGGCGATGGTGGACAAATGATTGCTGGCGTTACAAAACTTTCTTCTCGAATCTTTTTAGGGCAATGGCCTTTTTTTTCTGACTTGCTCGCGGTATTATCGACATGACTTGAGATTCCTTGATCTGGCATATACCACTGTAACAAAAACAGGGGATGTCATGGTCGGATTCAGCGCATGTGCAGATGGTGGGTGGAAAAAACTCTATTGTTATAGAACGTGGATAATTATCCCACGGAGACTCGAGGGATGCCGCTCTCTACGAGATTTACAAAGGGTGTTATTACGTGAATGTTGATAGACTTCGCTTCTTGGATACCATACACATAGGGACACTTCGAAAAGAAAATTGAAAACAAAAACCGTCGATCTCCTACTGGGACAATCTTTGATTGCGTATCTCGAATTTGTTTTGGTGGCTGTTGCTGTTGTTGCTGTTGTTGCCGTTGGGCTCGGTCCAAGCAACGGCACGGCGGTTGGTGGTGGTGGTTGGTGGTTGTGATTGTGGTGATGAGGTTGATTGATGATTGACAAAGATGACGACGACGATGCGCTCGGTGGCGTTGGTGGCGCTCACTAAGAGTTACGGGTAGTAGGCTTTGGCAACCCCCTTGTTAGTCGCAAGCCACATGCATTGTTGAAACTTGTACTCGGTACCGGGCACGGGTACACCATACTGGTAAAGAAACACGGTACGAGTACCTCAGTTCGGTACTCATAAACAACTCCATTGAAGAAGCGAAGAGCATCTCGCCGTGCAGAGTAGAGGGATGGGGACTACGAGTACGAGTAGAGTGCGTGTAGTGGTGTACCCCCAACCAGTAATCCAGTACTCTAGTACTCTGTACCTGCATAGGCATGTCAAAAAGTCCCTTTCCCCTGCATTGTCAATTACGGTATTTCGCATGGGAGGGGGCGTGAGGGCCCAAGGGCGCTACGGAGGTGTTGGCCCAACCCGAATCACCGTTGACTTTCCTCGCTTGACGGCCGTCCCCCAGTCAGTCCAAGCTTTTCGGCTACCGAGGAGCTTTCGAAGCTCCCATCCACGCATGCATGCACGAAAGAGGAGAGAGGGGTTGGTTCCGGCTGCCCTATGTACCTAGCACAAGTAACTTGTCGTTAAAGTTGATCAATGATCTTCGGAACAGGACCTTTTGTTGCTGGTATTTTGAAACTGGGGTGGCTTGGTCAATGAGCGTGCATGCCACATACATGTTTGTACGAGTGCGAGTAAATCAGGTAGATACCTAGGTACCTAATGCACGTACGTAAGGCCTCTTCTCAGTGCCTACAAATGTACTCGTATGAACGAGTACTCGGTACAGGTACAGCTACCAACAGCTACCTAAAGCTGGGTAGATACGAGTTATCTTACCGGGCAAGCCACCCCGTGCGCCCGTGCATGCATGCATGCTAAGACCTAACGACCGTCTCCCCGTGCCCCCGCCCTGGTACCGCTGGGCTGGTGGGTGCGTGGGTGCGTAGGTGAGTGGGCGGCCCAGCCGGCCAGGGACGCGGTGCAGGGGACGCGGCGAGGCGGTTAACCAGGGGTCGCCAGAAACATGAAACAGGGAAAACATGAAACAGAGAGATGCTTAATTTAATTTATTCCATCGATGGGACCGTGTTCTCGGTAGATGTTCCATGCACCCATGCTCGTCCTCGTAGGGCACACAATAATCTCGTAAGGCACTAGCACCTACGAGGACGAGGAGAGCACAACAAACATGTATGTACTTGGTAGGTACTCGTAGCTAACTTGTTGGGGTCCATCAGCCACGACCCAGCAGGGGAAATTACTCTACGGGTAATGCTGCGGCGTCGTCATCACCTCGGACATTTGTCGACGGCGACGAGGATTTCACTGCGGACTTGAGATCACACTGCGCCTCCTCCATCTACTACGGTGCCTGCTGTAGGCAATTCTATTACTGGACCAGCTGGACAGGCTGACGGGGAAGAGGTGGAGTGTGGGTTCTCTAGCACCTCTTGCATCCTGCCATCGATTTACCCGTGCCTGTGGGATTAGAACCATATCAGTAAAAATAACAATAATGGTTCGAGGTACGAGGTACAGAGCGGAGTGTTCCGTTCTTTGCACCCGGCCTTTACTCATAGATAACTGATGCCGGTAAAGAAGAGGCTGCGACGTGAGGTGTTTTGAAACATGCAGTTCGGCTCTCCTGGCCAAGATCTACGAATAAGGGGTACTGCAGGTAAAGTTCCTGGGGTAATTGTTACAGATCACAGATCACAGATGACATCTCTCCAAAGGCGTTGGATCAAGAACAATAATAGGAGAGAGTGAACGAGTCTTTCATCACGACCAACTGACTGACCGGTCGGCTAGACCGCATTGACTGGACTGTGCGAGGAGCCTCCTTGCGGGGTGACAGAGTGAGACGTCCGTCAACGCCGCAGGAGCAAACAATCAACAAAACTCCACGAATAGATTCTTCAGGGTCAGTGGCATCTACTCGGTCCATGCATGGCCATCCATGCCCCTGGGACTGAGACATTCACCTCCACATCCACCTCAACCTCAGCAGGTCTGCCCCTGTTGCCCAGGCGAGGCTGACATGCCCTCAGCTTGACAGGGTTGATCCCGGGAGATCGCGTCCAGCAGCCTTTACGAGTAAACTTAAACCGTGGAAGTGAAGTGGATTCTCGGCATCCTTGACTCAAGCAAGCCGTGTGAGTGAGCCTCACTTACCAGCTACCAGCTTCCCAGGCCTCATTCGATGCCAGGATATCTTTGCTTCAAGCAGCACGTTCCTCGCGCCGGCTCCGGTCCTGCTCCTTCGGATTAAAATAATAACAAATGGAGATCTGCACGGTTCGCGAGGTACACTTTCTTCTCCACAACATCCCCAGCCTCCTCCGGATTCACGAAACCCACGAGCTCGCTTCAACGTCGGGCAAGGTCGATTATCGATGCCCGCGAAGGAGCATATATGTTCAAATGTCAGACGCCCTGAAAAGCGTGGATGGTATCCAGGTCATCACGTGATATAACGCCGCCGACTTGTCAGTTTCTGTCATTTCATCACGTGATGGCTAGGATCTCATCCACGGCTTTTCAGTGAGTGGACAGAGAGAACTAGATTCTTGTAGTATGTATATTCGACGTCGACGGTCGGCACCTGTACGCGATGGTAGGATATGTTGTTCACTCCTTTGGTCTACGTACCGTGAAACCAACCAGTTCACTATGATTCGATCTTTCCACATCGGGACGAACCACCACCCAAGGAGTAGGACATGATTCCCAACGCGAAGTTGACCTCCCACCCACAAGGCAGTTCCTAACCCATATATACCCCCCGCGACATTTCGCTGGCGTTGAAAATTGGATGCCACAACAGCATCGGCCATCAGTCGCGAAGAGATAAACTCATACTTCGAGCGATGGGATTCGCTAGCTTGCTTGTGGTATCCGACTCCTCTGTATCAACCTGGAAGATTCGACCATTAGTAACACCAAATTGCAATGTACGAGGAAGAGGTATGCACGCACATAGATACGGAATTTAGTGCGCAGTCGATTTCTGGTTGCTGGTGGTTTGGTCTCAGTATCCATCACGTAAGCAAGGCTGGGACTTTCCTATCTGCACGTGACCCATTCTGCAAGCGCAACTCTTTTTCATTCTCCAAGAGTCCTTTACAACTTTCGCCTTCCACCTCGATCTTGTTCCCACGCACACGCCTCTTCAACCATCCTCTCCTCCCTCTTTTGAGACCCAGGATCTCACCCGTTATCTGTGCGCCTTCATCCCGTCCTCCTCGCTCGCTCAAAGGAAACCAACCAAAAAGAAACATGTCGTCCTCACAAGCCTACCAAATCCCCAGCCAGTCCAGCGGCTTCGCGACCGGCTACGCCGCGGGCGAAGGCTCCACGGGCCCGACCGTCCAGTACGTCTGCGGCGAGTGCAACACGAAAGTCAGCCTGGGGAGGGGCGACGTCATCCGGTGCAGCATGTGTGGGCACAGAGTGCTGTACAAGGAGAGAACTAAGCGGTTAGTACTGCCCAAAAAAAGATGGCCTTCCACAACCAGGCGGTGCACCTTGGACAAGGTGGCCGGTGCCGTGGTGGGATAGTGTGGACTTGTCGCTGACGAGGAGATCTATACAGGATGGTGCAATTCGAGGCGAGGTGAATAAACTCTACCGCGATGAGGGGGCCGGGGCAGCATGTCCGATCTGATCGGTAGATTGAGGGCAAATGAGATATGAAAGCGGCTGTGACGAAGAAAAAGACAAAGCGGACGAGGATGCGGACGCAGACGCGATGAACAATGGGGTTTCTTGATTATGGTTCTCCGCATAGCCTAGGCGTTGGTTAGCATGACGGTAGAAGCATGGTGGCACTGCGAGACAAACCGATGGATATCTGCAAAAAACAAAAAACAAAAACAAAACAGAAATGACTCCAAAACAAGCCTGCTCCAGACGATATGACATACCAAGTGACATTGTAACTTTTTGGGCTTTCTCTACTTTCTACGGCCTGTTGGTGAACTCTATGAATTTTTCGAATTCCTCCAGAGCCCGCCCGCTTTCTATGCACCACCTGGCCTTCTTGACGCCTTCTTTCCATCTCCCGCCCGCGGGACCTCGTTCCGTGATGACCGGCCCACTCTCACAGCTATCGGCGTCACAGGCGCCGCTCACCACCAGCAACGCCGCAATGTTCATCAGCACAAAGTGCAGGATCGGGTCGTCGCGGGGTCTCTCGTTGCGCAGAATGCTCATCAACACGGCAGCGTTTTGCCGCGGCAGCCCACCACCGCCCACCTGCGACAGCGGGTGCGTGGGCAAGCCAAAGTCGGCGGGCTCGAGCTCGAACCGCTCCACCTTTGAAATGTACTTGGGCGGGGCCTCGTCGTCGCTGGTCTCATCGTCCTCGTCGTCGCGAGAGCCCCGGTACTCTGGATTCTCGGCTTCTCGTAGCAACCAGCAATTCGTCTTGCCCGCGCAACTGATCTCGTCGAGGTCTTCCTGTCCGCAAACCACGAGCGCCTTGGTCGCACCGGACAACTGCAGCGCCTGCGCAAAGACGGGACCCAGCTCTTGATACGCGACGCCCACGACCCGAGCTTCAATGTGCGCCTCGACGGGGTTGGCGAGCGGGCCCATCAGATTGAAGATTGTCCTCAGTCCGAGTTCTCTCCGCACGGTCGCGGCATATTTCATGCCCGGGTGGAAATTCGGCGCGTAGAGGAACGTGTAATTCGTATGTTCGTACGCCCCGGGCAACAGCTCCGCGCTCAGCGCTTCTATCCTCGGCGCCTTGGGCAGGATCGCATTGAGCACATCCGCCGACCCAGACATGGATGTCTGCGCCCGGTTGCCGTGCTTGGCCATCATCAGGATCGGCGACGCGATGATCGACGCCGTGGTCGAGATGTTGAATGTCGAATGCGAATCTCCGCCCGTGCCCACGATGTCGCACAGCCCACCCCTGTACCCGCCCAGACCCATACGGCCGCGCTTCCTCTTCCGCACTACCTCTCTCAGTTTTTGCTTGTCCACCTGCACGGCGGCGTCGCGCATGCTCTCTGCGCATTTCGCAATCACGTCCGGATGCCGGTCCTTGCCCGTCGAGTGCAGGAGCGTCAGCAGCGCCGCGAGCTGCGTGGGGTTCAGTTCGTTTTCGAACGTGCGGGAGAAGGCCAGCGCAATGTCCTCGGCCTTGACGCTGTTGTCCTGGGGTGACGGGGCCGACAGCTTTTTCAGCAGCGGGGCGATCGAGACGTATTTGGGCGGAGGATCAGCCATCTTTTTCGGAATGGCTCACACCGTGAAGAGGGACCGAGACTGTGATCTAGTTTCTTGTGATATCCTCAACTTTTGGGAAATCCGGGCGAGAAAAGACTTGGAAGCTGAATGGAAGAGGTATTGTATGAGCACTGGCTGCGCGGGATTGTGAGTCAATAGCGCATGTGGTTGCGGGGCAATTAGCTGTTACATACCTTGGAGCTTTTGTTGTGGGGAAACCTGCGACATCGATCGCTTGGAAAAAACCCCTGGTTTCTTGGCAGGGCAAGGGACTCGGCCTCATTCATCCAGCCTTGTCAGGGTTGAGATAACTACAAGAGCATAGCCTTTTGTCTTTCGGCAAAGGTTGATGCGGCTAGCTACCCTGCGTGCCTGCTCTGTCCTCTAAGCGTCAACACGTCACCCAAAAATTACCTCTGAGACATAAACACGTCAAAGTCCCGGCGAAAAGCCCTCGCTAGACCATCTGGTATGCCATGTCGCATCGCCAGTCTGTAGAGGTCAGACTTGACATTTTCCATGGCCCTCAAATCATCCAAAGTCCACATCTGAGTCAAGACGACTTCGTACGCTCTTTCAACGAGCTGTCTCTGTACAGGAATCTTTGTCCTCTCGATCTTCCAAGTGAAGAAGCATTCTATTATGGTGTCTTCCTCTCCAGGATGGGAGAGAAAGCTGGGTGGTCCAATTGGTTGCGTCGGCCTGCACAGATTCGCTGGAGTCGGGGTAGCATAGACCTGTCTGGGATCCACCGTTCTCTGGATATCTAGGACTTTCGTAGATGGGAGGCTCATCGGTGCTCTGCAAGATGAGGCCGAGGGCAAGTGTAGCTCCGTTTCCGGCTGGCCAGTTGCTATCCGTCCTGACAGGGAGATGGAGCTAGAAGACCTTAGATGGTGAAAACGATCACATTCCGATTCATCCAACACGCACGCACGAGGCAGGCTCATATCAGACAGTAGGTCGACCTCGGACGAAGTCATGACACCGAGTTGTGACAAGCATGAAAACAGGCTTGTCCGTGACAACGGCAAAACGTCAACATTCGGCCTGACACTGAGAGAAGCGGGAATCGAGTGCTCGGCCGAGGGCAAGATATTGAACTTCAGAAACGCAGCCTCGAGTCTCGAGGGCAGCAAATCCTCAGAGGCTCCGTCGGCTCCGATCGAGTCCAGAATGTGCATACAGTCGTAATACTTTTCCAACCTGCTTCTCTGCGGTTTTTGTGTTTCCGGCATGACGTCTTGAAGATGGACCAGCATGATTGGAAGCAGCAGGGTGACTCCCCGGGGAGTCATATGCGTTCCCATCTCGAGGTTCTTGATCGATATGGCAACGTGGGCCACCTCTTCTGCCGCGTCACGTAGTTTCGTCTGCGACAGCTGTCGGTACGTAGGCGGTAGGCCGTTGGCCGCTTCTGAGATCTGGGGTCTGTGAAGCGCAATCATCGCCGAGAGGAAGAGCAGTTTCAGGTGTGCTCGATGCATGGCGATGACATTGGAGGTCTTGATGAATGCAGAATCCGCGGGGTCGCGCAGGTCGAATCTTCCGGAGCCGGACAGACCACGATACCATTCTTGCAGTTGCCGGTCGAGCTCCAAGATCTCAAACGTATTGGCGCAAGAATGGCGTGGGACAAGAATCGTCATCATCTTGCTTTCTGATTCGTACCGGCGACTCGAATACCGTGCTTGCAGGATCTCATTTATGCACACGCAGAGTTTTGCCTTTTCGATGCAGAGCGTTGCGAGATCAACCCTGCTCCCCTGGTCATCGACGAAAGCCCACGTTCTGAGCATACGGGCCACCGCCGGAGATAAATCCAGCATCTCGAAATCGTCGGCTTCAAGCATGGGTAGATGGCGATGCCACGCCCCCAGTTGTGGCGGAGTCCAAGTCATGAGCGCAACGAATTGATCGCGCATGAAACAACACCACCACAACCTCTTGAGCATTCGATGTCGCTTTGTGACACAAGATTCGAGATGCAGGTCCAGGCCTAGGTCCTGGGCAAGGGTCACGGCGGAGCGGATCCAAAACTTTCGATCTTTATGCGTTTCTCGGGGATCATACCAGTATGTCATCAGCAGGAAGGCTTGCACAAGAGCAACGCGGTCCCTTTCGCAGTCGAGATCATACAGCAACTTTGGCGGTTAGCACCAGCGGCGCATTGACGGACGTGAGTACTCACACGTGCTCTTTCGAAGAATGAGCTCCTGGCGAGCTTCCTCGACTTGAAGCCCAAGTCTCTCAAGACTTGCATGTCGACATGTGCAGCTCCAGAACACATGACAGCATGGAAGAGCACTAAGCTAACCTTGTCCCCCGTATCATCTTCGATCATCGGACGCAAGAAGTCTCCAATATCCAGTAGAGGCAACAAAGGATAGCTGAATAGGAAGTAGCTGCGCAACAGTTCGTTCCGGCAGTTGGCATTCGGTATGTCGAAGACTCCCTTGTGCTGCAAATAAGCGGTAGTTTCGGGGCTCAAGTCTGCGACCAGAGGGCTGACAAACTTTGGTAACCTGACCTGTGGACATGCTGTTGACGAAGAGATGGAATTATCACGGAGCATTGAATCGTGACTACCCTCTGTACGGGGGACGGACAGGCTCTTGTGGGAGCTGGGTTTCGTACAGCGTCGCTTTTCTTGCCGCGCAGGCTTACTGTTGCCGGGCAAGCACTCAACCGCGTCAAGACGACAATTGGTGCAAGTGGAACCACGAGTCTTCCTATCACATCGGGTCTTTCTGCTCTGGCAATATCTGCATGCTTGAGCTGTCCGCTTGAAGGCGGGCATGGGTGGCGGGGTCCGAGATTGAGAGGGCAGCATTGTGACGGCCACTGAGCTAGTTGTGGGGGTGTAATAGTGAACAGGCAATATTCCCAACCTCGGGATCAAGTCCTGCTTGGTGAAAGGCCCAAATGGACCTGTGGGAGGATAGAGGTGCGTCGGGTCTCGGGGTCTAATATGATGACTGTAAAGATAAACAGCCTAGTGCGAGGTTCAAGACTGGACTGATAGCAGAGCACTCCACCGTAATATCACAAGAATGGTCACGATATCACACTTTTGATGCCCACACTACAATGACTGAACGTCCCCAGAAAGAACTCCGCACGAGGCTACACTATTCCTTAATAGGAAGGTAATCTTCATTTACCGCCGCGGAGGCCTCGGCGCCAGCCTTGTATGGGGTACGCTGGAAACCCCCACACACGTATTCAATGGCTCTGTGTATCTTTGCCGCACTGCCGAAATGTATGGTACATGTGCAGCCGCGGCTTTGGGGACATGGTAGGTAGGTTTTTCTTGTCGAGCAGAGCCGTCTCGGTATCAGACCTCTGCCAACAGATCAGAAGCCCGTCTCGGCTTGATAGTCAGCTTTTCAACCATACATCTAGATACTTAGATCGACGTTTGATTCCTCCTGGGACGTGATCGACTCTCTACAAAAGCTTTTACAGAGATACAAACCATGCCGTACCTAGCAGAGGAACACTATCCGATCCCAGGAACAGACTTGCTAACATGGATGTTTGACGACCACGTCGCATACGACGAAGACAAGCCGGTACGAATTAAAAGCCACTGGCGCCATGCCACGAGAAGTGCAATTGCGACCGGGCCGCTCACAGCGTAATCACAGATATACATCGATGCGCAGACGCCTTCGCGATCGATCTCCTGCCGACAGGCTCGCCAAATGGTCCGTGAACTTGCCGCCGGTCTTCGTGGCATCGGACTGAAGAAGGGGGACTGTGTCTGTGTGATGGCGTTCAACGATGTATGATTTTGCTGGGCAGTGGTCCTGTATTTGTCCCGTCCTCAACATCTCTTGCACTAAATCACTTCGTTTACTCGCTGCAGATGCTTAGCGGCTACTTACAAAGGTGACAGATTTATTACTCCATGATCTTCCTCGGGATAATAGCCGCTGGAGGAATCTTCTCTGGGGTCAACCCTTCATACACCGTCTTCGAACTGGCACATGCCATCCGCACCGCTGACATAACGCACCTGATCGTCGAGCCTGAGTTTGTCCCCAAAGCTTTACTTGCGGCGAGGGAATGTTCTCTCCCTGCATCGAATGTCTTCGCCTTTGACACCCTGAAACAAACTATTCCACAGCATCTGGGGGTGAAAAGTTGGAGGGCGCTGCTCCGCAACGGGCAGATGGATTGGGAACGATTCGACGATGAAACGCGCAGCAAGGAGACCATCGTCGCCAGGCTGTTCAGTAGCGGGACGACGGGTATGCCAAAGGCGCTGGACATATCAGTCTGGAATCTTGTGAGTTTGGCTGCCTTCCGTCTATTTGAAAGCGAATGGTCCTGATCGGGGTTCAGGTGGCACAGCATATTGTGGTGATGGAGGTCCGGCCTCGGCCATACGAGGTCAGTGCGGCTACCCCTTTCAGTTCTTGAAGGTGGCTAACTCTGCACCCCACCATGCTCAGGTTCGCCGACTTATCTCGAACCCGCTTTTCCATGTGTCACAGGTCCCACGAGTCCACACCAGCGCGATCAAAGCCGGGATACCGACACACGTGATGCGTCGGTTCGAGCTCGAGGCGTGGCTTTCGAATATTTCGAGGTACAACATCACCGAAGTGAACATTGTCCCCATGATGGTCATCAGTCTTTTGACATCCGGTCATCTCGACTCGGGGAAATACTCGTTGCAGAGCCTTCGCAACGCGTGGTCTGGCTCCGCACCACTTGACAAGAGTCTTCAGTTTCGCTTCAAGAAGTACTTGCGGTCAGATACCCCGTTCAATCAGGCCTGGGGAATGAGCGAAACCACCTGCCTGGCGATGTGGTTCTACTATCCAGAGCAGGACTCCACGGGCAGCGTGGGGCGGCTGTTGCCCAACTGCGACGCAAAGGTGGTCGACGACGACGGAAACGATGTGACCGACGTCAAGGGGCACGACGGGCAGAATGCCCGGGGGGAACTGTGCATTCGCGGCCCCATCATCGTGAAGGGGTATTACAAGAACGAAGAGGCGAATCGACGAGACTGGGATCGAGACGGCTATTTTCACACGGGAGACATTGCGTATTGCGACTCGGAGACAAAGAAGTGGTATATCGTTGATCGCAAAAAGGTACGTCGTCATCTGTGTCGTGTATTCTCAACGTCTGCTCTCTAGTGAGCGAGTTGTTATCACGTTGTAGGACGCCAACAAGGCTGATTGCCCCTTTCTTCGACAGGAACTCATCAAAGTCCGCGGTTTCCAAGTCGCACCCGCCGAACTCGAGGCTGCACTCCTCCTGCACCCCAATATCGTGGATTGTGCCGTCATCGGGGTCCAAGCGGCCATCGACGAGTCCGAGCTGCCACGAGCATATATCGTGGTACGACCAGGCACGACTGTGACAGAGGCCGAGATCAGGGAGTTCACCAAGGACAAGTTGGCGCGGTACAAGCAGTTCGACGGCGGTATCCGATTCATAGACAAGGTGCCGAGAAACGCCAACGGCAAGATCCAGAAAGCGGAGTTGAGGGAGTTGGTGAAGAAGGAATTGGGTGCTAAACTATGATCGAGGTGAATACCTGGTAGTCGCTCCGTTTCAGCGGTCCGTGACAAAATAGAAATATCGATAGAAACAATACAGAGATTTTCTTTGACAAGCTAGCTAGCATCACAGCCTCTGATTGTGACCTGGGAGATGTTGTGAACCTGGAAACTGCTCCCCTCGGACTCGGCATTCGCTTTTAGCATCGATCCTCTCCTGCCAACGTTCTCAACCTAGTACACATATCTGAATTGCTTGTTCTTCCTATCCGTCAGGTCGTCGTTGTAAGCATGCTCAAAAGCCTCGGTCATTCCGCTCTTGTCTCGTTTTGAATTCTCGAATTTGCAGACGAACAGGTACACTATGGCCAACACAACCGCTGCCGCCAGCCCTGCGACAATGACTGCAAACGCTGGAGCATAGACGGGAGCATCCTTCTTCTTGAAAAGCAGCGGCCCTGTAAAGTTACCAAGACACCAAGCGATGAACAACCCAGCCGCTGTGACACTGCGCTTTGTGTAGCCCGCTGTATTGGCGATCTGTAGGCCCATGAGGATGGCGTAGCCACCACCAAATGCAGGAAGAATCTCAATAGCGAACAAGAGACCACCTTTGGCAGATCGAGGCAATTGCCATAAGAGCAAGCAGCTCAACATGGTGGTGCAAACGCAGATGACAAAGAGGTAAATTCGAATTCCCTTGATTCGGTATGCCAGATAACAGACTAGCAGTTCGATTGTCCCGGACACAAACCCAGCAGGGACAACTAGCAAGAGGGAATTGAGTGTGGAGTAGCCGAAGCTGTGGACGATAATGGGTGCCATCGTTGCGTTCGCCCCGTTGGCAAAGAACATGAGGAAGGTGGTGAAGAATAGCAGGAGGAATCTGACGTCTGTCAAAGCGTCGAAGACCTGAGACGGCTTAAAGTGTATATTTCGGACACCAGAGTTGTTGACCCTAAGTCGAGCAACAGCGATATAGCGTTCGCGATCTGTGAAATGTTTGGCGCGTATGGGGTCCGGCGGCAGAAAAAATAACACAAGGACCGAGAGCAGTGTTGTGACACCACCAGCGAAGAGGTACATGTACTGCCAAGAGTGCAAAGAGCCTCCTGTGATGTGTCCGAGGCCGTAGTTGATAAGCGGGGAGACAATCGAAATGTAACCTGAATGGAGGTTGAATATCAGCCGGGAACGCCCATTTGAAACCGCACTGTGGGAAAAACGAACCAGTACAGCTGTACCAAACTCCCATTCTCAGGGCTTGTTCATCCTTTTTGTACCAACCCCCAACGACAAGCATGAAAATGGGCGAAATACCCGCCTCGATAACGCCCAAGAAGAACCTCTGTGTGTAGAAGCCGGCGTATGTTTTGCAAGCAGCACTGCACATGACGATGATGCCCCAGACAAACGTGATGCCTGTAGCAACTCGCTCAATGGGCCAACGTTGAGCCATCATTATAGCAGGATAAGCGCCGACGATGAAGCCCAGATAGAAGATGGAAGACGAAAAAACAAAGCGGTTACCAATATCGAGATCAAGATCCTCTTCAAGTCCAAACAAAGCCTAACATATGAAGAATTAGCGAGTTCCAGATTAGTGCAGTTGTAAACAGCTCACAGCTTGGGCCTAAAGGGAGTGTTAGCTTGATGAGCCGGACTGTTCAATTCTGTCTCTCACCAGCATTGCCTTATCATAGAATTGAATACCGTATACCAGGCAGAGGACAGGTAACAATCGCCGATCAATCTTTTTGACGAGGTCTTTTTCTTCCTTTCCGGTCCAGGTATCGTTTCCCTCAACGGTAGCAATGATCTTCAGTGCTTCATCGCCATGAACGGTGTCAACAGCCAAGGGCTTCTCGTACTTGTCAGCGACCAATTCTGTTGAAAGAGGAAGTGTGTTTGGTGCATCCACATGGTGGGCGTCCGCCTTTTCGGCCATGGCTCAATAGTAAGCAATTGGAAGTCCTGTTGAAGACAGACACGACCAAGAGGGGAGGTGCATATTTGGGGAAAAGAGCGAGACTCGACGGCGGAGAACTACATAAGTTCAAATATATAGTTCAAACCTGACCAAGTTCCGGACATTTGTCGAACGACTTCTTCCCCTGAGTTGCCGAGGACTCGAAGCATCCAGCCGACCAAACAGCGGATGTAAACATGATGCCCAGACGGTATTGTATTCGTTTCTGGAAGAGCTGCCTTGCAAGGTTGTAGTTGATTTGTGAGGATTATTGTGATTTGGTGGGTAAGTTTTTGAGAAAGACCGAGGACTCCTCGGATTAAGGAGCAATTAGAATAGGCAGAATAGGCACTATACCTCCGTGCTATGTGGCTCATCTACTCGGTACTTATTGTCAGACAGGCGCATTTAATAGAGTCGCTCAGTCGTCAATGATTGGACGGAAAAGGAGCCGCCCTCGCCGCTTTATGGTCACCATCGAGTAGGATATGCTAACCCAAATGGGCAAAGCGTGATATAAAGGCAATGAGGTCATGGAACGGCACGATGAGCTTCTCTGGGCTATCTTGACCGTCTCGAGCTTGGATCTTTTACAGAATGACATCTCCTGACGTTGATAACGGTATGCATCCAAGTGACCATACCAGGGGATTCGTCTCCAGAGCAGCGTTGCGCTGTCCCTGACCCTTCCTTGGGACCGTCTAGAGCAATGGCAATCTACTGCTAGCATCACCTTTGGTCAAGACGACCCAAAAGAAGGGCCGCCTCTCCTCGACCAGAAATAGATATAGAAGCACTTGAAGACTTTGCAGCAAAATATCCGGGTGCCGGAACCTAGATCCAAACCTTACCGGCCTGAGATAACCATTCGTCAACTATGGAGAACAGTGAACAGGCAAACAGCCCAGAGGGTGCGTCGAGGGTGTCAACACGAACCTCAGGTCGGGTGCTCTCCAGAGACTATGCCGAGCAGAACCTATCGAGGTCGCCGTCCCAGCATCAATCTCGTTCTAGGTATCCCGACTTCAACTTTGGCCCGGCTTCACTGCGTCATCGCATCAGTAGCCTTCAAACAAGTCCGAACCCAAGTCCTGGTCCAGCACGAACTTGGGGGAGAGATTATGCGGATTCCAGCAGAAGATCTGTTGTCATTGCTGCCCCTTCAGCGAGAGGCGATGCCACTGATACTGCGTCCCGAAAATTCTCCCTCGCTGGCCCCCCTCCTCTGGATACCTTGGCCGCCAACCAACCATACATTGACCCAGGATACACACAACTCAATCCGGCATATGATCAACCAACAAATGTCAGACCCGTGTGGGGTCTTGCTAAACCGTTGCCTCGTGTGCTGAGACCAGGCATGGTTCCCGCGAAGGACGAGCTTGAGAAGGAAGTCCAAGAGGAAGAAAGAGAAGCACAACAGCCGCTGATGGCAGATATCGAAGCCGGCAGGATTGAACCCTCTCTAAGGCCAGACAAGGTATCTTCGCAATTGGACACTATCCGACGCGAGAGAGAAATATCCCTGTACCGAGCCTATCAAAACCAGTACCAAGAGTCACCCGCATTTTCACCCTTTGGTGCCGCCAGAAGAACTTCAGACGCACTGACCGAAACGCCGCACACGTGGATTCGACCAGAAGATACAATCGAGGAAGAAGCTGGCTCCGAGTCTCAACAGACGGAGCAGATTGAACCACCAGAGCTGTCACTACCCGAAGCAGTGGCAAATGTGAAGCGAGCAAAGGAGGAGGAAGAGGAATGGAAAGACGACCCCTACGAGGATGCAGTTCCTTTGGCAGCGTATCAGGCCGAAGAGGAAGAAATCCACAATCTGCACACATACTGGTCCATTATTCGGCTGCGCTTTCGAGAACCGTTGGCCGAGCTACTAGGAGTATGTAACCCTCTGCATACCTCTTTCCCTTCAATTTTCGTCATACAGACAAGAAATTTGAGGATGATACTCTGACATCTGCTTCGTTCCACAGATCATGGTTCAATACACACTTGGTTTCAGCGCCAATCTGTCAATGACTGTCTCGCGCGGAGCAGCTGGCGTCAATGATACAGGAACCTGGGCATGGGGTTTCGCGACCATGTTAGCCATCTACATCGCGGGCGGGATATCCGGCGCTCATCTGAACCCTGCGATATCACTAATGCTCTACATCTACCGTGGGTTTCCGTTGCGCAAAATCCCCGTCTACGTCGCAGCTCAGATGCTCGGCGCTTTTCTGGCGGCTTTGGTTGCCTTTGGTATCTTCCAACCCGGCCTCATCGCTCTGCAACTGCATGCGGCGCAGGAGCAACAAAGCCACCTAGTAGAACAGAAGTTGGCTGAAGGCATTGGCTCGGCTTCAGTCTTTCCACTGGTGTCGCCGATGTCAACAGTAGTATTATCTAACTTCCTCACCTTCCCCCGCGCCTCCTGGGTTGATAGCGGCACGGCATATCTGGCCGAACTTGCGGGCACCACCATCCTAACTATCTCGGTTCTCGCCCTCGGTGACGACACCAATGCTCCTCCGGGGGCCGGGATGAACGCCTTTATAGTCGGCTTGCTAGTTACTGTCCTTGGCATGGCGTAAGTACAAGAACGAGCTCTTGTTCGCAGACTGGCTGACCTGTGCATGTTATCTCACTACAGATTTGGGTATATCACCGGTCTAGCTATGAACCCAGCACGCGACTTTGGCCCCCGCCTTGCAATGCTCGTTCTCGGTCACGGCAACTTCAAAACCCTCTTCGCAGACGGCTATTGGTTCAAAGTCGCATGGTTAGGGCCCATAAGCGGTGCTATTCTGGGGGGCCTCCTTTACGACGCAGCTATCTTCGTTGGGGGCGAAAGTCCCGTGAACTATCCCACGAGGCGGATCCGACGGGCTGCGCGGAAGTGGGGGAAGCGATGGAGAGCGAGGATGAACTTTCGACGCACAAGACGGTGAAGTTGGCTCGTGAAAGAGGGGACTGTGTTGAGTTCGATGAATACGTATGGACAGACAGTCAGAAATGGACGTCGCACATTTGTGATATTCATGCTCTTGGGACCCTCCCAGTGGTGAGGTGTCGACGGTGTTTTATGGTAACCAAATGGGGAGGATATGGTGATCCAGCCTTGAGCAAAAGGGAAGGATCTGTCTCTACTCATGATCTGGCGGCTCGGATGGATCTTGTACGATCTTTCAGTATATACAATGCCATTCGCGTTATGCATGGTTGATATCAACGCAAGCAATAAATGACTCTTGAGATACACTTTGAGTGTTAGTCTTTGGTGGTCACGTCGACGAAGGACAGCGTCAACGAGGGAAAAGGAGAAACATGCATTTCAGCGCGCCTGTGATCCGCAGTAATGATAGCGTAGATCACGTGGTATCATCCAGCAACCGAGTCTTGGCGTGTTTCATCTCCGATGCCCGAATATCAGACCAAAGACTCGATTCCAGGCGACAGGATAAGATACACTTCCCCGATGTCCATCAACTTTCGCTTACACTGGACTTCGCTGGACATTGACGTCGACTTGGATTGCTGCCACAGCCTAACTTTCTAAGTTGTCTCATGTTCTGGGTGTGCAGATCCGACTTCGAGCGCCAATGTTCTCATCCGCCTTCAAGTCCTTCAGCTCGAATATAACGTCCAACTATGAAGTGTCCAAACATCCCTCTGCAGCTGTAGGGGTCTGGTCCATCTTTGACGCGAAGAAGAAGAACAGCGGCACTCACGCCTCGGTTTTCATCTTTGACAGGAAATCGCTCGATGTCACCACTAGCGGGTTTGGAGCACGTGCTACGAGCGCCACGTCGGTGCGCAAGATCCAAGATGAGGTCGTCGAGCGCTTGAAGAAGGAAGCCAGCAGCCTGGCTCGGCTACGTCATCCCTCTATTCTGCAGCTGGTCGAACCGGTCGAAGAGACCCGGAGTGGAGGGTTGATGTTTGCGACGGAGCCTGTCTTGTGCTCCTTATCCGCTGCACTGGCAAAGAAGGATCGAGAGGGGAATGGAAGGGGGAAGAATGTCTCGCGGTCCGCGTCGAATGATGGCGCCACTTCTCGGGCACAGCAAGACGTGGAAATCGACGAATTGGAAATTCAGAAGGGGCTGCTGCAGGTCGCGAAGGGGCTCGAATTCTTACACGACTCTGCTAAGCTTGTTCACGGAAACCTGACTCCGGATGCTATCATGATCAATGCCAAGTCAGACTGGAAGATCTCCGGACTCGGCTTCGCTGGGCCGCCCGACGGAGCGGAAGGGCATCAGACCGTTCCTCAGATTTCTCTGTCTGAGGTCCTCCACCATGATTCTCGAATCCCTCGAACTGTTCAACTGGACCTCGACTATACTTCTCCTGACTTCGTGCTCGACTCGAATATCAACTTCTCGGCCGATATCTTCTCACTCGCTCTGGTTATCCTCGCATGCTACAGACAGCCGCATAGGTCACCAATTGAAACCCATGGCAGCCAGTCAACGTATAAAAAGATCTTCAGCAGCGCTTCCACCGTACCGACCAGCGCAAACAACTATCTCTGCGACGGTGCCTTGCCACGGGAGTTGAATGTCACGTTACCGAGAATGTTGACCAGAAGACCAGCTCAACGGATGACCGCGAGTGAGTTCCAGCAATCGCAATACTTTGACAACATTTTGGTCAACACGATGAGGTTCTTGGATGCTTTCCCCGCCAAAACTCCTGCCGAGAAATCACAATTCATGAAAGGCCTCGGCCGAGTCCTTCCTCAATTTCCGCCTTCTGTGCTAGGAAAGAAGATCCTTAGTGTTCTTCTGGACGAGATGAAGGATCGGGAACTACTCCCACTCATTATGCAAAATATCTTCCAGATAGTCAAAGTCGTCCCATTCAGCAAAGAACTTGTCTCGGATAATATCCTGCCACGAATGAGAGACATATTCTTGTCCAAACCCAAAACCGAAGAACGGGATACCGGCAAAGAGGCCGCTTTCCTTGCAGTCCTCAATAACATTCAACTCATTGCCGACAACTGCACCGCGAAGCAGTTCAAAGATGATGTCTTACCTATTGTTCATGTGGCGATGGAGTCATCTACCCATTCACTTACTGATGCCGCTTTACAGACCTTATCCGTTGTTCTCCCTTTGATCGACTTTTCAACGGTCAAACACGATCTATTCCCAGTTGTGGCCAACGTTTTCAGCAAGACCAATAGCCTGACTATCAAGATTCGAGGCCTTGAAGCGCTGGGAGTACTCTGTGGAGTCACACCGGACCAGACAGAAAACAATATCGACGACTTCCCTGGGAAGGCCCAGCAAGAAAAGCATGATAGGAATGTTTCCAGCTTGGACAAATTCACAATGCAGGAGAAGATTGTCCCTCTCCTGAAGGCGATCAAAACGAAAGAACCAGCAGTCATGATGGCGGCTCTGAAGGTGTTCCGACAAATCGGCACTGTTGGCGATACTGATTTCTTAGCCACTGAGGTGATGCCCATCCTCTGGAACTTTGCCTTAGGCCCTCTACTTGACCTGCCGCAATTCAAAGCGTTCATGGATGTCATCAAAAGTCTCTCGAGCAAAATCGAGCGCGAACAGATTCGTAAACTGCAGGAACTCTCTTCGAGCAGGGTTCCAGAGTCAAGGGCTGCTTCCTCGTCGCTTAAGCAGGTCGGTAACGGTATCCATCAAGCTAATCAAGTCGCAAGCACAGAAGATGACTTTGAGAAGCTCGTCCTTGGAGACAAGAATACTGACAAGATCGATGTCTTTGCGGGAGCTCTTTCTGATGGACAAAAGCTGACTCCGAATCCGCCATCCTACTCGTGGGCTCCCATAGATGCTGCCAGCGGGAGGAACACATTGGCGCATCAAATGCCCTCGTCATTACCAGTTCTCCAACCGCAACCTCTATCCCGCTCAATTACTCCGGATGTCAGTACCTCGGCGTTTCCAAGTCTTCAACCTGCCCAGCAATCCTCGGCCTCTATTTGGGGGTCGTCTTCATCTTCGCCTGCACCCTTGCAGAGTCAGCATCAAGTGCTACAGCCATCGAGTTATCTCTCCGGTTCTGTAAGCAACATATCTCCGCCGATAGCATCACCAAATACGACCTGGCAACTGCCCCCGCCTCCGGGAGCGCAAGGGACTTCTAGTCCTGGATTCGCGCCTATGATAGCTCCCCCTCCTCCAGGCAACAGTCAGAGGACTGCTTGGCCGCAACCAAATTACAATAATTTCACAGTGTCCTCGCCTCCGACCCCTGGATTCGGTGCCTCCATGAACGTGTTGCAACCGCAGAAATCTCAGCAGCAAACACCGCAACAGCAGAAGACAGGTCTGGACAAGTACGAATCTCTGCTATAAGAGTGGCTGAGAGTTGGCGATTTGCTCCGTGTCACTATTGGTCAGATATAGGCGGCAATTATAGATCGACACACGCGAAGCTGGGAGGAAGAGGCGATTCTTTCGTATAGTGATTGGATCTTGCTGAAAGACGCGTACGATCCCAGTATTGGCCAACCCAGCTATTGCAGATTTGGGTCATAATTAGTCCGCATTGTGCGACAGGATGACAGACTCCAACTCGTACCTGAGGCGCAAGGGCATCAGACTGGCAACGCCATTCGGTGAATGTTCCTGGCATGAAAACCACCAATGGTAATATGCGCCATGGGCGAAACTCTTAAGCCACCACGATTCTGTGGACCTTGTGGGCCGGAAAGAAGCTGAATCGAAGCTCTGGCCTGACCGGGGTTGATTCGCTGCTCAATGTAAGGCTCTCGCCTAGATGATCTGATTAACCCTATCAGGTCTGTCGATTTACATACACTGCTTCGGTCGAAGGCCTTCATCTGACGTGGTTCTATACCGTGACAAGGATCGGAAAAGATCTGTCTGTAATCCTGACGACTTTAGGCCATACAAGGGGTTTTTCTATCTTGCGAGGGAATCAAGCCCACCCATTCAGAGGTATGGATCTTCAACTAGTAAACGTGCCTCAGAACTATTGATGAGTTTTGGTTCTGCACCTCCAGGACTATTCTTCATCTCGCGTCGAACCCATGGGAATCTCGTCCTTCAGGTGCTACATATGCTGCCATCCAACGGAACATCCCAGGAATTCCCTTCTCCGGCCGGAGGCAACGGCGATCAACGTTCATACACCTGGATCAATAACTACCCCCTCTGGCCACCCTGGCCCAGCTACGGCTCAGGCCCAGTTGGCCACCAAGGTCGTCACAACCAGCTCGTCAAGAGCCTTAAGCCTGGCAAGCTTCTTATGCCTACCGGCTATGGACTCTAGCCAGCTTTGCAGGCAACACGAAACTCTCCCCTCTCCACCCATTGGATTAGAGAGTATACTGAGCAGTTGATGGCCAGCGTCAACACCCCAGCCATCACGTCGTTGACGAACGACTCATGTGTCAACCCACCATTCAATCCAGACACGACTCGGTGGCGGTGCCAGGACCGACAAAGCCGTGTACAATGCAACCACGGGACTCTTCATTTACCAGAACCTGATCACAGACGGCAACAACGTGTGCATCGAAGGCAGCTGTGCACTACCCGGCGAAACCCCTGTCGTGGACGACGGTTGCTACACTCCGTGTCTGTCTTCTCGGTCAATTACGATGCTCCCATGGGACCCGCGCAGCATGGTATCCGCGCTGCGTTACAGCCATTGGTGGCGTACGAGAACCCCGATGCGAAGATGCTGGTGAAAGCCAGAGCTTCCATGTTGCAGTAAGTCTACATCTGCCGTCTAAAACGGGGGTTTAATGGGAAACTTGCAATGTCGGGGCTGGCTTCTTCCATCTAAGAGCTTGTTGCTGACCTGTGTTTGCAGGAGAGGAAGCCGCAGCGAGACATCCTCTTCACCACGCGCGAGCACTGAACGTGGAGGAAGATTCTCGAGGACAGCCTCGACGGGCCGACTTGATGTGAGAACATCTGAAAGGGACCTTGCCGCTTCTCTTCCGTACCAAGACTACTTGCGCTTAAGGAAGGGAAGGAGGACACGGGCACATAATACACTGCGGAAAAAGGACTGTAAATATGCCGAAACCCTTCCTCTCCTGATGGTCCTTGAAACCTACATATTTGAGTCAACCCGGATTTCTGAGATTGAACCCATTTCAACTCAGAGATGCGCAATGGCTGGAAAGATACGGGGAAACGAACAGCCTATGTCCTTGTTCTATAATACTTTTCCCGGAGCAACCCTCCAAGATCGTGCCCTGGAAGCTACCTATGTATCTGTGCACGTACGCACAAGTGCACAGAGAAAGTGACTTGTGTGCAAACACCGCTCGCTGATAGATAAAAGAGATGTCGAATCCTTTCATTGAGGCGAGTCAGGAGGTTGGTCTCGCCGCGCAAAGCATGACCTTACGGTAGATGCGGTTGGGAGGGCTGGATGCCCCTCTCCCCCAGGACCACTCCGTAGAGGCTAGATCATGGCAGGCAAGCAATGGAGGTTGACAATACTGGGGTTCGACTTCGCAAAGCGCGTACTTACATGTGGAGTTGAGGGTAAGCAGGGGCCCCAAGTTTGAAAGGCGATTCGGTGGGGCGCTAAACATGCGACCGGGATCAACCCACTTCGTTTCAATACCGTATTGGGGCGGTCCGATTGGACCAGTCGGCCTACCCAGGTATGAAGGCTTCGAGAGTCTTTGGAGAATTGATGTCGGAAGCATTGGAGTCAGGAAAGGATATGTAATTAGCGGTGACTGGATCGGGAATAAATATGCAGGGTAGTGTACGTATTGAGGGGCCCTCTGAGTCAATAGTCTGGCTGTCTGGGTGCTCGGTACCTCGCTCTTGTACTCGAGTAGTGAGTAAGAATGATTATGCAGGAACAAAATCCCTTCGAGGTCGTTCGTCCGGGGCCTGATGAAGAACTCCGGCGGCACCGGCTCACGTGAAGCTGACGGCGGTTATTGGCGGAAAGACGCAGCCAAGCTCCGAGCTCCGATGTCGCGCGGGCCAGAATTTCGCCCAAACGCCAAACGATATGTAATAACGAGGTAACTTTGTACAGAAAAAGACCAGAAAGACATAATATACGAGGGAAGAAACAAGTCACTTGTCAACATCTCTATCTTCAAGAGGCGCCCTTCGACAATCTCTCCTCCTCTCCCCCCGTACTACTGCGCTCCCTCTCCCCGAAGCAGCTGGTGACTCCCTCAACCATCCAGCTTCTCTCCTATATCTAATCCCACCGCCCCCCTGGCGTTCGATGATCCCCGAGCAATAACAGACAAAGACAATGTCACTCCCTCGGCTATTCCGCACGCCCTGCGCGCGTGCGCTCACCTCATCCACATTCAAGTCGGACTCGATACGGCTACAGCCCTCTTATAGACTGTTTTCGACATTTTCTTCACGTCAAAAGTCGTCTTTGGCTGTAGACGATGACATCCACTCCAAGCTTCCGGGCATCGACCCGTCAAAGTTGGAGGTCACCAAGACCACCACCCCGAAAGAGCTGGTGCCGAATAAAGACCTTGTATTTGGGAGAACCTTTACCGGTAAGGGAGGCCGAATGGAATAGCCCTTGAATGTTATGGCTTTGTTTATTGACCGCCAAAAAAAAAATCAGATCATATGCTGTCCATCGAATGGACGGCGTCGCAGGGCTGGCTGCCTCCTCGGATAACCCCCTACCAAAACCTCTCGCTCGATCCCGCGACCTGCGTCTTCCATTATGCATTCGAATGCTTCGAGGGCATGAAAGCGTACAAATGTCTGAAAGATAACTCACTGCGACTATTCCGGCCGGACAAGAACATGGAGCGCATGAACAAGTCGGCCGCCCGCATCGCGCTCCCCACGTTTGAAGGCGACAAGCTTGTAGACTTGATCGGCACGCTGTGCAAGTTGGACGAGCGCTTCATCTCCGCCGAGAAGGGATACTCACTATACATCCGACCGACGCTGATTGGGACGCAGCGAACGCTCGGTGTCGGACCACCGGGTTCGGCGCTGCTCTACGTCATTGCGTCCCCCGTCGGGCCATATTACCCAACCGGTTTCAAAGCCATCTCGCTAGAGGCCACCGACTATGCTGTGCGCTCTTGGCCGGGCGGCGTGGGCGACAAGAAACTGGGCGCCAACTACGCGCCCTGCATCGTGCCACAGCTGAAAGCGGCCAAAAAGGGGCTGCACCAGAACCTGTGGCTCTTCGGCCCCGAAGAGTACATCACCGAGGTCGGCACGATGAACCTGTTCGTGTGCATCCGCAACAAGGAGACGGGACAAAAGGAGCTCCTGACGGCGCCGCTCGATGGGACCATCCTCGAAGGCGTGACGCGCGACTCGGTGCTCGCCCTGGCCCGCGAGCGCCTCGAGCCTGAAGGGTGGAACGTCGCCGAGCGGTACGTCAAGATGCAGGACCTGGCCGACGCGGACAGCGAGGGCCGGCTGCTCGAGGTGTTTGGCGCCGGCACCGCCGCCATCGTCGCCCCCGTGCGCAGCATCTCGTGGAAGGACCGCGTCCTGCACTGCGGCCTGAAACCCAACGAAGAGGCCGGCGAGGTCGCCAGCAAGATGAAGGGCTGGATCGAGGCCATCCAGTACGGCGACGAGGACCATCCGTGGAGTTATAAAATTCCTGCCTAAGCCTGAACCTAACAGGGGCGAGAGAGAAAGAGAGAGAGAGATTGGAGATGATGCTGCCTTGTTTTAGCCCCCCCTTCTGAACTCGTTATACCTTACAGACAGAGAGAAAAAGAAAGAGAGACAAGAGATGTGAATTCTATCATATCGTTTTTTTGATACTGTTTGATTGATACTGTTTTTTTCTCCCCCTTTTCCCCTGCCATTTCTTTTTTCCATTCCCTCTTCGAACCCTACACGTTCTGCGCCTCCTCCCCCCTCCTCTTTGTCTTTTGTACATCTTCTCCTTTTCTAGCTGTATGGTTGTATGATTACATGGTTATACGGTTGTGTCTACCTCGTATACATTTTTAGATTGTGAAATCGAATGGCGACGTCCCTCGTCATTTCGCCCTTTTTCTTCCTCTTTCGAAAAATAAAACGTGAGTGGAATGAACTGGTTGGGGTTGGTGAAGAGGGTGAAACCTCCTGAGGATCGCACCGTTGACGTTGGTTGACATTGACATTTGACATGAACATGGATACGAGGTACGGACACACGTCCTGGGTATACTGACAGGATATATATAGACAGATAGATCTGTCTCTACATAGACCTAGAGATGGATCTCTAGATAGTTGCGCTCAAGAGATATAGACCAACAATGTCCAGCCCGCCAGTTTGTATATATGTGTGTATGAACCTCTGATCCCCATATATTGCAGAGCCATAAACTTTTTCTATATTATTTTTCAGGGACGAATCCTCCTAGACTCATTCACATGCTCGTTCTTATTCTCGTTCTCATCAAGACACATACAAACCATACACGCAGATAAATTGCAACCGAAGATGATTTGTCGGGCGATTTCACGAACTCAGCAAATCTCGCACGCTCATGCCCTTGCCTCGATCTTTACTGTTGTCCCTCATCCGGGCTACCGTCGAGGCTGTCACGCTGCTTTGGGCCTCGGTCCTCCCACCACCTCTCCACTCGTTCGTCAACATCATCAAGGCCGCACTGGCTGTGGCCTCCGCGGTGCCCGAACCATCACTGAGGGCGCCGGGAGAACTGCTCCCAGCCTCACGTTCGCGCTGGATCGATGCGTTGTAATGGGGTGGCAATTGTAAGGACGCCACCGCAGGGTGAGGCAGTGGCAGGTTCATGGCAGCTTTTGGGGAAGGCAGCGGTTGTAAATTCGGGCTCGGGTTTGACATCGAACCCGAAGAGCTGCCCGAGGGATTAACGGTCGCCCACGAGGACGTCGGCGTGTTCAGCACGCCGCTTCCAGATTTCCCGACACTGCTATTGGTTTGCGTCCGTGCCAGGTCGGGTGAGAAATGGATGGAGTTGAATGCTGGTGACAACAGTGTCGGAGTCGGAGTCGCAGAGGAGACCATGCCTCCTGAGTGCACGGTGATGGAAGGTGATGCTGTAAAGGACTGGACGCCGGCGGGTAAGAGGGGTCTCTTCCTCAAGCTACCAGCTTCGTCCATTGCTCCTTGCGATTGGCTGTGAATGTTGGGAGACGGATAGGCTGAAGAACCGCTCAATGACGCGACAGAGGACTTGCGCGAGTCGCGCAAGGTCCATTCGCTGCCGGCCACGGTACTAGGTCGACTACTCCGTCCCCTTGCTGGTGGGGCCACAGGAATAGTCGCAGTCACGACGTCGACAGCTCCATCCTCATCCTCATCCTCGTCTTGATCGTCTTGATCGTCTTCGTCTTCGTCGTCCAAATCCTCATCGTCCCCCGGCGGGTCGTCAACCTGCATCCTCGAACTTGTTGATCTCATTCTGCCCCCTAACTTTGCATTCTCGTCCTTTAGCTGGGCCACACATCCCTCCAAGTACCGTACGTACTCAATTCCTGCTTGCAAGATGGCAAGTTTATGCATCTCCACGCCTTCACAAGCGGGAATCATATCTTTCAAGACCCCAAACTCTTCATTCATTTTACTCCGCCTGCGTCTTTCTATGATGCTATGGGCGGTCTTGCGGGCAATCTTTCTGCCCGCAGCGCTTGTGGCAGAGGGTTGTTTCCGCTTCGAGTTTGTGGTGGTGTTCGACGCTGCGGGTGCAGCTGTGGAGGCTTTGTTGGGAGGAGACGTCGCGGAGGTTGCCGCCGATGCGGGAGGTACGTAGCTCGCATCACTGGCTGGAGAGGAGTTGTTTGTCGCCTGAGACTTTGGCTTCATCTGAATGATCTTACGGGCTCGACTTGGAGGAGGGGGGAGAGCGTAGGAAGTATTGGCACCGCCGTTGGTGGCCGCAGACTCGACGGCCGCTTTGACCACTCCTGAAGACGTCCTCTTGTGTCGGGGACTCGCGGCGAGCGGTTTGTCTTGAGGGGAGACAGGAGGCGTACTTTGCGAGGGCGCCGTAGAGTTTGTGGCGTCTCGTGTATGCGACGACTTTCCATTCGAGTGGGTCTGGGAGTGTGCGTCGGTCGACCGAATTGCTGGCGGTGGCAGAGTGAAGATCGATTCCATCTCTGAGGTCTGGAACGCCTTCAAGTTCTCCAAGGCTTTCAAGTCAGATGAGCCGGTTGGAGTGGGCGGTGGTTTCGGCCGTGGCATAGTTGAGGAAGAGGAGGGGCGAACAATCGAATGTCGATCGAGATGAATGTAGGAGGGCAACGCAAGAATAGTACCGAGTACTCGAGTCGTAGGACACGTAGAGGAGAGGGGTCAAGTGGTCTCAGACTGAAGCACGCGAGGTGTGTATATCCGGGCTTTGTGAAGAAATCTCCAACGTTTCACACCGGAACCGAGAGAGTCAACGCACTGCCAGAAGAGAAGCACAATGACAGAACTGAGGGCATGATGAGCGAGCGAAGGGGGGAAACGAGGGGTGTTTAAAAAAGGCAACGACGAGGACTGTTGTCAGAACACAACCAAGGAGAAAGACCTGGGAGGGCAGGGAATACCAGAAGCTGCTTGGGAAAATAAGGACGAGTTGTTCGCAACAATTGCAATTCGGAAACGTCGAGATGGACGGATATGGGCACGTGTATCAAGCACAGTGAGCACACGACACCCATGGACGACCCTCGTGTGATGGCCGTGATAGGTGATAGGAGCAGAGCAAACCAGCCTAGCGACACTCATACTTGCTTCTCAGTGCCCTCGTGTGTGGCGGGCGGGACGGTCAGTGGCTGCTCAAGGATCTCTGGAAGCGTGGGAGGGGGAGGCCCAGGAGATGGACCCCGGTTTGGCCTTGCCGGGAGGTTGGTGGTGCTCATTTCGACATTTTCCCAATGTTAAAGCTGAGAGAGGCAACAAGGGGACAAGCTGAGGCGAGCGTGAGAGAAGAAACGAGGACCAACTCTAGACATGAAAACACGCTGCACGTTCTAGAACAAATCGACCTGATTGGATCGTGGCCCAGAAGTTTGCGCCATTGAAGACGCCCTCGTCCCCGCTTTATCGATACGGAGACACGGCCACTATGCATGTGCTTCCCGGATCCTCCTTGTTAAGGGGCATTACAAGTAGTGCACGTACAAGGTACAATGCAGCTATTCAATGATATGCGAAAAATGTGAAGATGGACCAGAAGTTTGGGGGTATCATGTTTTTTTGGCACTTTTCGATTACAACTAGTATGTAGACAACAGTTGTATCAAGATTAAATATGCGGTCCTTTTAGTGGTGGCTGCTGCTGCTGCTGTCACCCCGCCGCATGGTCGTCGTCAATGGTTTTCTAACTCATCGCCCTCATGTCGTGGTCTTTTTGGCCCCATTGCTAACGCCGTGCGACGGTTCCGGTCGCTTGAAATGCACCTTCAATGGCTCCCAAGAATGCGCATTGTATGTCTAAAGCAAATGTCAGCGGTGGCTCCCAAGCACGTACAGTGTGGCATCAGGATTAAAACACTCACCTCTTGCACTTTCTGGCAAGTCTTCAACCCCCACTCGGTCACCCCAACCATCAAGCAACTCTCAAACATGAATGCCATGCTGCCTTCGCCCACCTTCTGAGGCGGCAAATCCACCGTCGACGCCTTTTCAAATGTCTGCATGTCTGGTCCATGCCCGCTCATCGTGTTATGAAGACTTGCTCCTGCTGGCTGGAACCCGCCCTTGCCAGCCCCCTTGGCATCGTAGTTACCCATGATCAGCCCCATGAACTCGGACATGGTATTGCGATGATACCACGGGGGCCGGAAGGTGTCTTCGGCCACCAGCCATCGGGGAGGGAAGATGACGAAATCTAAAACAGCCGTTCCTGCTCCGTGAGGATGAGACGGGGCAGACAAGACGGTGAAGATGGAAGGGTCGGGATGATCGTAGGAGATGCTGCCCACAGGGTTGAATCGGCCTAGGTCGTACTTGTAGGGATAGTAAGTGCCGTGCCAGCCCACAATGTCAAATGGGGTGTGAGACTGCTTGGCTGAAAAGAGATTGCCGCCGAATTTGCCGTACAGCGTCCATTCAGTATTCTCGTAATCCTCGATGAAATCGGCCACCGGTGTCTGGAAGTCGCGTGCGTTTGCAAGACCATTGGAGCCAATCGGTCCCAACTCGGGCAATTTGAAGTGGCCCTGGTACAATTCACAGACATATCCTCGTGCGGGCTCGTTGTTATGCAATGTAACGTGGTATCGAGTTCCCCGCGGGATGACACAGATCTCATTCGGTCGCACAAGCATCTTGCCAAATTCGGTTCGGATGTCAAGCACCCCATGTTGTGGAACAATCAAGAAATCACCGTCGGCACTGTAGAATGCCGTCTTGTCCGGCATGCTGTTGCCACAGGCGTAGATGTAGATGCCCAGGCCTTGTTTCATGGTGGGATCTCCCGCGCCAGCCACCAGGTGCAGGGAGTGAATCCAAGACACCTCTTTGTCGAAATCGAAGGGATCCCATCGCAGCTGGTTCGGGATCACATTGAAATGGGTGCCGAAACTGGGAGTGGGAGAGGCTAGGGACTGCGAGGAGGACGACGGCACCGGTTGGAAGTTCTGGTGGCTAGCAGAGGGAAGGATTCGGTAGAGCCATGTCTGCTGGTTCTCGTCTC